ATAATACCTAGTAGTAGTAGTAGTAGCAGTAGTGGTAGAAGTAGTAGTAATAATAATAGTGTACATTTATATGATGCCTACTGTGTGCCAGGAACTGGGCTAAGCACTTCACAATTATCTCATTTAATCTTCATAACAAACCTGAGAGGTAGGTGCTGTTATGATCCCCATTTTACAGATGAGGAAACTGAGCCAAACGGGTTAAATGACTTTGCCCAGGGTCACACAGCTAGCAAGTGCCTGAGGACAAATTTGAACTCAGGCCTTTCTGACTCCAGGCCCAGCACTCTATTCACTGTACCCCCAAAAGAGTTACATAGAGTAGAACAGAGGGGCAGTGCCAGGGAATGGGAAGACCCTGTGTGAGGAGCACCATAGTGATAGAATCCTCTAATGGGTGCCTTACAGGGGAGGGGTCACACAGGATTTGCACTCAGTTCTTCTGACTCCCAAGTCATGTTTCTTCTCAGCAAAGGTATTTACATGGGCTACTGATCTCCAATTCAGTTGAAGCTAACAGCATTTATTAGGCACCTCCAATATCCAGAGTAAGGGCAGTCAGGTGGCATAATGGATAGAGTCCCAAGCCTGGAATCAGGAAGACTCTGTGAGTTAAAATCTGGTCTCAGACACTTACTAGCTGTGTGACCCTGGGCAAGTCACTTAACCCTGTTTGCCTCAGTTTCCTCATCTGTCAAATGAGCTGGAGAAGGAAATGACAAACCAGTCCAGTATCTTTACCAAGAAAACTCCAGATGGGGTCATGGAGAGTTGGACATGATTGAAACAATTGAACAGCATATCCAAGAGACCCATGCTCTGTCGCTTTAAAAACAAAACAAAAATTTTTAAATAGTCCCTGCCTTCCAAGAGCTTACATTCTAACTTTCCTTAATGCTTTACCCTCTGAGCTTTTTTTTCCCATGGCCCTAAGCCATTTTCCAAACATAAAACACCATGGATTTGACAAATTAGCTGTGCAAATTTGGACAAATCACTGAACCTCTCTGGACCCCCAGTTTCCTCACATATAAAATAGGAGAATTGGGCTGGGTCAGAGGTTCTTAAGCTGGGGTCCACAGACTTCCAAGATTTCTGTGGATAGATTTCAGAGTTCTGTGAACTTGGATGGGAAAAAAACCCACCTTTATTTTCTCTAACCTTTGGCTTCCTTTTCTAATTCTATGTATTTCATTTTATGTATTTAAAAACATGATTCTGCTAAGGGGTTCACAGACTTCAGCAGCCTGACTGGCAAACAGATCCAGGAGACAAATAAGGTGAAGACCCTCTGGAATAGATGATCTCTCAGGTTTCTTCTATTTCTACAACCCTGTAGGAGGCAGCAAGGGGTAGTATAGTAAGAAAGGGCAGGAAACTAGGAATCAGGAGTTCTGGATTCGAGTCCTGTCATTTCCTAGCTATGTGGCATTGGCCAACAATGAACCTCGCTGGGTCTCAGTATTCCCAACTATCAAATGAGATGACTAGACTAGATTATTTCTAGCCCCAAATCTATTGATTTAAGGTCACAAACCAGTTAGTGGGTTTCCCAAAACTGGAAGGTTTTTGGCTGAACAGACAGAAGCTTCGCAGTTCACAGCTGGATCTAGAAGGCAAGAGTCCTTCTCCTTCAGCTCCCTCAACTTACAGATGAGGAAACTGAGGCTAAGGGGAAGAAAAGGAAAATGAGACTTGCCCAAGGTCATAGCCGTGCTTCCGATGAGGGCTGGCTTGGTGACTTGCTCTAAAGCCTGTGACACTCTGGTGCTGTGTTCTGTGCTCCCTCTCACATCTTCCCCACTTCTTCCATTCTGCCATCCTTTTGCTTACATACTCAGTTATGTACCAGGACAGCCGTACACACAGAGAGCTAAGGATCAAAAACTAGAAATCATCTTCACTCATCTTCAACTAATCCCTGTCTACTGGCTGCTTCCCTACTGCTTACAAACATGCCCAGGTCTCCCCTCTCCTCAAAAAACTATCCATCCAAAAAAATAAAAAATAAGAAAAAACAAAAAAAAACCTATCCATCCCCCCAACTAGCATCCCATAGCCCTCTTCCTTTTTTTGGCCAAACACCTTGAGAAGACCATCTACAATACATGCCTCTACTTCCTTTCTTCTTATTCTCTTAACTCTTTGTAGTCTGGTTTCCAACCTCATCATTCAATGGAAACTGCTTTCTGTAAAGTTGCCAGTGATCTCTTTTTTTTCTCCCATAAATTTATTAATTTTTAGTTTCAACATTCACTTCCATAAGATTTTTTTTTTTAGGCAGCTGGGGTTAAGTGACTTGCCCAGAGTCACACAGCTAGTGTATATGTCAGAGGCCACATTTGAACTCAGGTCCTCCTGACTCCAAGGCCAGAGCTCTATCCACTGTGCCACCTAGCTGCCCCTATAAGATTTTGAGTTACAAATTTTATCCCCATCTCTCCCTTCCCCCCATCCCAAGGTGGCATGTAAATTGATATAGGCTCAACATATGCATTCATATTAAATCTATTTTCATGTTAGTCGTGTTATAAAGAAGAATTAGAACTAATGGGAGAAAGCACAAGAAAGAAGAAACCAAAAAGAGAGAGAGAGCGCAAATAACATGCTTCAATCTGCATTCAGACTCCACAGTTCTTTTCCTGGATGTGGACAGCATTTTCCATCATGAGTCATTTGGAGTTATCTTAGATCCTTAGATATCCTTAGAGATAAGTCTATCAAAGTTAGTCATCACACAGTGTGGCTATTACTGTGTACAATGTTCTCCTGGTTCTGCTACTTCACTCAGCATCAGGCCATATAAGTCTTTCCAGGTTTTTCTGAAGTCCGCCTGCTCATCATTTCTTATAGCACAATAGTATTCCATTCCATTCATATACCACAACTTGTTCAGCCATTCCCTAATTGATGGGCATCCCCTCAATTTCCAATTCTTGGCCACCACAAAAAGAGCTGCTATAAAAATTTTTGTACATGAGGCTCCTTTTCCCATTTTTATGATCTCTTTGGAATATAGACTTACCAGTGGTATTGTTGGGTCAAAGGATATGCATAGTTTTATAGCCCTTTGTGCATAGTTCCAAATTGCTCTCCAGAATGGTTAGATCAGTTCACAACTCCACCAACAATGCATTAGTGTTCCAATTTTCCCACATCTTCTCCAGCAATTATCATTGTCCTGTTTTGTCATGTTGGCCAATCTGATAGGTGTGATGTGGTACCTCAGAGTCATTTTGATTTGCATTTGCAGATGTGAGAATGCAGGTCAGGAGAGATACTGGGGCTGTGCCAGTGATCTCTTCACTGCCAATTCCAGTAGCCTTTTCTCAGTTCTCATTCTCCTCCACCTCTCTGCAGCCTCTGACATCGTGGATCACCCTCTTCTCCTTGATTCTTTCTTCGCCTCAGTGTCTGTGACCCGGATCTCTCTGTGTTCTCCTTCTATCCTCTGACCTTCTGGCTCCTCTAGCTCCTTTGCTCGATCTTTATCCAGGTCACCTTCAGTACCAGTGGGGTCCCCCAAGCCTCTGTTCTGAGCCTTTTTTCCTCTTCTCCCTATATACGGTTTCATTTGGTGATCTCACTAGCTCCCGTACTTTCAATTATCATCTCTGTGCTGATGACCTTCAGGCCTACTTGGCCAGCCCCAGTATCTCTCCTGACCTGCATTCTCACATCTCCAACTGCCTATTGGATATCTCAAACTAGACATCCCATATACATCTTAAACTTAGCATGTCCAAAACGGAATTCCTTGTCTTTGCCTCCAAACCCTCCCCTCTTCCCAACTTTCCTATTACAGTCCAGGGTACCACCACCTTCCCAGTCATCCAGGCTCCCAAACTGAGAGTCATTCTCAACTCCTCACTCTCTCACCCCTCACATCTGGTCGGCTGCCGATTCCTGTTATTTCTGCCTTCCTAACATTCCTTGCATATCCTCCTTCTCTCCTCTGACACTGTTACCACCTTGGGGGTACAGGCTCTCATCAGCTCACATCTGTTGCAATAGCCTACTGACTGTTCTGCCTGCCTCAAGTCTCCCCCCACTCCAGTCCATCCTCCCACTCAGCTATCAAAATGATCTTCCTAAAATTCAAATCTGACCCTGTCATCCCACCCCCATTCAACCAACTCCAGGAGCTCCCCATTACCTCCAGGAGCAAATATGTATCTTCTGTTTGGCTGTTCATAACCCTTCTTAACCTGCCCTCACTCACACCTTTCTCATCTTCTTACACCTTAGTCCCATTCGTGTACTGTAGGAGGCAGGGACACTGGTCTCCTTGCTTTTCATTACCCACACTTCACATCTCCTGGATTCTAGGCATTTTCACTGGCTGTCCCTCATGCCTGGGACTCCCCTGTCTCCTCATCTCTGCCTCCTGGCTTCCCTGGCTTCCTTCAAGTCCCAGCTAAAATCTCACCTTCTATAAGAAGCCTTTCGTGATCCTCCTCAATGCTAGTGCCTTCCCTCTATGGATTATAGATTGTGGGCTACTTGAGAGTAGGGACTGCGTTTTGCCTTTCTTTGTAACCTCAACTCACAGCACAATGCCTGGCACAGAGTAGGTACTTACTAAATGACAGCTGACTGACTGAATGACCGACTAGAGGGACAGAGATAGAGAAGGAGCAGAGAACAAAAAAAATGTGTGATAAATGGAAGGAGGATGGAAACTCAAAATAGGTCAGGCAGAACTCTTCAGGCTCCTCAGTGGTTTGAGCATATCTCTCCCCATCAATTTATTCATGGCTAGTCTCATAATCCACTGCAGCAGCAAATGGGGGCAACTGCTTGGCCATCCCACATGGCCCTCCTTCGGCATCAGCTTCTTTCTTTGCTGGAACATCACTGCCTCCTAAAGGCCCGTCGGTGTGGCTGCAGCAGCTAACAGCTCCCAAACAGCTCCAGCACCTGCTTAGCAGAGGAGGCCCGATAGCATCTCTCCGATGGTCTAACCCAGTTTCCCTTCCTGCTTTTCTGTCCACGCCCAGGCTGGCTCGTAGGCTGACCTCGAATGCTTCGAAGAACCATGGAAGCGGCGGTTGCCACCTTGGATTCCACGCCTAGCAATACCAAGGCACAGCTGGAGGCAGACGCAACCTGCTGGAAGGTGACCGTGGCCACCGTCCTAGCCAGTTCCATTGCTCTTGTTTTCTTAGGTCTCCTTCTGGGTGAGTGGGAGCGGGTTTTAATAGGATGGAAAGTCTAGAGGATGACAGCAATGTCGTAGACTGGAGAGAGGACCAGAGTTGGGTGGAGGCTTGCATTTGGACTCGTCCTCAGATACTTATTAGCTCTGTGACTACGGGCAAGTCCCTTGACCTCTCTGTCTCTCAGTTTCCCCATCTCTAAAATGGGACTTTCACCACTTACTCAGAAAAACATTGGGGTACAGTGGGTAGAGTGGTGGGACCCCAGGGTCAGGGAGACCTGAGTTCAAAATAGGCTGATTGGAATCCATGAGTTGAAAGCACAGGACCTTGACATATTTACCACTGACCTTACAAGGCTCTAATGAGGAAAGTGCTTTGTAAACCTCTGTGGCTGTTGTTCAATTGTGTCTGACTCTTCGTGACCCTATATGGGGTTTTCTTGGCAAAGACACTGGAGTGATTTGCCATTTCCTTCTCCAATGAAGTAAGGCAAACAGACATCAAGTGACTTGTCCAGGGTCACACAGTTAGTGAATGTCTCAGGCCACATTTGAATTCAGGTCTTCCTGATTCCAGCCCAGTGCTGTATCTACTGAGCCACCTACCTGCCTCCTTATAAACCTTATAGGGCTCAATGAATGTCAGTTTGAAAAATGAAGCCCTGTGACTCTGTGAACTTCTGGACAAGTCCCTTCATTGTCCTGGGCCCTAGTTATATCAACTGTAAAATGTGGGGTTCAAATAGATAAATTCTAAGGTTCTCTTCAGAGCGAAATCTGATGATGTCTAAGGCTTATGAGACATTACAATTTTCTCTAAATTGAGGAAACAAGGAACCCATTCCCAGATCATGGTAACTCTTCTGAGTTTTAGTTTTCTTATCTATAAAATGGGCTAACAATATGTCTATACCTGTCTCCTAGGATTGTTGGAAGGATCAATCTTGTTTTAGGTAAAGGGCTTTGCAAACTTTAAAGTGCTTTATAAAAATAACTTGCTGTGTTATTATTATTAATCAAATGGGTTGTACCGAGCCTGAAACTGGGCCCAGGGTCCCAGGCTTAGCCAAGCAATGAGTCTCTAGAGTTGGGCTCTCTCATGGGGCCCTGGTCTCTGCCCACAGCCTCCCTCTACACACAGGACATCAGTTTTGAGCACTCGGTGGAACTCAAAGGAATCCTATATGACAACAGCCTGCAGCAAGAGACCTCCAGCTATTACAGGGCTTTGACCCCAGCTCTGGAAATGCTGGTGAGTTGTAGCTTTCACTCTGAGGCAGATAAACCAGGGGTGGGAGTTTTCCCAGAAAGCACTGGGCTGGACCCTGGGATGGTATGTCTAGGTTAAAGGGCTATGGAGACTTGGAGAGAGGAGGGATTTGACAGAGAAGACTGATAGACGGGGCTAAATTGCAGGACCCTCCATCCAGGTCTGAAACCTACCTTCTCTCTTCATCTCAAGATCTTGAAACCGTACAAGCAAAAGACAGCAAACAGTAGTATCATCTGGTGTGCCATATTGGGCTGAAGGCAGGGCTCTGGCTCTGGTCCAGGCAAGGGTGGTGGTGAGGGGTCCAAGCCTAGGGCAAATTTGGGGATGTTTGGGGGAGCATCCTCAAACCTCCATGGAAGAAGGGGGAAAAAAGAGGAGCTCAGAGAGAAAATACTCCTTTTCCTCATCCTTCCTCCCTCCTCTCCCTGTCCCTTCCTTCTCATCCTCTTTCTTCTTCTATCCTCCCTCTTGCCTCCCTCTTCCCTCCTTCAATGGCCTCCTTCCTACCTACTTCCCATTGTCTCTTCCTTTGCTACAGTCTCAGAGGAAGAGCTGAGCCTTCTCTTTGCCAATGCCATCCTCTTTACTTTGGGGCACCCCTTCCGCCCTTTCAGTCACTCACCAGCTCCCTCATTTTCAGCCTTTCCTCATTCACTGGACTCTTCCCTGCTGCCCAGGTCATAGCCGTCTTTAATGTACACCTTATGATTCTTCTTCTTTTCACAGCCAACCTTCTCCACTCGTTGCTTTGACTTTCTCATTGTCCCTTGCAAGAGACTGATCCTTGTAATCTGGCTTTAGCCCCTACCATTCCATTGCAAGGCCTTTCTCCAAGGTCACCAAAGATTTCTTTATTGCTGGATCCAATACTATTTGCTCAATGCCTCTTCTTCTCCTCCTCCTCCTCCTCTCCTCCTCCTCCTCCTCCTCCTCCTCTCCTCCTTCTTCTTCTCCTCCTCCTCCTCCTCCTCTCCTCCTCCTCCTCCTCCTCCTCTTCTTCTCCTCCTCCTCTTCTTCTCCTCCTCCTCCTCCTTCTCCTCTTCTTCTTCTCCTCCTCCTCCTCCTCCTCCTCTTCTTCTTCTTCTCCTCCTCCTCCTCCTCTTCTTCTTCTTCAACTTCTTCTCCTTCCTCTTTTTTGCAGCAGCTAGGTGTTGTAGTGGATAGAATTCCAAACTCAGAGTTAACAAAGAAATGAGTTCCTTTCTTTTGCAACACGGCTAATATGGAAATATGTTTCTCATGACTTCACATGAATAATTGATATCATACTGCTTGCCTACTCAAGGGGTAAGGGAGGGGAGGGAGCGAGAGAATTTGGAACTCAAAATTTTTAAAAATGAATGTCAACATTTTTTACATGTAATTAGGAAATATTTAATAAAATAAATAAAAATGTGTTTTCTTTAAAAAGATGTGAGTTCAAATCCTGCCTCAATACTTACTTAACTGTGTAAACCCAGGCAAGCCATTTTAAACTTTCTGAGCCTCAGTTTCCTTATCTGTAAAATGAGGAAGATAATAGCACCTACCCTACAGGGTTGTTTTGAGGATCAAATGAAATAAGTCATATAAATGCTTTACCAACCTCAAAGCATCTCGTGGATGCTAGCTTTAGTATTATTGACCTCTCTTATGACTTTGAAACCATTGACACATCTCAGTTGTGGTTCTTTTTTCCGTGTCTGACGGATCCTTCTTCATCTTCTTTGCAGGATCATCATTGAAGTCATATACCCTATGTGTGGGGATACTCCAGGGTTCTCCTCTTTTCTCTCTATTTTCTCTTCCAATCAGCTCCCATGTATCAATTAGTCAATCAATAAACATTCATTAAGTACCTACTATATGCCAGGCACTGTGCAGAGTCCTGGGGATTCAAATAAAAAATGAGACCAGCTCTATTGTCAAGGAGCTTATAAACTCTTAAGGGGATAGAATATATCTCACTGACCAAAGCTGGCAGCCTTGGGTGAGCCTAAGTGTTCTTAAGTGTGTCCAGGTCCCCTCTGGTGGTCTGGTAAAGCCTATGGACCTCCTCTCAAAATAATATTCTTAAATGAATAAAATAAAATTTTTAGCATTATAAAGGAAATCAATTTAACTGAAATACATAGCTATCATAGCACCCCCTAGCTGCCTCACTATCAGAATTTTTTTTTTTTTGGCTAGGCCATGGGGTTAAATGACTTGCCCAGGGTCACACAGCTAGTAAGCGTTATGTGTCTGGGAGCCTGGATTTGAACTCAGGTCCTCCTAATTCCAGGGCCAGTGCTCTATCTACTGCACCACCTAGCTGCCCCGCTATCAGAGTATTTTTCTTTAAATCAGTTTACAGCCCCCAGGTTAAGAACTCCATCTGGCCAATCATGGGAATTGTGAGTGAAGCCAGAGGTGCTTTCATTGTTACATCCTTTCCAGTAGCAATGGTAAAAGGGATTTGATCATTGTTCCCTAAGCAAAAGCTGAAAGTGGAGGGGGGAGGGGAGTTGGAGAGGGGTTTACGGGATGAAGTATTATAAAGGAGGGAAGGGTCTGAGACTGGCTAGAAATAGAAGATTGCCATTAATATCGACTCACCCACCCTCCAATCTAAGCAGTGTTACTCCTGGGTGATTTCCAAAACTGAATGGATTAACTCCTCATGGGGTAGGAGGAGGAGTAGAGGCTGAGGGAAAAGGGTCTATGCAGATAACTCACAAATGTGCATTTCCAGCTATCTCCCCGAGCCCCAGTCCCCAGTCTTCAGCTGCCTGCTAGACATCTCCATCTGGTTTCCCATAGGTATCTCAAACTCAATAGGACCAAAATAGAACTCATTATCTTTCTCCTTAAACCCAGCCCTCCTCCCAACTTCCCCATTTCAGTCAAGGTCACCACAATTCTTAGTCATCCAGGGTTAGACCTCGACCCTTCCCACATACACTGGGCTTGTTTGCTTGTTCCCAGCAATCCTTGTTTCTCTCCAGTTTGCATCTGTACCTCACCCATGTGCCAAGTCAAGCCAAGCCAGGCATGTATTAAGCGCCTCCGATATGCCAAGCACTTTGCAAGGGCTGAGGACATAAAGAAAGGCAAAACGAAATAAAAAAGTCCCTTCTATCAATGAGCTCACAGTCTGAAAGGGGATGGGGAGGAGACATATAAATGATGACTAAGTCCAAACAAGTTATGTGCAGGATAAATTGGGGACAGTCTCAGAACAAAGCACAAAGCATTAAGAAAAGGTTCTTGCAGAAGGTAAGATTTCCTCTGAGACTAGAAAGAAGCCAGAGAAGCCAGAAGGTGGAGGCAAGAAGAATGAAGTCTTATTTATGACATGTGAGCCCCAAATGTCCCTCCTAAGCCTTCCCCTCTCCATACTAATGATTCCAGGTCCCTACCCCTGCACCCCGCGTGGCAAAATCTCCAGTCTTCTTGCTACGCTGGGCACCTTCCTCTGAGCCTGTTCTGGCATGCCAGGGGTTTTGCCAATGTTCTTCTGCATGTATTTATGTGGAAGGCACCAGAATCCTCTTTTGGACAGGAGTGGCAGCTTTATGTGGGCTCTAGAGGTGAAGCGCCACTGGGAAGCATGCTACCAAAGCTGCTCCAGCCCCTTAGCCCCCTCAGTGACTCTGTGGCATGCACTGGCTGGGTTCCTACATCTTCTGTCCTGTGTCCCCCTGCCTACCTTTCTAGGCTTTGGGAAATCGCCCAGCTTGGGTTCCACTCAAGCTCTGAGCCTCCCAGTGTGCCTTAAAAAAACCATCCCGTGCCCTACCTTGAATCATTTAATCTAGGGGTTGAAAAGATCAAGACAGCATACCATGACTTTCCCAAAATGGCACAGGGAGATGGTATAGCCTTGTAGATGGAGAGTTAGCTGGCCTTGCAGCCAGGAGGACCTGGATTTAAGTCTTGCCTCTGACACCTTCTGGTCTTGTGACCCTGGGCACATCATTTTTCTCAGTGTCCCAGGGGACTCTCTAACTTATCTATAAGCATTTATTAAATGCCTAGCTAAATGAAGCATTTACTAAGCACTTAACTATTTGTCCAAGGAATACAGATCTAAGCAAACAAGCCAGTCCCTGCCTTCAGGGAGATGTCATTCTAATGGAGGAAATGAATTTAATTGGGGAAATATAGTGGGGGGAAATTAATATAATAATATGTTATATTATATATAGTAATACAACATTATATATAATAAAATAATAAAAGGTAACTAAAAAGAGAAAGAGGGGTGAACAAGGGAGAGAAGAAGGCTAGAGAGTCCAGTCTTAAGTGAAGAGAAGCCTGGTTGGGGCCTATCCTTGAATAGTGGTTGAACAGGCCTACTCAGGAGAGAGAGGCCTCGGGGTGAAGGTTTGTCCAGCACAGTTCAAGGTTGGCACAGAGGAAGGAGAGGACAAGGGTCTACCATATGCCAAGTGCTGTGCATGCTACATACAAGGGACACAAGGAAAAAGCAAAGCAGTTTCTACCCTTTGTTATTGGGCAAGGCGACATGTACCCATATAATACATTTTTTAAAATAGCCTTTTTAGAGAGGAGACACCAGCAGCTGGCAGGATCAGGAAAGATACCATGTAGGAGATAATGCTTGAGCTGACCTCTGAAGGCAACTAGAGGTCAGACCTCGACCCTTCCCACACACACTGGGGCTTGTTCTCTTGTTCCCAGCAATCCTTGTTTCTCTCCGGTTTGCATCTGTACCTCACCCATGTGCCAAGTCAAGCCAAGCTTCACCTCTAAAAAGAGGTGGTGAGAAAGAAATGTATTTCAGTACAAAAGCACGGAGATGTGACATGGGATGCCATGTATGTGGAACAGGAGGCAGGCCAATCTGGCCAGACCGCATACTGAAAAGGGCAATGGTATATAATACATAAATAGTATATAATACAGAATAGCATATAATAGAACAAATAAATAAATAGTATATAATGAGGTTAGACAGGTAAGTTAGAGCCCAGTTGTAAATGGCTTCAAATGTCAAACAGAAGAGTCTGTGTTTGATCCTAGAAGTAATAGGGAAGTCATTGAGCAGGAGAATGGTATAGTCTGACCTGTATTTAGGAGTATCTTCTCTTCAGCTGTGCAGAGGCTGGATTGGAAAATTGGGAAGACTGGTTAGGGAAATTATTGCAACAATCCAGTTGAGAGATGGGAAGGATCTGAGCTAGGTTGGCATCTGTGTGAGTAAAGAAAAGGGGGTACATGTAAACAGTATTGTCGAGCTAATGCCAACAAGACTTGGCAACTATTTGGATGTGTGGGGTGAATGAGCCTGAAGAGTGAAGAATAACTCTAAGGTTGCAAACCTGGGTGACCAACAGGATGGTGGTGTCCTCCACAGTAAATGAGAAGTTGAGAAAAGGCAGGAATTGGGGGAAGAGAGAAAGGATTCTGCTTTGGACACATTATGTTTGAATTGCCAATGGGATATCCAATTGGAAATGTCTAATAAGACTGGAGCTCAGGAGAGAGATCAGGGCTGGATATATAGATCTGGGAGTCACCTGCACAGAGATGATATTTGAACCTTTGGGACCAGTCGTCATGACCTTTGTCCTGCCCCTGGACTCTGATGACTCTGGAGGAAACAGTGAGGCTGACAACTCCATGCAGCTCTGCCTCATTTAAATCCAGTTCACGTACAAGTCTAGACTTCACCCTTGTGACGTCATTGGTCCTCTGGGAAGGAAGGGTCAACAATGAACTTTTGGAGTTGAGGAGGACATCGAGAGTGTAGCGAGAGAAGAAAAGAAGGCCCAGGGCAGAGCCTTGGGGTATGACGCTGATTAGGAGGCTGGGCCCTATAAGGACTGAACAAAGAAAGCTGAGAATGAGCTGTCAGATGGGTGGGAGGAGAACCAAGCATCAGGAAAACCCAGAGAAAGAAGAGTGGTCAAGGGGACGACGTGGCCACCAATGCCGAACGCACAGTGATGTCAAAATGAATGAAGACTGAGAAAAGGTGACTGGATTTGGTGCCTAGACCGCGCTCCTCAAGAGCAGAGAGTAGGTCTTTTTGTAACTTGTTTTGCCTTTCTTAGGCTAATTCTTAGGTTTAAGTTGTTTGCCTGGGATCACACAGTAGGCAATGCTGGAGTCAGCATTTATTAAGGGCCTACTATGTGCCAGGCACTGCGTTAAGCCATGGGGATACAAAGGTAGGCAAAAACAGTCCTTGTCCTCAAGGAGCTCCCAGTCTAATGGGGCAGACGACATACAAACAGACAAACAACATGCTGTACATACAAGATAAATTGGGAGTAGTCTCCAAGGGAAGGGTCTAAGATTAAGGAGGGCTGGGTAAGGCTCCTTGCAGAAGGTGGGACTTATGCTGACACTTGAAGGAAGAGACAGGAGAAGGGGATGAGGAGGGAGAGAGTAAATGAAAGGAAATCTCCGAGGCACCAGCAATGAGGGGCACTGGGGAATGCTTTCTGCATACGCTGGGATTTGAGCCAAGCCTTCAGGAAAGCCAAGATGAGGAGGGAGAGAATTCCAGGCATGAGAGACAGCCAGAGAAAAGGCCTGGCATTGGGTAGGGTCTTGTGTGGGGGCGGGGAGATGGCAAGGCGGGAAACTGCAAGGAGGCCAAGGTCACTGGACCCCAGAGGACATGGAGGCAAGTAAGGTGCAAGAAGACTGGGAAGCACAATGGATAGAGAACCAGCCCTGGATTCAGGAGGTCCTGAGTTCAAATCCGGCCTCAGACACATAACACTTACTAGCTGTGTGACCCTGGGCAAGTCACTTAACCCCATTGCCTAGCCTAAAAAAAAAAAAAAGAAAGAAAGAAAGAAAAAAAAAAGAAGAAGACTGGGAAGGTAGCTGGGAAGGAACCAGGTTGTTAAGAGTCTTTAAAAACCAAAGGATTTCTATATAGGTGAGTGACATGGTCAGATCTGTATTTTAAGATCACTTTGACAACTGAATGGGGAACAGACTGGAGTGGGGAGAGACTTAAGGCAGGGAGACCACCCAGAAGGTTACTGAAATAACTTAGAACCCCAATCTCCAACTCCAGTACTTTTGCTAGCTACTCTCAATGCCTCAAGACCTCCACATGTTGGTTTCATCACCTAACCCACCAGTTCTCTCTAAGCCCAAGAAGGATGAACAACAGAGGAGTCGGCAGAACTGACTATACCTAAATTAGATAATCTGGTACCAAAAAATCTGGCATAGACTGATCTCTCCCAAGAAATATTTTCATTCCTGTCAATGCTGATGTCAACCGTTTTCTCATATTTTTAAAGCACTTTCTGACTAGGGTAAAGGAGACCCTACAAAAAACCTTTTAAATACTGTCAGTCTTACGGCAACTTTTTAAGGCCCTTTTAAAAATTGATGGTTTCTGTTTCTTACATCAACCATAGTATCCCACCTATCCCTCTCCACCCCTCTCTGAAAGCCATCCCATACGACAAATAGCATTTTTTTAGAGAGTAAAAAAAAAGTTAGCACAACTGATCAGTACATTGAAAAAGTCTAAAAACTGCAGTGTGTAAAAACAACTTATAGTTAATGGCTTCCTCTGTTGCTCTAGTTTACACCCAGGTCTATGGATTTCCTTCATTTCTAGAATGTGCATCTGTATACATGAGCCATATATGTATTTATATGTACATGTGTTCTCTAAATGCGTTTATGTGTTGCTAAGTAGGAACACTTCCGAGCACTTGGAGGTTTTTTGGGTCAGGAATCCTTATGTTCAGTTCTCTGGGAAAGGCTTTTTTCTTACTTTTCCTTCTTCTGAGGACAAAGAGTCTTTTGATTTGGGAGGCAGCAAGATGTAGGAGAAAGAATAACAGCCTTGCAGTCAAGAGGCCTGGGCTCTGGCCCCAGCTCTGACCCTCCCATGTTATGGGCTTGCAGACAAATCACTTATCTCAGTATCCTCTATAAGAAGAAATAGACTGGATTAGATGATACCTAAAGTCTATTCCAGCTCTTCTATTCTATGTTCTAATATTTGAAGACTGCAGAAGAAAATGATGACCTAGGAATGATGTGTCCTATTCCCTGAACTTTCAAAAGAATCAGAAAATCTCCCCAAGACCCCTTCTATAGACTATATTCATCAGGGGTGCTGCCCCCTGCTGCGGGGGTGAAGGTGAACTATAGCAAGCAATAGGAAGGTGGGATCATCCTTACAATCTCCCATTTTTTTCTTTTGTAGTTTGTAAGTAGCTTTCAGAAGACAAAGTTAGAGGAGAGCTGTGTTGGCTGCACTGTGCTGAGTTATAGGTGAGTTCCTCCCACTCCTATTTCTCCTCCTCTGGAGTAGATAACAGTCAGAAAGAAGGTGTATGGAGACTTGGCAACATCTGCCTCTGTGTGTTTGTTTCTGCCCCTTCTTTCTCCAACCTTAGGGATGGGAACTCCAGCGTCCTGGTGCGTTTCCGCCTACACTTTGTGTCCCAAACCCTGTGGTTCCTGACCGCTGGATTGGAGGAGGAAACACTCCGGCAAGGTCTGACCATGAGGTTCCGGGAGCACAGCATCCCCCTGCCCACCTATGGGACCATCTATTCTGCTGCACTCACAGGTGAGCCCTGCTAGCCTGGGCCAAGAAGGCATCAGGCCCAAAACTTCAGGAGTGGGAACACTTCTAAGAACTCGGTGCTTTCTTTTCTTTTCAAGTGGAGCTTGTGGGGAGAGAGGGAAGCAGAAGTTTTTCTGATCTTTAAAAAAGCTTATATTTAATTTCACTTTTTAAATCATATCCTCCCTCTTTGCCAAGATAAAAGCTAAAAGCTCTACACACTCAAAGGAAACTATCCTAAAAGATGACTGAATTGTTGTGATGCTTTTCTAGGCCTGCTATGCTTGAGAGCAGGACACCCTCAAAGCAGCCATGTTGTCAAGTACCACTTGTAAACGTTCCAAAACCTCCCATCATGTTCCCAAATTTCTATGATTTTTCCTTCCCTAGTTAAAGTCTTCCTTTCACCTCTGTGCTCTCCACTACCATATACCTGCATCACAGTGCCAAGATGAATTTCATGGCTAACCGACTTTGGTTTTCTGCCCTCTTGTCATTGCAGGGAACAAGGAGCTGCCTGCCACAGAAATCAGTCTGAAGTCAGGTGAGCCTCCTTTATCTGGGTAGGAGCTCTTTGCTCTATTGACAGCTTTTTTCTTTGTAGTTCATTTCCTGTGGTTTTCCGTTTCCTCTTCCAAATGAGCAAACCGAACTCGTTGTTATGTCCAATTCTTCATGATCCCATTTGAGATTTTCTTGGCAAAGGTATTGGAATGGTTCTCCAGCTCATTTTACAGATGAGGAAACTGAGGCAAACAGGGTGAAGTAACTTGTCTAGGGTCACACAGCTAGTATTTGAATTCAGGAAGATGTGTCTTTTTGACTCTAGGCCTGGCACTCTATCTACTGTGCCACCTAGCTGCCACTGAACTCCTTAGAACCAGCTCTTGGGGCTACCAAACCACAGGGGAGATGGTTTTGCCAGGCTAGAAAAAGTAGGGGGATGGTTAATTTAATAAGATGAACTCTAATGAGAATAAATGTAAAGTCTAACACTTAGGTTCAAAAAGTCAGCTGTAAAAGTCAACACTGGAAAAAGTATAACTTAAAAAGCATTTGTATAAAAAATACATAAGGGGATTTACCGAACCAAAAGCTCTGCCATGTCCAAGGCGTGGAGGTGACATCACAGGGATGGCAGAGGTTATCCATTCAACTCTTTTTTGGGGGCTAGGCAATGGGGTTAAGTGACTTGCCCAGGGTCACACAGCTAGTAAGTGTCATGTGTCTGAAGCCTGATTTAAACTCAGGTCCTCCTAAATCCAGGGCCGGTGCTCTATCTACTGCGCCACCTAGCTGCCCCTCTAGTTCAATTCTTATCTGAGGAAGTCAAGAAGGGAAGAAAGGGAAGGGAATAAGCATTTGTATAGCACCTACTATGTGTCAGGCCCAGTGCTAAACACTTTACAGATATTATCTCATTGAATCCTCACAACAAGCCTGGCGGGTAGATGCTATTATTGTTCCCATTTTGTGGTGGCTGTTCAGTCGTGTCTGACTCTTCATTGACCCCATTTGGGATTTTCTTGGCAAAGACACTGGAGTGATTTGCCATTTCCTTCTCCAGCTCATTTTACAGATGAGGGAACTGAGGCAGAGTTAAATGACTTGCCCAGGGTCACACAGCTAGTAAGTGTCTGAGGCCAGATTTGAACTCAGGAAGATGAGTCTTCCTAACTTCATTCCCAACATTCTATCCACTGTATCACCTTGTTGCTTCCATCCCCATTTTATAGATGAGGAAACTGAGACAGACAAAAATGACTTGTCCAGGGTCACATAGCTAGTAAGTGACTGAGGCTGGATTTGAACTCAGGTCTTCCAGATTTCAGGTCCAGCACTCTATACACTGTACCACCTGGTCTTACTAAGCATCTACTATGTGTCAAGCACAGTGGTAAGCAAGAATCCTCTCAACAGCATGGCCCCCAAATTGATCTATAGCCTTTCCTCGAGAGCTCTGGAGAAGGGAAACACTCAACCTCTCAAGGTAGACTATTTCTATTCTGGGTAGCTCTCATTTTTAAGTTTGGTTTTCTCCCCTGATGTTTGACTCTCTGTAAATTCTACCCATTTTTTCCAGTTCTACCGTGTGGGACTTGGCAGAACTTCATCCTTATGACAACCCTTCAAATACTTGAATATGGCTCTCATGCTCCACCTTGGTCAGCTCTTCTCCAAGCTAAACATCCCCAGGTTCTTTAAAAGGTCCTCATATGGGCAGGAGTTCAAAGCCCTTAATCACCCTAGCCAAGTGCTCCCCATCTTGTCAACCTCCTTCCTAAAATGGCCCCCAGAACACAACCCAGCACTCTAGAGGTGGTTGGACCAGGGCAGGACCATCACCATGTCAACTCAGGCTGCCCTGATTCACCCACATCTAGAGCTCTACGTTCAGTTCTGGGGGCCATGTTTTAGGAAGGACAGTGACAGGATGGAACCCTCTGACAACCAGTTTGGTGAAGTCTGTAGACCCCCTTCTAATAGCTAAGAAAAGCTAATAGCTAGCATTTATATGACACTTTAAGGTGTAGATAGTGCTTGAAAAATATTATCTCATTTTTCAGAATGAGGTTTTTAAAATTCATAATTGAAGGAAATACTAAATTTCAGATAGAAGTTAGTGAAAACAAAGATGTAATTTTTTTTCCCACCCAACTTCATAGATCTCCCAAAATCGATCCATGGACTATATACCATACATCCATAAGAACTCCTGAGTTTAGGAAATAGGAAGTAGACCATTTTGACTGAAACAAGAGAAGGGGCATAATATGAAATAAGTCTGGTAAGGTAGGTTGGAGCCAAGTTGGGAAGGACTCTAAATGTCAAACGGAGAAGTTTATATTTTATCCTATAGTTAAGAAGGAACAGCTGAAGATTTAGGAGCAGGGGAGTGACCTAGTCAGACATGTACCTTAGGAAGATTATTTTGGCAGAAGGTGGAAAGAAGGAAGGAGAATAGTCAATCAATCAATCAACAGGTCTTTCTTAATTATCATCTACTGTGTGCCAAGCAGCATGCAAGGCAATGAGGACATAAGCACAAGGAATGAAAAGATCCCTGCCCCCAGGATCTTACATTCTAATGGGGAAAATAACTATACAGAGAGCAAAAATATAAAGTGAGTAAATGCAGACACAGTAACAGAATTCAAGGCAGGTTGGGAGGGAGGGCACCAGCAGCTGGGGTAGAGGAATCAGGCCAGGCTTCAGGCCAAGATGGCGCCTAAGCTGCATCTTACCGGAAGAGAGGGACCCTATGGGACAGCGAGCTTCGCAGGCCTGGACACCAGCCAGTGATTAAAGAATGTGGTGATTGGGTTCTTCTCTGTCCCCAGGGCGCTGTCCAGGGAATGCATTTGCCTGCCAGAGTAACCAGTGCGTGTCCAAAGTGAATCCCGAATGTGACGGCAAAGTGGACTGCTCCGATGGTTCTGATGAAGCCCACTGTGGTCAGTCAATCCCACCCTCTTTTTCTCTGACAGAGAACTGAGCAGGGGAGGGGGCCACAACTTCAGGGCTTCTTTTGGTAAACTGCTTGTGTACCCCACCCCCAGACATCTCAGCCTGGGACAGGGGCAGGGCCAACTTGACTCTTGGGGAAATGGTGAGGACATGGGGAGGTCGGGGATTGAAACTCAGGTCAACCCCCGGTGGCCAGATGTCACAATCAGCTGCATAAAGCTGATATTTGGAGCTGGAGAAAACAGCAAGAGGAAAGGGAAAAGGAACCAAGATTTAATCTTAGGAAATACCCCCATAGCAGAAATAATAATAACAATAATAATAGTAATAATAATAAGGAGCACACACATTGTGCTTATTGCAAAACACTTTGCAAATGTTACTTCATTTGATCCTCACAACCACCCTTGGAGGTAGGGGCTCTTATTATCCCCATTCTCATCCCCCAGGATGAGAAACCTGAGGCAGACTGAGGTCAAGTGACTTGCCCAAGATCATACAAGTAGTGAGTGTCCAAGGTAAGATCTGAACTAGGTCTTCCTGACTCTACGTCCAGAGCTCTATCCATGGTGCCTGCAACGGAGAAAGAAAAGAGATACTTGGCAAGGCCAGAATACTGGCCCATGGACTTAGCATAGTACCATGGGAATGGTTCTGTATTTGAACACTGGAAAATTAGGTTCGATTTTCATTTCTGTCACCTAGAAGCTGCGTGGCCTTGGACAAGTCATTTCAGAGGATCTTGCTGAGAGCTGAAAGGGACTAGAGGTCAATTAACAATCAATCAGCATTTAGTGAACATCATATTAGGCATGTCCTGGCAGTTGGGAATACAAAGACAAGTCAAAAATGAAAGAATCTCTTCTCTCAAAGAGCTTTACAATTCTAATGGGGAAGACGTAACTATAAAAACAGAAACAAACATCAATATAGGGTATTCCAAAAGTCTTAATGCAATTTTAAGCTGTTCAAGCCTAAACTTGCACTAAGAATTTGGGGACACACTGTATATAAATTTATAAATAAATGTTATATAAAAATATACACTTAATAAATACAAAGTAGCTAAATGCAAGTATATAAAATTATAAATACTATATAAATATACACTTAATAAATACAAAGTAGCTAGATGCAAGTATATAAATTTATAAATAAATGTTACATTAAAATATACAGTTAATAAATACAAAGTATTTACATGCAAAGCATTTTACAGATGAGAAAAGTGAGGTCAAAGTGTTGAGGAGACTCGCTCAAGGTCACACAGATAGTAAGTGGCAGAGCTAACATTCAAATCCAAGGTTCTGACACCAAATCCTGTGCTTTTTACACCAATACACGCTGCCTTGGTTTCTTCATCTGTACAATGGGGATAATAATACCTGTGCTACCTACCTCATAGGGATTTTGTGAGCAAAATGCTATAGAAATGGCAGAGACTATTAAAATGTGATCTCACAGAAGCACTGAGCACCAGCATGGAATAGTGGAAAGAGTGCTGGTCTTAGAGTCAGGAAGAACTGAGTTCCAATCCCAAATCTGATACTCAGTAGCTGTGTAAACCTAGTTCATGTAACCTCTCTAAGCTTCAAAGCTTCTTGGATTGTGATCCGTGTTAGTGAAGAGAGTTCCTACACTGAGAGTTCTCACACTGGTAAAATCACAGATCCTTCACATGTTGGCTTATCAAAAGAGCCACAGGAAAGGGAGACATTTCTGTAGCGTCAAATGCTGCAGTGAGGTCAAGAACCATGAAGTCCATGAAAAGACTTGGATTTGTGTACCTTTCTTTGGGAGCTCGGGAGGGAAAAAGAAGTGAAAATGCATTCCAGTGCTACAGCCAAGTGAGAGTTTTTCATGAAAGTCAAGGCCTTCCTGGGTCTGCAGAGTCATTGGAGATAATTGAGAGGGAAGGGATTTGTAGGGGAGCTCAGTCTCTTAGGAAATAGGAAGGAATGAGAACTAAAGCATACAAGGGAGAATTGGTATTAAGGAGAAAGGGCACTTCTCTCTCTGAAACCAGTGGAAATGAAATAAGGAGAAAGATAGAGACAGACATGTTTGAGGTAAAGAGGAGCCTAGTAGGGGATGGGATTCATACAATTGGCCACGGGTTTTGTGTAAAAATTTTTCATGTTTTTCCTGATGAAATGTAATAAGGATAAACATAAATTCATGCTTGCATTAAAATAATCAGACTTTCCATGTACATTCCAGCCAAATCAACCTGCTAGTTATTCCCTAAACATAGTGTTCTATGGACCAGTTCCTGAACCTTCATATCGTCACAGCTAGAATATGTATCCTCATTAGTTCGATTTGTCAGGATGTTAAGCTTCCTTCAGTGCTCATCTCAAGTGCCACTTCCTAATACCCCTCCCAATTTATTATCCTTTCTTCCTCAGATTACTTTTTGTTTTTACTTATTTTCTACATATCATATCTTAATGTTCTCCCTACCCCCTATGTATAAGGTAGCTCCCTGAGAGTAAGGACCATTTGTCTCTGTGTTCTCAGGACCCAGCATTATACTTTCCCTACATTTGTGTATATTCAGTTGTTTACACTAAAATAATAACAATAGAAAAATAAGACTTCCTAAGTACAAGATGGACAAGTTATGGTTAGAGACCAATTGGTCTGAAAAACATCTAGGGGTTTTAGTGGACCACAAGCTTAAAAGGCATCAACAGTGTGATATAGCAGCCCCCCCAAAAAAACAACAACAACAACATCAACATCAATGCTGCATTGAGAGGTATAACTTAAGGAACAAGGAGGCAATAGTTCCGCTGTATTCTACTCCATATTCAAGGTTACACAGATAGTAAGCGGCAGGGCTGAGATTCAAATCCAGTCTTCTGACTCTAAATCCTGTGCTTTTAACCCCAATATACCCTGCCTCAGTCTTGTGTTCAATTCTGAGTGACACAGTTTAGGAAGGATATTGATTACATAAAGATTGTCCAGGGAGGGGCAACCAGGATAGCAAAGGGCCTGGAGTCCATGTCATATGAAGATTGGTTGAAGAAGCAAAGGACGCTTACCCCAGAGAAGAGACAACTCAGGGGATATATGAGCACAGTCATTGAGTACTGGAAGAGGATTAGATTTGTCCTGTTTGGCCCCATGAGGCAGAACTGGGAACAGTAGGTAGAAGTTGAAAAGAGGCAGATCTAGGCTGGATCTCAGGGAAAAACTCCCTAACTCTTGGAGCTATCCAAAGGTGAAATGGGCTGCCTTGGAGACAGTGGGTTTCCCTTCATTGAAGGTCTTCATATAAAGGCTTGATGATCACTTCTCAGATATGCAGTCATGGGGATTCTTTTTGGTGTGTGGGTTGGACTTAGATGGACATGGTCCTTTCCAATTCTACCATTTTGTAATTCTGTGGACAAGGCAGAGGGACATGGGTCAACTATTGGCACGTTTGAGTAGCCTTAGAACTGGCTGAACAACTGTACCCAAAGAATTCATGGGATGATGTCAACTTAGAGGTCTCTAATGATGTCCTCACAACACATCTGCGCTTTTCTTCATACTGTTCCACATTTTAGTCAATAACTTGGGTAAAAGCATGGCTGAAATATTTACTGAAGCAATATAGCTCATGCATTGAATGTTGCAGCGGATAGAGTGCCAGACCTGGAGTCAAGAAGACTCAACTTCCTGAGTTCAAATCTGGCCTCAGACACTTACTAGCTGTGTGACCCTGGGCAAGTCATCTAACCCTGGTTGCCTCAGTTTCCTCACCTATTAAACGAGCTGGAGAAGGAAATGGCAAACTGCTCCAGTATCTTTGCCAAGAAAACCCCAGAGGGGGTCATGAAAAGTTGGACACAACTGAACAACAACAACGAAATGGCTGAAATATTTATTGAAGCAATATAGCTAGTACACTGAATGTCAGACAGTATCTTAGAAAGTCTCAATAGACTAGAATAAAGGATTAATTTTAACAAGATGGAATTTAGTAGGGTTAAATGTAAAGTCTTATACTTGGGTTCAAAGAATCAAATACAAGTACAGGATGGGGGTGGTATAGCTAAATGAGTTCAGCTGAAAAAGACCTGGAGGTATCAGTGGACTGCAAGGACAATATCAGTCATGGTAGTGGCATAGCAACAGAAGCAAGCCAGAGTTCTTCACATAGAAGCTGGACTGCTTGGGGAGGTCAATTCCTTCTCAGAGGTGGGTTGTATAACATGGCCTCTAAGGTTTCTTCCAAATCTGTGATTTTGTGGGATCTTCTCAGTAACAGGCTATCAGGTTCCTGATGATGAAAGTCCAAGGTCTTGTCTTTTTCAGATTGTGGAGGCCGACCTGCCTTGAAATCAGCCAACAGGATTGTGGGAGGAATGGAGGCTGCCAGGGGGGAGTTTCCATGGCAAATCAGCCTTCGAGAACACAATGAGCACTTCTGTGGGGCAGCGATCCTCAGTGCCAAATGGCTGGTATCTGCAGCTCACTGCTTCAACGAGTAAGCTCCTTAAATGTCACCAGTTCCTCATCCACCCACCTCTCAAATGGGCTCAGAATGGCCACCATTTCCCACTAAAGTCAAACTGAAAAAAAAAAACCTCTTTCTACCATATTGAATTAAGATGTGGCATGAGAAGGTAAGTATTGAGAATGAAGCACTGAATTTATAGTCAGGAGATACAGGTTCAGATTCCAATGGCTCTGTTTCTAGATATGTGACCTTAACCTCAGTTTCCTCATCTGCAAAATGGGATTGTTGAATTAGATGATCTCTACAATCCCTTCTACCATAACACTCTATGAATACTGTGTTTATTCTGTTGTCTTATAGCATATAGGTCTGTACCATATGACTTCTGTATTGTGGTATGGGAAAAAGAGTGCTACATAGAATCAGAAGAACAGGCTTTGACTTTAGGTTCCGTCACTTCCAACATGTGTGACCTAGAGAACTGGTGTGATATAGCGGGAAGTAGGTCAGTTCTAGATTCAGAAGATCTGAGTCTGAGTCTTGGCTCCGACATTTTCTAGCTGTGGGACCAAAGGCAAGTCTTAACTTCTCTGACTCTGTTTTCTCATCTGTAAAAATAGGGATACAAATTCAACAAATATTGAAGGTCTACTGTGTGCAGAGTACTGTGTAAGGTACTGGGGGGGGGGAGGAGATATAAGATTTAGACAAGGCATAATTTCTACTTTTGAGGAGCTTACAATAGTGTAGAAATATAACAATACTTTTACTACCTACCTCAAAGTGTTCTACATACCTTAAAGCACCATGGAAATGTGCATTGTAATCATTATTATTGTTGTTTTTGCTATTATTATTATGCCTCTCTGAGCCTCTGTTTCCTCACCTGTGCAGTGAGGATCATAATGCTTGTACTTCCTATTTCATAGGGTTGGTTGTGACAAATGCAAATCTTAAAGAATTCAGTAGACCATAAAGCTATATAAATGCTAGCTATTATTATAAATGATATTATTATTACTATTATTCCCCCCACTCTTCTCTGCTTTTTTGAGGTAATACAATAAAATAGTAAAGGTAAAAATTTGTTTAAGGAGTTTTGTCAAGAGACCCATCTAAACAAAGTCATTTCAAAGGCATATAAGCATGAAAATGAAAGGACAACACCCAAAAGAAAAATGTAAAAGATCTGCAAAAACTTTTTATAACAATCTGTTTATAGGTGCAACTGGTTTCACCACATTGGAACTCTCTAACATTACAGTCCTAGACATGCTTTTGAGGTAAGTAGAAATAGCAATAAACTGAACAAAGATAGGAAAAGCAGCCAGGTTGTACTACGTGTACAAAGAAGAGATCCATCTGTGCTGGAGGCAGTGCAATCGTGAGGGGCCAACAGACCAGCTCACAAGGCATCTGCAGGAAGGGAAGATATCAAAAACACGGAAAAAAGTCTTGAACCTTAATAATACCCCCCAAAAAAGCACTTGGTACGCCACCAATAACTCCTCATAAATATTTTGTAAAATACATATCTCCGCTCGTCTACGTCTATGCACAAATTGAGGGCATTTGAAAGGATTAGGTAGGCTTTCACAAGAGATATTCTATAATTACTATACCTTTGCCCTTTTTCAACTAAGAGATGGAGAAGGATGCAAGAGCTCACTGTGTTTATTGTTCACTGATTATGAAACAGCTTTTGATTTAGAAGAACAAAGCACCACTTTAAAAGGTTCCCTCCAACAAGGCGTCTCCTTTCCATACAGAAGAAAGAAAAACTAACCCTGTTCAAGGAACCTCTGATCATAAACATTAGGTAACGCATAAAATGGGCCGCTAGGTGGCACCATAGTGCATAGAACGCAAGGCCTGCAGTCAGGAAGACTCATCTTCCTGCGTTCAGATCCAGCCTCAGACATTGACTAGCTGTGTGGTCCTGGGCAGGCCGCTTCACCCATGTAACACAGGTCCCCAGGCCAGAGGGCTACACGGCTGTTCATTTTGACTAAGGGGGAAGGGGGGGAAATCACAACAGAGGGCAGCCAGAGAAACAGAGAGGGGAAGTCAAGTTTGGAGAAAGGGAGAAAAGGAAGCAAAATGGATTTTTTTTAAAAAGAAGCTTTTGCAGTTAGTACTTGAAGTGGGATAGAGTTGCATGGAATTACAACGGACTCAGGGAGACATGCATTCAAAGTCCTAATTCTGACATTTATTAGCTATGTGACTTGGGGCAAATCACGTAACCTGTCTGAGCCTCTGCCCATCTGCAAGATGGGGACAACAATTTACTTTCCCAGCAGTTGTGAAGAAAACACCTTATAAACTTTAAAGTACCATAGAACCACCATCATCTTCCTCCTTCTCCTCCTCCTCACTTCATTACTAAATACAAATTAGATGAAAGGAATGGAGATTAAAGAGTTGCTTAAATCTGAAAAGAAACAAGAGAAAATATCATATGCACTCCTTGACCATGGATGTCATCATTATATCCTGGTCTAGGTGGCACAGTAGAGATAGTGCCACGCATAAAGTCAGGAAGATTCATCTTCCCGAGTTCAAATCTGGCCTCTGACACTTATAAGCTATATGACCCTGGGAAAGTCACTCTACCACGTTTGCCTCAGTTTCCTCATCTGTCAAATGAGCTAGAGAAGGAAATGGTGAACCACTCTAGTATCTTTGCCAAGAAAACCCCAAATGGCAGCACAAAGAATTTGACATGACTGAAAATGACCGGACAATGACATTGTTCTATCACTCCACTGAAAAGCACGTTCACCTTCATATCGCTGAGACTTTCTCCAACAACATAAAAATATAATTTGGATTGACAAGTACAAAATTCTTAAAGTGCACCCAGGAAGAGCAGACACTGAAGGCTTTGAGTGAATCTGTGAATCAAATTATAAACATAGATGAAGATCAGTCTTTCACAATTGTCTATCTTTACAACGTGGTTGTTTTTGTATAAATTGTTCTCTTGGTTTTACGTACTTCACTTTGCATCAGTTCCTACAAGTCTTCTCTGAAACCCTTCATTATTTCTTACAGCACTAAAGTATTCCATTACATGCATGTACCCTAACAGGATGAGACATTCCCCACTTGAGATGCATCCTCCTAGTTTCCAGTTCTTTGCTAAGACAAAAAAACTGCTATAAATATTTTTGTATGCATGGGTCCCTTTCCTCTTTCTTTCTCTCTTTGGGGGTACAGGCCTAGGGTAAGAGAGTAAGCACAGTGTAATAGCTTTGTGGACACAGTTCCAAATCTGAGAAGAACATTTCTCTAAAGTTGTAGAGTGATTGAAGTACCCAGAGGGATGACTGGAGGGTAGTCTGATTGGTGGTTTGCTCCCCTAGATTCCAGGACCCCACAGTCTGGATGGCTTATGCTGGTACCACCTTCCTCAGCGGCTCTGACATTGGCACTGTGAAGGCCCACATCGCCCAGATCATCAAGCACCCCTTCTATAACTCAGACACCGCAGACTTCGACGTGGCCGTCCTTGAGCTGGGCAGTCCCTTGCCTTTCACCAGCCACATCCAGCCAGTGTGCCTCCCCTCGGCCACTCACATCTTCCCTCCCAGGAAGAAATGTCTCATCTCTGGTTGGGGCTACCTGAAGGAAGATTTCTGTAAGCACTGTGGGAGCAGGGGGTGCGGTGGCTAAAGAACTCAGCCCAAAGAGAAGGCCAAATGAGATTGGGAGGGTGCTCCTGAGACTGTTTGTCTGCTTTCTCTTTCCTCCTTAGTGGTGAAACCTGAGGTCCTCCAGAAGGCAACCGTGGAACTCTTAGACCAGGCACTGTGTGCAAGCCTCTATAGCAACTCGCTCACAGACCGGATGGTGTGTGCTGGCTACCTGGACGGGAAGGTAGATTCCTGCCAGGTGAGGTGCCGGCCTCTGGGGAGAGCATAGCCCTCTTTATTGGGGATCAGAGATTCACCTTATCAAATCCCAAGAGACAGGCTAGTGACTCCTATAAACTACCCGCTACCATTACGAGACGGTAGCTGGCGTGCAAGCCTCTCTATACCAGTCAGCCAATAAACATGAGTTAAGCACCTACTGTATGCCAGGCATCAGGCTAAGTTCTGGAGATACAAAAAGAAGCAGAAGAGCTCACAGTGTAATCCCCACTTGGTCCCCCATGGCACACTAGTTGCCTAGCTAATAATAATAATAATAATAATAATAATAATAATAACGATAACTAGCATTTACAGAGCATTTTCAGGTTTGCAAAGTACTTTCCGTGTGATATCAGTTGATCTGTCTGTCTGTCTTTGCATCTCCAGCACTTAGCAGTCAGTATGGCACATGCTGTTGTTTGGGCATATCTGACTCTTCACAACCCCTCTGACCACAACATGCCAACACTGTCCAGGGGCTTTTCTTGGCAAAGATACTGGAGTGGTTTGCCATTTCCTTCTCCTGGGGATTAAGGCAAACAGAGGTTAAATGTCCAAGGTCACACAGCGATGAAGTTTCTGAGGCTGGATTTGAACTCAGGTCTTCCTGACTCCAGGCTCAGTGCTCTATCTGCTGAGCCATCTAGCTGCCCTAGTGTGTCCAATAGTAGGTCCTTAATAAATGTTTGTTGACTTGACTGTACTATTATTATCCCCGTGCTACAGATGAGAAAACTGACAATATAACTGTCACTTCTATGGGGCTTTTGAAGGAGGTGCTATCATTATCCTGATTTTACAGATAAGGAAATTGAGGCAGACAAAGTTTTAAGTGGCTTGCCCAAGGTCACATAGCTAGTGTTTGAGGCCAGATTTGAACTCAAGGCCTTCCTGACTCTAAATACACCCCTGCTCCACCCAGCTGCCTCTGTATTCATTCACTCTATATTAGGTGACCAGTTGAAATGCCTAATGGGAGCAGCTAGGTGGCACAGTGGATAGAGCACTGGCCCTGAAGTCAGGAGGACCTGAGTTCAAATGCGGCCTCAGACCAAACACTTGACACTTACTAGCTGTGTGACCTTGGGCAAGTCACTTAACCCCAAAGAATAATGAAATGCTTATTCCCTTCCTGACTTCAAGGCTGGCCCTTTATCCACTGGGTCACACTGCCTCTTATAACAATTATCATCTGCTTCATGAAGATGCACTTCCTTGTGCCTAAGCCACTCCCTAATAGGAAGATGGAGGCTTAACTCACTCCTGTGGGCCAGTGGTTTGCCATGTAAGGCACTGAAGTGCTGAACATAGAACACAGAATGTCCGAGCTTGGAGGGACACAAAACAAAGAAGTGCAGAGCCAAGAAAGACCTAAAGGACCATCTATCTAGTCTAGTCCCTTCATTTGGTAAAGAGGAAAACTGGGACCTAGAAAAGGGCAGGTATTTGCCCAACCCATCACAACTAGTAAGTGACGGAGCGGTGAACCGAACCCAAGTTGTTTGCTGTTGTTTTTAATGAGGAAAATACTCCCCTGGCCACGTCTTGAACCTTTAAGTGAATTGTAGCTCCTGTGTCGACCTGGCCTCCAGGGATCACGGGATCACAGATCTAGAGCCACAGGAAATTTTAGGGGCCATCTTGCTCAACCCCATCCTTTTACAAGGGATTTTTCCTTATTGTGACCAAAAGGTCGCCAGGAACGGTAATGACAGCTCACCTGTCCAACAGCCCAGCAAGGTTTGTGAAATCTTCAGAGACATAGGCTCATATAAAACTCCCAGCCTCACTTAGCAGGCAAGGTACCGGGGGAGGGCATGTATCTTTCTCATTCTTGTTTTTCGTACTTCAAATTGCCCTCAGGTTTTAGAAGGAAAAAAATAAAGAGGTTTCTGCCATGACCTACCCAGAATAGATAGGGAAAGGATTGGCATCATGGTACTTTGACCCTGGAGTCAGAGGACCTGGGTTCAAATCCCACACCTAACCTTTGTGATCCTGGGTAAATCCCTTTACCTCTCTGGGCCTCAGTTTCCCCATCTGCAAAATGAGACGGTTGAACCAGATGACCCCTGAGGTCCCTTGTAGCCCTAAAGCTATGATTAGCTCTGGTCATAGCCAGTAAAAGTTCAGACACAGACCAGCTGCCTTCCATAGCTTTATTCCCATTTTATAGAAAAGCTCTCAGGCTCTGAAAAGTTAAATGACAGCTAGTGTCAGAGGCAGGATGTGAGGCCAGATCTTTCTTGGTTCCCAGTGCCTGGCACATAGTAGGTGCTTAACAAATACCTGCTGATTGATTTCGTCTTCATATACACGTGGCCTGGGCAGTGACTGAGCAGCCCAAGCCTGGGAAGCCTTGGCTAAGTGATTCTCAGCATCCTCCCCCGTCCTGGAGCAGGGTCATGGGACCTCCTCAAGTTGGAGCAATGTTCAGGGGCTCCATGCTGACCCAATAGTGTTCCTTGGCTCCCTGCCATTGGACTCCCCCTGGACCTTGTCTGTTTCAGTTCCCCTGGTTGGTGAGCAGCCAGCCTGGTTTCGAATTCTATGGCCCTGTGGTTTCTGTGGGAACACAGCAACTTGCTAAAAATAACATCTAACCAAGGAATGGAAGCCATGTCTCCTGATTAGACCTTCCCAGGGAGGGAGGGTTGGGGAGCAATCTATTTTGAATTATGGGCCCACTGAGATCCAGCTTCCTTTTGAGCTGAACTAGACTAATGTGGAAATATGTTTGACGTGATTGCATATGTATAACCCATATTGGATTGCTTGCTGTCCTGGGAAGGGTGAAGGGAGAATTTGGAACTCAAAATCTTATTAAAAAGGAATGTTGAAAACTATCTTTACATGTAATTGGAAAAAAAAAACAAAATACTGTTTATGAAAAGAAATACAGAGAATTGCAAAAAAAAAGAAAAAGAAAAAAAAAGATGTCTAGTGCACATTGAGTTTAAGATGGTAGGAGCCATCACCAGTCATCCTGATCTATATCCTACCTCTGGACCCCACACACACACTCCACCATCCATCCCCAAAATGGTGCCTTTATCTCTGTGATGGGTGGTGCCTCTCACCCAGCATAAACACTTCCATAGGACTCCTGCATGGGGAAACCCAAAGTGGGGAGTGGAAGGTGATTTCTTCATCAGAGTTTAACCAAGTTGGGTTTTGAGCGGATCACAGAAGCCATTTGGGACCCACACAAATCTGTGACTTTTGCCCACAGGGTGACTCAGGAGGACCACTAGTCTGTGACGAGCCCTCAGGGAGGTTCTTCCTTGCTGGCATTGTAAGCTGGGGCATCGGCTGTGCAGAAGCTCGGAGGCCGGGGGTCTATGTCCGTGTGACCAAGGTTCGAGACTGGATTCTGGAGACCATCTCAACAGCCCCCACTGTCAGCGCACCAGCTGTCTTTCCTGACTCCTCCACCACCAGCAGTGATTGGCTCTTGACTACAGAAAGGCTCATGACCAGTATCACCACCAAGCCCAAGCTGGTCACCAGCACTGAGTTGGACACAGTGTCTCTCTCTCCAGGCACCACTTCCAGGCCACAAGGTAATTTACAAGGTCACTGACAGGTGCTGGAATGAGGGCTCTATGTCAGCAGCTCAGAACAGCTGCTGGATTCTTCAGAACCACTCCCCAGCACAGCGGCATACTGACACTAATAATAATGACTCAGGATAAGGACTGGACTTCCACTGGTAGAGGAACCTCCCAGAGGGAGAAACTCTCTACAACTTTGAGAGCTGTCCAGAGCAATGATGCTCAGCCTGGGGTCCAGGAGCTTGTTTTTAAAAATATTTAAACACTGTATTTCAATATAATTGGTTTCCTATGTATTTTATTTTATGCATTTAAAACTATTCTGAGGAGTCCACTGGCTTCACCAGACTGACTACCAAGGAGGTCCAAGATATACAGAAAGGTTAAGAACCTCTGGTAACTTAGCCAGGGACCACATAGACCCTATGAGTCAGAAGCAAGATTTGAACCAAGATTTTCCTGGCTCCAAGACCTACTCTTTAACCACTATACCAAAACCACCAATGATCTTCTAACTAGGATCATAATATTTAAACCAAAAGTAACCTTCGAGATCATTCAATCCAACCTCTTTTTAAAAGATGAGAAAAGCGAGCCCCAGAGGAAGGAAAGTGACTTTCCCAAGGTCACACAGGGAGTAAGCAGAGGAACCAGCATTCAAACTTGGGTCGTCTGGTACCAAATCTAGTATTCATTCCATTACACCATCTGCTTCTCAGCACATCCTTAGATAGGACGTTCCTCATACTTTGCTCCATTATGCAATTGGAGAAACTGAGGCTAAAGGAAGTGCTTTGCCCATGGTCACAAGGCTAGTAAATGTCCAATCTCTGACTCAGGTCTCCTGATTCCAAATCCTGCATGCTTTCTCTACTGTACCAGACTTCTTCTCATAAACAACAAAAAAGCCCCACAAAAATACATTGCAGCGAGGTAGCAAGGGGGTGCAGTGGGTAGAGCCCCGGCCCTGGAGTCAGGAGGACCTGAGTTCAAATCTGGCCTCAGACACATAACACTTAGTAGCTGTGTGACCCTGGGCAAGTCACTTAACCCCAACTGCCTTGCCCCCAAAATATATAGATATAGATATAGATATAGATATAGATATAGATATAGATATAGATATAGATATAGATATAGATATAGATATAGATATAGATATAGATATAGATATAGATATAGATATAGATATAGATATAGATATAGATATAGATATAGATATATAAATATTACAGAAAGAATACGTGAAACCTCCTCTTGTGGATGTGGTTCAAGAAGAAAATAAGCACTTATTTGCTTGTCTAGGTGAGAAAGGAATAAGCATTTATTAAGTGCCTATGGTGTACCAGGCACTATGCTAAGTGCTTACAAATATTATCTCATTTAATCATCACAACCCTGGGAGGTAAGTGCTATTATTATCCCCATTTTATAGTTGAGGAGACTGAGGCAGACAGAAGTTAAGTGACTTGCCCAGGGTCACACAGCTAGTAAGTGTCTGAAGCCAGATTTGAACTCAGGAAGAGGAGTCTTCTTGACTCTAAGCCCAGCACTCTGTGCAATATGGCACCACCTAGCTGCTCTAATAATAGCATCTTTTAAATTACCTTAAAAGGGAAGGAAGAAATGAAGGAAGGAAGGGAGAAGGGAAGGAGGGAGGAAGGGAGAAAGGAAAGAAGGGAGGGAGGGAGGAAGGAGGGAGGACCTGTTAAGTGCTTACTTAAGCCAAGCCCTATGCTAAGCTTCTATTCTAATGGGGGAAGAAAACTTCCAGAAAGGCAGCTGAAAATGGGAGAACAGCCTTAAAGTTCCAAACCAAGAATGGGTCTGGGAAGGGAATGAAGGCGGGCCTGGGCTCCGCCATAAAATGGAGGCTCCGGCACGTACCACAAGGAGAAGGTGGCCCTTACACAGAGACGTTCCCTACTGAGAAGGTCACAGGGGTGTCTAGATATTCCAGGACAAGGAGGCTCTGGGTGCTGAGGGAAATTTCTGAATGAGAAGCCTGGCTTGGAAGGCTGGGAGGCAGGAATAGGGCCAGGAGGGAAATGAAGGCCTGTCTGGCCAGTGTGATTGATCAGTTGATAGACTGATGTCTTACACTGAGATTATAAATATAAATTAGAAGAGACTTCAGAAATGACCTGGTCCAACGACTTTACCTTCAGGGTGCGGGCAGGTTCAAAGGGACTGATTGATTTCCCCAAATTCACACAGCTGGGCAAAGCTAGGCCCAGGCCTCTGCCAGGCCCTGGGCCTCTATGAACTGTGTTCTTCTATTCCACCACACAGACGTCCACTCCATCTCAAATTCAGGAATCAACCTGGATGGGCTGAAAGAGCTGATCTTCCTCGGCTCTGGTTTTTGAAAAAGTCTCGGACAAGTAGGGCACTTTCTCCTTTGCTTCTCTGCAGAGTGTGGGGGGAGACCGGCCATGCCCAAACCTAGCAAAATCGTCGGGGGATTTGACGCTGCCCAGGGCGAGGTTCCATGGCAGGTCAGCCTGAAGGAGGGATCTCGGCACTTCTGCGGAGCCACGGTGGTGGGGGAGCGATGGCTGGTGTCAGCAGCCCACTGCTTCAATCAGTAAGAACATGCCTCACCCACCTGGGAAATGCAGCAGGGATTTGGCTCCTCTCATGGCCCCATGGTTATCTCCTATCAATATAGCTTCACCTATATTCAGGTTAACATTCAGTTAGGGTGTGTGCCCCCAACCCAATCTCATGTTTCCATCCATCTAACAAACATTTATTAAATGTCAACTGTGTACAGAGCCCTATTCTATGTAGGCACTAAGGGAAAAAAGACAATTTAAACATCACAAAATTATAGAATCAAAGAGTAGGAAGGCCCTCAGAGGTCATCTCATACCTTAACAAGAATCCCACTGGGACACATGTGACAAGTGGTCATCTAATAGAGAGGTAGGGGGTCTGTGGATGTGGAATAGTATACGTGCTACCAAATGTCTTTAACTTTTTCTTTGTAATAATGGAGAACTCACTGGGTCCGGGGAAAACGGAGGAAATACCTAAAAATGACTGGTGGTTTTTTTTTTTAAAGACCTTAAGCAATAAATTAAAAAAAAAACTAAATCAAAAACCAATAGCAATAATACATAAGAGAATTCTACTAGAAATCAAATTCCAGCTCACAAGCCTAATTCCATCCTCTTCCCTTTTTTTGAAAATCAGGACATCCGCCCTTTTCCACCAGGCGGCCCCTCCCCCATTCTCCAAGATCTTCCAAAGGTCACAGGGACTCAGTAGCCACAGCTGATGTTTCTTTTGGTACAATGCCTCTCTGTGCCTGGCACGTTGTAGGTGCTTAATACATGTTGATTGGCTGACTGGTTGCATGTATCTCCTCTCATCTTAGGGACCTGAGCTCAGCAAAGGCAGAGACAGCTGCTGTCTTACTGGGCGCCTTCTTCCCTTGGCCACCGTCTCCCTCTGAGCACTTTCTATCTTGTCTTTCCTAGTCTATCAAACATTCTCCTCATCCCAGAAAACAAAACCAAAAAGAGCGCTGTGCAACACCCCCTTCTCTCCTTGCCCCCTCATCATTATCCTCTCCACTCTGACCACTTGTCCATCCCTCCTGCGAAGCTCCTCTTTTCCCTGTCTTGGCTTCAAAAACCAAACCAAACCCCTTGGGGTGTGACTGGCTTTTCTTGCCAGCCCTGGCTCGTTCTGAACTTTAGCCTGCTTGGGGCTATTTGGGGATGTTGAGAATCTTGACTGTCTCTCATCTAGGCTGTTAGCTCCACTGGAGAGAGAGCCTTTACAATGTAAGCATCTTGAGAGCAGGGGTGACTTCCATTTGTCCTTTGCAGCATCCCCAATCCCTGGTACACAGCAGGCATTTAATAAATGCTATCAGGTTGAATTTAGGACTCCTGACCCTCTTGTATGCCATGCCATAATATTCATCCTTGCTTGCTACCAGCGCTTGCTTCTGTCTTCAGCATGTGTCTTTTTAAAACTCTAAGTAGTTGGCTGGTGATTTTCCTGTCGTCCCCCCCCCCCGGCCCCGCTTTCTGCATATTGTGTTAGGACAAGTACTTCATTTATTTATTTAGTGTTTTGGTGAGGAAATTGGAGTTAAGTGACTTGCCCAGGGTCACACAGCTAATAAATGTCATGCATCTGAAACTGGATTAGAACTCATTTCCTCCTGACTTCAAGGCCAGAGCTCTATCCACTGCACCACCTAGCTGCCCCTGACAAGTACTTCAAAGAAATTCTCCCAAAGCCCTTGGGGCCTAAGGGAGGTGGGGTCCACGGGAAAGAGGCAAGAGGATCCAGGAAGGCTCTGTGAAGGAGATAGCAATTGAGTTAGGCTTTGAAAGGTGGGTAGCAATTTAGCTCTTGATGGAAGGAGACAACACTCCAGGGATAGGGCTTGGTGTGAGCAAAGGCAGGGAAGTGGTAAAGTGCAGGGTGCCTTTGAGGGGAGAGATTCAGAGGTTGAAACATGGGAAACGTTCCTTAAGTATCTCTAGGAGGTTATCCCACATTATAATGAATTCAACTGTAAGCCAGGATTCAAAGCTGGGTATTTGCACAGAATAATCATCCTCTTCACCAGTGAAGAGAGTCTTTCAATGGCAGCCTTCCTAGAAGATCCTCCTGGTTCTTCCACCCTACTGCTTCTTATCCCAGGAGTTGGTAGGCTAAGCTACTGGATGCCCTCCCTTTCTTCCAAGGTGGGGAGTCTAACCATTTCCCAAGCCCCTGGTGATGATGGTGGGTTGGGGGATGTCTATGTGGGCTTCTGTCTCTGCAGCACAAAGATGGACTTTGTGAAAGCGTATTTGGGGACGACGTCCCTCACGGGGGCAGATGGCAGTGCTGTAAAGGTCAGCATCAAGAGCGTGGTGCTCCACCCCTCCTACAACCCTGTTATACTAGACTTTGACGTGGCCTTGCTGGAGCTGGCCAGCCCGCTCCTCTTCAACAATTATATCCAGCCTGTCTGCCTCCCACTGGCCATCCAAAAGTTCCCCGTGGGCCGGAAGTGCATGATTTCTGGATGGGGGAACACCTATGAAGGCAACGGTGAGTTCTGCCAGGATCTCTGAGGTCATCTCATCCTGTTACCTGCCTACTGGCCTCCCCACTGCATCACACCAGTGAATTCTACACCATTTTCACCCTTCGGGACTTTGGGGGTCCTAACAAAAAAAGGGTATGACAGTGCTTCCAACAGGGATGGGTGTGAAGGATCACAGGCTTGTAGTGTTTAGACCCAGAAGGAACCTTAGGGACCCTCTATTATAGCCCCCTCATTATACTCTGGGTGACTCAGAGAGGGGAGGGGACTTCTCCAGGGTCACACAGGCAGTAAGTAAGTAACAGAGCCAGGGTTCAAGCCTCTGTCTTCTGACTCCAAATCCAGTCCCATTTCCGTAACATCATGGGATGGAGATGGATGAAAAAATGGATGGGGCACAATGGTCTCTGGGGTCCCTTCTAAGGGTGAAATGCTATGATTCAATAAAATCTCATCAGTCTTCCTCCAAGTTTTCCCTCTTAGGCTTAGCGGGACGTCCTTTACCTGGAATTGTGGGTAACTTGTCTAACTCATTAACATGATCACCAGTTTCAACACATCCCTTTTGTTTTTCTTTTTTGCAGCAACTAAGCCCGACATCTTGCAGAAGGCCTCTGTGGGTATTATCGATCAAAAGACATGTAGCATCTTCTACAATTTCTCCCTCACTGATCGTATGATGTGTGCTGGTTTTCTGGAGGGGAAAATAGATTCATGTCAGGTAAGCATGGGCAAGTCCTGATGCCATCTTAACTAGCAGGAATCCCATCTGGTGGTGGAACAAGGTAAGGCCCAGTCCTGGAGTCAGAGAAATGGACGGGCCTCTGAAGGAAAGGGTTCAATCCAAAGACAAGATGGAGGTCATTCAATGGTGTTTCCCAAGCTTTATCTCACTTCTATGCCTTTGTGCATGCTTGGAGCCAATTCCGTCCATGGGATCGTAGGATTTGAGTTTGCACATCTCTAGTTATTGAGACCTTTCCGTTCCTTCAAGGAGAGATTCTGGTGCCACCCCCACCCCAGGACAGCTTCCATGAGTCTGCTCCAGCTAGACATGATCCCTCTCCGTCTGAATTCCTCAGGCCTCTGTTGGATCTTTTCTATGCATTTATTTCATTCTCATTTGCATTTACTTGTACATGTAACTCACTTCTCTACTAAGGTTTAAGTTCCCTGAAGGCAGAGACTGTCATTTTTCATCTGTTTCCCAAGGGTCTTGTACATACTAGGTATTTAGTAAGGGCTGAATTGAATGGTTGAATTAAGGGAATATTGTCCGCGTGCTCTTTTTAATCCCAGAAAACAGGCTGATTTTAGCCTAGGCCCAAGGATAAGAACGAAGGTAAGCCTTACATGTAATTGGAGAAAAAAACATATTACTTAAAAAAAAAAAGAATGAGGGTGGACTGAGGGGGCCTCCAGGTCTTCTATAGCTAGACCTGAACCCCCCAGGACTAGTCTAGAATACTAATAGTAATAATAATAACTCACATTTGTAAAACACTCTAGGGTTTACAACATGCTTTTTTTTCCACAAGAACTCAGCATGGTAGATAGCACAAATGTTATTATCCCCATTCTACAGATGAGAAAAGTGAGACTTGCTCCCGGTCACTGTCAGAGTCAAGATTCAACCCCAGGTCTGACTCCAAATCTAACCCCTCTTCCAGACAGAGAGGGAGAGTCCTGGTGAGTGAGAGAAGAGGCGCCGCAGTGCAGCCTGACTACCTAGCGTTGCACTACTCACACTAGCAGGGTTCTTTCTGGCCTGGCGAGCAAAGCTTGCCATTCAGAGGGCAGATCCTGCTGCCTGGAGGGTAGTCCTTCTCACTTGTATATGGCTATCTCAGGATCCCTTAGGGTTAGCTGTAGCTGGGATCCCCGTTCATTCATGAAACATCATGGTGGAAAATAGGAGCGCTAAAAGGAGACATCATCTACTCCATCTCGGAGCAACCCTGTCCATTAGAACTGATGGGACACCAGGACACTTATGAGGCAAAATGTCTTAGAATGTAACACATAGATATTGAAGTTTGAGAATACAGACACAGAAATTGCAAAATGTCCTGACATCCACGTAGAATAGGAGCAGTGCTCAGAGCAATCTGATTCTAACTCCCCTTATATTAAACAAATAAAATCTTTGAGTTTATGTGACTGAGACTCAGAGCTTGATTTTCAGAACCTGAACTCAGCTCTTGGTTTTTCAAATGCTGGCTCACACATGGGCCTTCCCATGTTAGGGAGCTGGCCATTGGCTCTCAGAGGCTCAGGGGTCAGCGCAGCAAAAGCCCTGGGAGACTTTCCCAAGCTAGAAAGGCCAGAAAGGACCCACTGGCTAACAGACTCTACAGCTGGGTGTTCATCTAAGGACCAGCTAAGCTAAGTTCAGAGGAGATGTCACCAAGTCGGCCACAGGGGGATGCATTTTTTGTCTGCATTGACGCAGGAAAACCATGTGACTGAAGCCTGGAGGGACCATGGCCATTGCCAGTGGAATCATCGATGTATTAACAGGATTAGAGACAGCATGATCCGGGAAGTAAGAAAATAATTATGTCAGTGTAACAATGTACAGAACAGACTAGTTCAGTAACACAAAGTTACTGAACATCTACTCCACGCAAAGCCCTGAGATTGATGCTCGAGACACAGATGATAAAATGACACAGTTCTGGCCTGAAGGAGCTTATGGGGGTGAGGGTGGGGGTGAGGGTTGGGGAGACAGATAAGACATTTCCCCAGGGAGGTGTATCACAGGAGAAAGTGTCCTGGAGGACAAAAGAGAGGGCCAGAAAAGGTGTTCCAGGAACATTTGAGGAAGGGGAGAGAACCCTCCCACCGCGGGTAGGTGAAATCAGCAAAGGCTTCATGGAGGACAGAGTACTTGCACTAATCCTTGAAGGAAAAGAAGGACTTTGATCATTTCTGGAGAGTTGTGTCTATATTGAATCTTCCTGCACGGATTCACTTAACATTTGGGGACAGGCAAAGGAGGGATTTTGCTATTTAAGGGAAACTGAGTAATAGGGATGGGTTTTGTACAAAGCAAAGGCTCCACTCTTTCTGCCTGACTCCTGCACCCTCCACCATCTTGACCGGTGGAATTCCTCCTTTTAGCAAACATCATTTGCCTGCTTTCAGGTCAGCTGGTTTGGGCCTGGCCCTCTTGGCGGTGTCACAGACCAGCTGGGTCTCCATATCTTTAGGGGGCTATGAAGCAATGGGCGAGAGTCCAGAGAAAAGCAGCCAAAATGAGCTGGGGATGGACTCTGCATCCCTGAAGGGCAAAGGGAAAGAAGGAAGAAGCCTCAGCTTCCCCTAGATGCTCTTCTTCTTCCCCCACAAAGAAGTGAGAAAGAGGAGATGGGCATAACTGTTTCAAACTGCAGCAATAGCTACACGTAGGTGAGCTTACTTTAAAAAGAGCTATCTGAGAGAAAAGGCTGCAAGGACTGTGCTCCTCTGGAGGGAATCGCCAGGAGGACAGGCGGCATCTTCTCCATCCGGAGGCAGTTTGAAAAGATGGTCCCAGAGAGGATCAAGGACATAGTCAGAAGGGATCTCTAGAGGCCAGCTTCTCCTCTTGTTTTACAGATGAGGAAACTGAGTCACAGAGAGGTTTAAGACCTGCCCACGTTCAAAGCTATTAAGCTTCTGGGGCAGGATTTGAACCTAGGTCTTATGGACTCCAAGTCTACTATGCTGCACCATCTGATCCAACTCTTTTATTTGACCATTGGAGAAACCATGGCCTAGAAAGAGCAACTAACTTGTGAAAAATATTATGGGTCCTAAGTGGTGGGGCTGAGACCCGAGCATCGAGTCTGATGCCTTTCAAGGACACAGAAGTCACTGCACAAGTCGGGGAGCAAACTCCTCAGACTTAGTGCTCTTGTCAACACCAGCAAAGTGGTTTGAACCTCAGCTCTGCTGCTGCTACCTGGATGCTCTTGGGACAGTCACTTACTTTTCTGGGTTTGATTATTCATCTGTCAAATGAAGGGGTTGAACTATGTTAACATTCTGTTATGAAGTACCTCCCAGCCCTGACACTCCGTGTCCTAAGGACTCCCTCAGCCCTGAATCCTGTGTCCTAAGAGCCCCCCCAGCCCTGACTTCCTGTGTCCTAAAGGCCCTCCCAGCCCTGACACTCTGTGTCCTAAGGGCCCTCCCAACTCTGACATCCTGTGTCCTAAGGGCCCTCCCAGCCCTGACACTCTGTGTCCTAAGGGCCCTCCCAGCCCTGACACTCTGTGTCCTAAGGACTCCCTCAGCCCTGAATCCTGTGTCCTAAGGGCCCTCCCAGCCCTGACATCCTGTGTCCTAAGGGCCCTCCCAACTCTGACATTCTGTGTCCTAAGAGCCCCCCCAGCCCTGACATCCTGTGTCCTAAGGGCCCTCCCAGCCCTGACACTCTGTGTCCTAAGGACTCCCTCAGCCCTGAATCCTGAGTCCTAAGGGCCCTCCCAGCCCTGACATCCTGTGTCCTAAGGGCCCTCCCAACTCTGACATCTTGTGTCCTAAGAGCCCCCCCAGCCCTGACATCCTGTGTCCTAAGGGCCCTCCCAGTTCTGACATCCTGTGTTCTAAGGGCCCTCCCAGTTCTGACATCCTGTGTTCTAAGGGCCCTCCCAGCTCTAAATCCCATGCTCCTATGAATGTTTGGGCCAAGCACCCTATTCTTGATCTGTTTAACTGAGCACTCCTCCAGAATTATAGACAAGCTGAGAGAAGGCCCCCCATCATCACTACTATTTTTCCAAGTACTTTCCCTACAGTGCTCCGTGAAGTGGGTATAGTAAGCATTATCTCCATGTCATACATGAGGAAACTAGGGCTCACAAAGGTAAAGAGATCTATGCAAGGTTATACAGTCCAGACCACTGAACAAACACTTATTAAGTGACTACTGTGTACCAGACATCCTGCTGAGTGCTAGAGACACAAAGAAAGGCAGAAATAGTCCCTGCCCTCAAGGGGCTCACAGTCCAACACAGCTACGTAAGGGTCAGACCATCAGTTCAAACTTAGGTGCCATTAAAACAAGCTGCTTTCTCTAAAACAGACCAAAAAGGACAGGAGGACCAACTGGGGATGCCAGGGAAATCCCCCAGACCATGCCTCACCAATTCCCTCCCCCAGCCAGGTTAGCTTCTCCCTCTGGATAGTGCTTTGGGATCCTCAGCTTTCCATGTTTCTTCCCTAGGGTGACTCTGGGGGGCCGCTGGCCTGCGAAGAGACCCCCGGCGTGTTTTATCTGGCAGGGGTTGTGAGCTGGGGGATCGGATGTGCTCAAGCTAAAAAGCCAGGAGTGTACTCCCGGATGACCAGGCTTAAAGACTGGATTGTGGACACCATCTCACCTGGCCTGCAGACTGGCTCCACCTTCTCACCTGAGAAAACACCTGTCACGACCAGTCACCCCCTAGGAGCAATCTCAAGCCTGACCACCACACGTGTGACCCCCGGCAAACTGACCCCCAAACCAACCAGCCCAGCCACCCTCAAGACCACCAGCCCCGCCACCCTCAAGACCACCAGCCCAGCCACCCTCAAGACTACCAGCACAGCCACCCTCAAGACCACCAGCACAGCCACCCTCAAGACCACCAGCACAGTCACCCTCAAGACCACTAGCACCCCTACCAGCCAGCCTACCAGTGAGACTGCTAGCAGACCCACGACAAGCAAAACTACCCCTCGGCCTGCCGACGAAACTACGACCAGGAGGCCTACCAGTGCGGTCATCACAGCAATCAGGACCACCAGTAGTAAGCCGCCCCCTCCACTACAAATCCACCAACTGGCCACACCCATTCAGCTTCCAGGTACAGTAATAATTCAGAAAAGTCAGTTTGGGCGGCTTGGGCTTCTTGACCATTACCATTCTCAGCCCGTGCTGAACCACACCAGTTAGAGACCACACCCTAACAAGGGAGGTTCACTTGTATTCTGCGCTCACAAATCATCCATGAGACTCAGTGCTTAGGGACACAGATTTGGAGCTGGAAGAGCCCTTAGAGGTCATCTGATCCGGCTCCCTCCTTTTACAGAGGAGAAACTGAGGCCCAGAGAAGCTCAGTTACTGGCCCAGGGTCACACAGGCAGTACAGAGCAGAGCTTAACTTTAATTCCAAGCGCTCTCGGCCAGTGTGCTTTCCTTGACAACAGGCAGGCTGCCTGCCTTCATTCATCCACTGAAAAAGTGAGCGAACAGGGAAGCTAGGTGGCGTGGTGGATAGAGCTCCAGCCCTGGAGTCAGGAGGACCTGAGTTCCAATCCAGCCTCAGACACATAACACTTACTAGCTGTGTGACCCTGGGCAAGTCACTTCACCCCGTTTGCCTCAGCTTCCTCGTCTGTAAATTGAGCTGGACAAGAAATGGCAAACCACTCCAGTATCTCTGCCAAGAAAATCCAAATGGGGTCAGGAAGAGTCGGAAAGAACTGAACAACAAAGCTCAGTAGGACGCAGCCATGGGACCCGGCAACCCAGAAAGCCAGTGAGATCTTGGCCCACACTGGGAGGTTTATCTTCCAGAATAAGGAAGTGGGAGTCCAACTTTACTCTGCCCTGGTCAGACCGAAGTAGAGTACGATGTTTAGATAAGATGGATCACCTCCAGAAGAGGACAGCCAGGATGATAAAGCCCCAAAAAAAGTGGATTCAGGGGCAGCTATGTGGTGCAGTGGATAGAGCACTGGCTCTGGATTCAGGAGGACCTGAGGTCAAATGTGACTTCAGACGTAACACTAACTAGCTGTGTGACCCTGGGCAAGTCACTTAACCCCATTACCTAACTAAAAAAAAAAGGTTTTTTTAATTTTAAAAAGTGGATTCAGATCCCACCTCTGACTCCTCCCTGCATACTCTTGGGCAAGTCACTTGACTTCCTTGGGCCTCAGTTTCCTCAACTGTCAAATGAGGAAATTGGACAAGGTGACTTTTAAGGTTCTTCTATCTACCTTCGCAAGGTTGTTGTGAGGATGAAATGAGATATTTGTAAAGGGCTTAGTGCAGTGCTTGGCACACAGTAGGTGCTCTATAAGTGCTTGTTCCTGGACCCTTCCCTCCGCCTTCCAGCTCCAGATCCCTGATCCTAGAACAGTGAAGGGTCTTGAGCCCAGGCCACAGGATGATTAGCTGAAAGAACAGGGGATGTTAGCCTGGAGAAGACTCGGAAGCAAGATGACAGCTGTCTCGAAGCATCTCAAGGGTTGATACGTCCAAGAGGAATTAGGTCTGTTTGGTTTGACCACATGGGTGGAACCAGGAGCCGTGGGTGGATGTGGCAGTCACGTTTGGCTGGGACATAAGGGAAAACTTCCTGCTAACTAGAGGTGGAATGGGCTTCCCAGAGTGGAATGGGCTGCCTTGGGAGGTAATGAGCTCCCCCTCCTCAGCACTTCTTCAAGCAGGAGCCAGATGGCCACTTGCTGGGTATTTTGTAGGGGAGACAAGTCTTTTGGGCATTTTGGACTAGATCCAACTCTGAAATGATATGATTCTAGGATTGCTAGTCCACCCAAGCAGGAATCCCTTCTGTAATGTCCCTGACAAATGGTCGTCCACCCTCCCCTCAAAGACCACCAGTGGTGAGAAACTCACTACCTCTGCAGGCAGCCCATTCTGGGAAGCTCCAGCGGTCAGGCAGCTTTCCTTTGCATTGAGACTAAATCTGCCTCTCCACACATTCCCCACAATGCTTCCAGTAGCAGAATAAACCTAATCCTTTTTCCACATATGAGAGCCCAATAGGTTCTAGAGTAATCAATGTTCTCACAACTGACATTTATGTAGTGACTGGAGGCTTGAAAAGCATTTACATACATTGATAATGTCTGCCCTAAATCTTCTCTCCTCCAAGCAAAACATCCCCAGTTCCTTCCACCGAACTTCCTACTGGATGGCTCACAATCCTCTCTGTTTCCTGGCTGCCCTTCCCTGGTTGCCCTCCACCTTGTCCAGAGTCAATCATTCCCAGCTGACTTTGCATTCCTTCCACAAGCCAAGTGGAGAAATGGAATATCAGCACAAAAATGAATAGGTCCATTTAGGGAACCCTCAGAGGGCCCGGCCAAGCTCAGGCAGCTGGCTAATGGCCAGCAGAGATCAGCCATGATCAGTGCTAGTGGATGGGTCCTGAGTCGAACTTTATAGTCCCAAGCTAAAGTCTTGTTCATTTCATAGAATTCTGGAATGGAAAGGGGCCTTACTGGGTCATCTAGTCCAGTCCATGATTGAACCTCACTGGACTCCAGTTTCCTCACTCTGAAAGAAGGGTACATTACTATCATCATTATTAACAAGACACTTTCCCCTAAACCACCCAGTGAAACTGCTAGCGCCAGGGTCACCCCAACAGTAACTTTCAGAGCCAGGTCATAGGATCATAGATTTCTAGCAGGAAGGGGCCTGACCTTAAAGGTCATCTTGTTCTCTGCCCTCCTTTTATAGGTTAGGAAACTGAGATTCAGAGAAATTAGTTGATGTCCAAGATCACATAAAGTAGCAAATGGCCAAGCTGGGATCTGAATCCTGGTCACTTGGCTCCAAATCTAGCACTCTTTCCCCGCCTCCTGTTTCCAAGTTCAGTGTGCTTTCCACTAAAAGATACTAAAAAGTTTTATAAAGTACTTTATAAACATCTCATCTGATCTCCACAACCATTCTGGGATGTAGGTGCTTTTTTGTAATCCCCATTTTACAAATGAGGAAACTGAGACATTTAAGTGACTTGCCCATGGTCACATAGCTAGTAAGTGTGTGAGGCAGGATCTGTACTTAGGTCTCCCTGACTCTAAGTCTGAGGCTTTATCACCTTATACCACCTCACTACCAAAAAGATGTTCTCTGAGGTTCCTTCCAGATCTGATAACGGGTGATTCTATGAATATTCCTAACTTAAGACTGTTCTGCCAATGACAGGGGCAATCGCTGTGTCCTCAGGCAGCTGCCCATTCTACTTTAAGAGAGGCCCATTCAGAAGCTCTCCTTTCTAGAGATTAATAAAATTGAAATTAAGAAAACTATTGAGCTAATAAAAAAAAAAACCTAAGACCTGGTTTTATGAAAAAACCAATAAAATAAACCTTTGGTTAATTTAATTTTAAAAAAAAGAAAGAAGAAAACCAAATTACCAGTATCAAAAATAAAAAGGGTGACACCAAGAGGAAATTAAAACAATAATTAGGAACTATTTTGCCCAACTGTATGCCAATAAATTTGACAATCTTAGTGAAATGGATGAATATTTACAAAAATATAAATTGCTCAGATTAACAGAAGAGGAATATTTTAAAAACCTCATCTCAGAAAAACAAATTGAACAAGCCATCAATGAACTCCCTAGGAAAAAATCCCCCCGGGCCAGATGGATTTACAAGTGAATTCTATCAAACATTCAAAGAACAATTAATTCTAATGCTATATAGACTATTTGGGAAAATAGGTGAAGAAAGAGTCTTAGCAAATTCCTTTTATGATACAAATGTGGTGCTGATACCTAAATCGGGAAAAGTCAAAAGAGAGAAAGAAAATTATAGACCAATTTCCCTAATGAATATAGATGCAAAAAAATTTAAATAAAATATTAGCAGATAGATTACAGCAACTTATCACAAGAATAATACACTATGACCAGGTAGGATTTATACCAGGAATGCAGGGCTGGTTCAATATTAGGAAAACTATCAACAGAACTGATCATGTCAACAGAAGCTCTCCCTTCTGTGAAGCCAAATTTAGCCTTCCAGTGACTTTCAACCACCCACTGGTGTAAGCGCTCTCCCCCGCGGCTACATAGAACCAGAGTGACCCTTCTTCCCGATGGCAGCCTAAAATTACTCTCTCTGTGGAAGCTCGGCTCTTTTCTCTGCTTCCCCATGGTGTGGGGAGGGGGTGGGAGGGCTAGGAGGCCAGCTGGCTGCCAGGGTCGCCGTGCATTCCGTCTCTGCCCTCTCCCCTCTCTCCAGACTGCGGTGTCTCTCCGGTGGGCACCCTGACCAAGATTGTGGGCGGCAGCGCTGCCAGCCGTGGGGAATGGCCCTGGCAGGTCAGTCTGTGGCTGAGGAGGAAGGAGCACAAGTGCGGGGCAGTGCTGATTGCGGACAGGTGGCTGCTCACCGCAGCGCACTGCTTTGACGTGTAAGTCCATTTGATGTGACTGAGAGCAGTTATGGGGAGGGAGAATGGAAGGAGGGGGCAGAACCCAATTTCCTCATCTGAGTGGGTAAGGCTAAATGATCTACCAGGGTTGCAGGGTGAGTCCACAGCTCACAGTTTCCCATCTTCCTTAGAGGCCATTCCCTTTCCCTCTCTGGTAGAATCTAGCACCTCTGGTCCAGCAGCAACATCCTGACCCCCTTTGGAGGTCAGGGGCTCCATGGACAGGCATAGAAATAAGCCAGTATCCTAATGGCAACAGTTCCATCATGGGAGAGGGAAGTGAGGAGACCCTGGGAAAGTCCTGAGGTATCTATCTCCTTACCAGCTCCCTAGGCTGACTCTGGGGGAATCTCTCTCCTCCCTCTCTCCTCCACCTGTCTGGTGGGTCTACACCTTCCCCCATCACCTCCTGGGTCTGGCTCACCTCCAGTGCCTATTTCCCCCTTTGATTCAATTCAATAAACATTTATAGGAATACCAAGATAAATCAGACACAAGACACACTCTGGGCCTCAGTTCTTTATCTACAAAATGAAGAGGTTGGAGTCAATGACCTCAAAGGTCCCTTGCAGCTCTAAATCTCTGTTTCTATGTATCTTCCCCCCAAAATAAGGCAATGAGTTTAGCCTGGCATGACCTATGCTTGATGAAGCCCTTCTAGATGTTGGACAACCATCTCTCTAAGGAGCATTTCTAGAATTACCAAGAATCAATGCCAAACTCATAGCCAAGAGTTTGCAGATTTCATTCTCTTCCAGGTTCCAACATGCCGTTCTCCAGACTCGTGGTACTTCCCCCAGTCTCCATGATCTTTCCCAGGCTGCCGACAATGGCCCAGCTCTTTCCATACCCAAGCATGCCATTCTTTCTAGTCCTGGTGACTTGAATTCATCAAGAGCCACCAAGTGCTCTATTCCTATCTCCCTCACTAATCGAAGGCATGCTATGGCACTTGTCCTGTTAGCCATCTTTGTTCTGTCCTTCCTGGGACAAAGGTCCTTCTTCTTGTCAGAGAAGACGGAAGCAAAATAAAGAAATGAGCAGGTCGGCCCTCTCTGTTGTCAGTTCTCATTAGCCTATCCACCCAAGGCCAAAGGTCTTATCCCTTCTTGGATCCTACTCTGTCTCCTAATATATCTTAAAAACAGAACAACCAGAAAACAAGCCCACAAACCCTTTTGTTCTTCTCAGCTTCTCTGGCGAGTCTCAGCTCACTCTGAGCATTACTGCTCCTGACACCATTTTTATAGGATTTCATGCCAAGCTAATATATTCATTCTCTGTGATTTGGCCTTGCTTCCACCTCCTGGGCGTTTCTTTTTCAAATATAAATAGGTTAATGAGTTCCCTTTACCTCTAAACCAATTGCTTCAGACAAATCCCATTTTTCTTCCTGTTAAGTCTTGAAGGAAACTGGGGAAACCAAAGAACTGCCAGAAGGCACTTTCCTGTAGCAACAGTATTAGCAGCATACTGTCATCAGGAAGAGTCTTGGTGGAAGAAGGCACCTTTCCAGCCTTATCTCACTTATTCTACTTTCCAGCCAAATTGGACTAATCTCTGTTCTGTACGTGTCCTTCAATCTTCCACAGCTTGTTATTCTCTGTGCCTAAGTCACCCTCTCCCAATTTCCATCTCTGTTTGCTAAAGTCAGAGTAGTGCTTAGCACAGTGCCTGGCACAAAGTAGATGCTCAATAAATATTGATTGATTGATTGGTTTGAAGTAGGAAGCTATGAGTTAGCACCTTGGTCAGTGTGATGCAGCTGGTCTTAAGAGTCAAAGAAACAAGGGAGTGGCCTAGGGTTTCGGGGTATCCCTTCTCCAAAATTGTGATGATCAGAACAGCCAAGCAAATGGCGCTCCTTCATGTTCCTTTCTGGTGCCATCAAAAGGCAAGAGGCGCCAAAGCAAATCAGATACGCCGATACCCCAGCCTAGAAAGGCTTCAGTGCAGATAGCGCTGCCAGCTAACCCAAGCAAGTCCCAAAGGCACGTGAAATGGGCTGTGAATGCTTTCATCACGCGCCAAGGCTACCATAACAAAATGGAACCACGTCTTCATAGTTATGGGCAAGAGCTTCAGCGGGGCTCTCAACTCCGAGTCTCACAACAACATACTGCAAGACCTGTTCAGGGCAGCTACACAAAACAACTTCCTCCCTAAGCTCGGATTAGATGGGATAAGAGCTAAAATGGGGGAGCTCCTTGGTGTTGAAGAAGGAAAAGCTGAGGAGCCTGAAGTCTTTGAAAAACTTCCCTTCACACAAACTCCAGAAATTCAACCCAACATCGAAATGGATGAAAGAGAGCACCTACAATTCAACTGATTTGGGTTTCTTTTCTTGCTTTTTTTGTTTCTACATCACCTTCATTTCCCAGTATGTCCCTCTCCACTCCTCTACCCAGAGAGGCTTGAGTGACAATATCAGACTAACAAGACAAACACAGTCTCACTGCCATGGGCAAACAGCTGTCACAGTGGTAGGGAGGGAGGGGAAGAAGAAAGTCCCTCTTCCATGGCAAGTCCAAAGGAGAGTTATTAGGGTACCAAGCCACAGACTCAGAAGAAGGAAGGCGGAGGGGGGAAAAATTGTCTCTCACTTTTAAAGGCTGTTCGTTAGCCAATCCTCTTTGCCACAGGCCCCATATCACAATGGCGTCAGGACACAGTCCATTTGGAGCTGGGCCAGAAGCCCCTGATTGCAGAAGAGGCAAAGTCACATAGGTTGCTGGAGGTAACCAAGGCATAGGTTCAGCATCACACGTGCTCCATGGGATGGCCCCAAAGGCCCATCCCCAAGCATATTCCACAGAATGGACTCATTCCAACCCCCATCACACAACACTAGTAAAACACTTTACCAGCTTCTTTTCAGACATGACCCTGATCCCACTTTTTCTTTAAATAAATTTGCATTGGTATCTTTTATTTCTGTTGCTGAAATTTTTCCCTCTATTCTGTCGCCACTTCCTTCCTAGAGAGCCATCCCATGTACCAAAGAATATTTTTTAAAGAAAAGTTTCCACCTTTCTTAATTAAAGGATACTTGCTATCAAAAGATGAGAGTGCCAATGACCCCTCCAAATACAGGACTCCAAATCTGTGTTTGTGTATTTTGCACAAAGTACTCACAGCGTGTATCAATCAGTCAGCAAGTTATTAAGGGCTTCCCATGTGCCAGGCACTAGGCCAGGTACTGGTGATACAAGCGCCATACAAAGACTAAGCCCTACTCACTATCACAGAAGAGGGGGTCCTGAAAGGGCCAGGAGCAGAAAGAGCAGCTTAGTAACCACCAAATGGTCGCTGTTGAACACGGGCTTTCATTGACATTCCCTTTAATGATCAACACCGTGGCTTGACTCAACTCCACCCTCGTAACTTGTACTCACACTCAAGGGACCACACTCCGAGTGCTGCCTATTTTTAAAATAGACCCTGAATAGTGAAAGTGGTAGAGTATTGGATGTCCTCATGGAACCCCATTTCTCTCTTTAAAACCCACCATAAACATAGTAATGTCAAGATCTGACATCTTTCAGGGAAGCATTGTAAGTCTAAGGAGGAGACGCTTCTGTCTAATCTTAAACCCATCATCACCTTTCCTCATGGCCTTTTCACATATGTGCCGCCTGTTTTACAGATGGGGAAACTGAGGCTCAGAGGGGACATGACTTGCCCATAGTCATCCAGTCCTAGTCAGAGGCAGGATTCAAATCCGGGAGCTTCCATTTCAAGTCCACAGTTTGCTCACTTGCTCTGCATTGGCTCTTTTATTAGGTCTTTACACTGGTTCGTTTTGTATCATAGTTTTTTCTTTTTTTAATTTATTATTTTCTTTTCCCCAATTACATGTAAAAACTACTTTCAACATTCATTTTTAAAACTGAATTCCAAATTCTCTCCCTCCCTCCTCACTTTATTTCTTAGTGTTGTCATTCAGTTGTGTCCAATTCTTCATGGCTCCATTTGGGATTTTCTTGGCAAAGATACTTGAGTGGCATGCCATTTCCTTCTACAGTTCATTTTACAGATGAGGAAACTGAGGCAAACAGGGTGAAATGACTTGCCCAGGGCCACTCAGCTAGGAAGTGTCTGAGGCCACATTTGAACTCAGGAAGATGAGTCTTCATGACTCCAGGCCCAGCACTCTATGCACTATGGCGCCACCTAGCTGCCTTTTTGCTTCGTGTTGTATACCTTTATTAGATAGAAAGTTCTTTGAGGGCAGGGACAACGTCTTATTTATCTTTGTATCTCCCCTAACAACCAGTATATGGCCTTGCATACAGTAGGCATTCAATAAATGTATTATTGTATCAGGAGGCTCTTCTCAAAGAAGCCTTTCCCTGACTGCCCTCCCCGAGAGAGTCTTCCTTCCATGTTGTAGGCCAGAGTAACTGGACTTAAATGTAGTCATGTCCAAAATCAAAACGTTACAAAGAAATGGATGAAGGAGAGGAAATAGCATCTTTCTAAATTGGTATCTTGGACACTCTAAAAGTGTCCTCCAAGATCAGGTCATTCTGGATTTACGAAAAGGTTCCCTGGGGAAACTGGTCTTCGGCTTAAGAACTTCAAATGAATTCAATAAACATTTATTAAGCACCTACTCTGTGCCAGGCACTGTGCTAGGCACCGGGGATACAAAAAGAGGCAGGAGACAGTCCCTGCCCTCGCTGCAGTGAGCAACCATGATTCCAGAAGCCCAATGATGAAGCAAGTTAAACACCTTTTGAGAGAGAGGTGGTGGACTGAGGGTGCAGAATGAGATATATATTTTTGGACCTGGCAAATGTGGAAATGTGTTTTGCTTGACTATGCTTTGTTATTTGTTAAAAGGTTTTTGTTTTTCCATTGGGGGGGAGCAAAAGAAAATTAATACTTAAATTTTTTTTAAAAAGCAAAATAAATGAAATTTAAAAAGAAAAAGAGAGAAGAGGTGGAAAGGACTTTATATTTTACAGACAGGGAAATGACTTGTCCAAGGTGACACAGCCTTTGAAGGCTCAAACCCTGGTCTGACTCCAAATGCAGCTACAATATACTCTTTCCCCTTGTCTCTCCCATTTCCTGACATGGAAATTCCCTTATCTCTGGCTCCCCCTGCTGCTCCCGAGGATGCCAACAAGACGCTCCATAGTTTCCGGGCTGGCCATTGACGAGCTGAAACACATTTCTCTCTCTTCATCAGTCATCTTCATTGTCCGCTTTCTGAGAGCTGGCTCAGTGACGAGTGGATGGAATGCTGGTTTTGGAATCCAGAAGACCTGAGTTTGAACATTGTCTCAGGCACTTACTAGTTTACCTGAGCAAATCACCAAAACTCTTAGCCCATTTCCTCATCTGGAAAATGTGAGCACTGAGTTCCAGAGGCTGTTCTGAGGAGCCAATGAAATCACACCTATAGAGGGCTTTGCATATCTTAAAACTGACGTAAACATTAGCTACTAGTAACAATAATAACTTTTAAAAGAACAGGTGAGGGTGAAAAGTCACCCTGAAACCGAAACATTTCAATGACTCCCTACAATTTCCCAAAAGAATATTATGTTAAGGGGCAGCTAGGTGGCGCAGTGGATAGAGCACCAGCCCTGAAGTCAGGAGGACCTGAGTTCAAATCCAGCCTCAAACCAAACACTTGACACTAGCTGTGTACCCTGAGCAAATCACTTAACCCCAATTGTCTAAAAAAAAAAAAAAGAATATTACGTTAAAATCTAAAGGAAAAGTGTTTTCACCAAAGCTCATCATTTACCGTCTCAGCCCAGAAGCTGTTGTATATTTCCTTAGGATCACAGAATCATTGATTTAGAGGACTAAGAGAGCTCAGAATTATCAATCTAGAGCCAAAGGGGCCTCCAGAAACCAACCCCCTCATTTTACAGGAAGAGACAGAGGCCAGGGAAATAAATTACTTTTGAGGTAGAATGCGAACCCAGGTCCTGTGACTCCAAAGCTTCTCGGTCCTTCTTTTTTTTTTTTTTAAAGGCAATTGGGGTTAAGTGACTTGCCCAGGGTCAGTCACACAGCTAGTAAGTGTCAAGTGTTTGGTCTGAGGCTGGATTTGAACTCAGGTCCTCCTGACTTCAGGGCCGGTGCTCTATCCACTGTGCCACCTAGCTGCCCCTCTTCTCGCTCCTTCTTACTGCACAGCCTCTCAAATTTGAATGTAATAGAGAGCATCTTAGCTTGGGAATTCAAAGGTTCTGCCTCTTGATAGTTTCATGACTCTGGGCAAGTCCCATCCCCTATTAAAGGACCATAATGCAACGCTCGGTCATCCTTGAAGTGGTACAGAAACAGGATTAGCTCTGAGCCCCTTGTTTCTGCTAACTCTCCTCTCTCACCCACCTTGAAGTTGTCTACCTGGCTTTTATTGGCTTCTTGGTGCTCCCTTTGACCTAGGTCCTCAGAAATGCCCCTCCCGCTGTTCATCAGGTGGTCTCCCTCCCCTGGGTTTGCCAGGTATTGTGAAAATAGGGCCTTAGTTCCACTAGAAGGAGAGAGAAGGAACATCTGACTAAGTGCCTTAGGTATATCACCTCATCTGAGCCCTCAGACACACCCTGTGAGGTAGACAGTATAAAGATTATGATTATGATCATTGTCATTGTTGTCTTTGAAGAGGACCTTGACTTCAGGAAGGTGATGCCATGACATGCAAGTGAATTGAATTTAGGCGAGGGAGGGCTGTGCAAAGACACCAGCCTCACTTTCTCCTCTGAAACTATCCGGATCCAGTGGCCGGATATAGATCAGGATGACTGGAAATGGCCCTCATGATTCTGGTGCCCATTTTATAGATGAGGAAACTGAAGTTCAGATGAGTAGTAAATCTAAGACTTGGATTCATGTCTTCTGGTTGTTCATACATCCTTTCCACTGCATTGTCCTGCCTCTCAGATGACAATGAATGTGATTACTGAATGCCCTTTACAGGAAGTGGGAGTCAGTTCATATATGGCATTGAAAACTGCCTCTAGGGTTTCCTCAAAGTACTTGGCCAGGGCTGGTCCACTGGAGACCATGGAATTCCAGGGCTGCTGCCCTCATATCAGCTCTGTGGATTTGGGACCCAACTCAACTGCCCATCCTCAAAGAAGCCTTCCCTGCCTGCCCTGTGCATTGTGGGAAAAGAGCTGGCTTTGCTCGACACTTACTAGCTGTGTGACTCTGGTTAAGTCACTTAACCCCATTGCCTAGTAAAAAACAAAATTAAAAGGGGCAGCTAGGTGGTGCAGTGGATAGAGCACCAGCCCTGCAGTCAGAAGGACCTGAGTTCAAATTTGGCCTCAGACCAAACACTTGACACTTACTAGCTGTGTGACTGACCCTGGGCAAGTCACTTAACCCCAATTGCCTTTAAAAATAAAAAGCTGGCCTTGCTCAAAGGGTCCCTCGATGTAGAAGCTGGCTCTGCCACTTGGCATCTTGGGCAAGTCACTTAATCTGTCTGATGAGGGGCTTGGATCAGATAAGCCCTAAAACCCCTTCTGGATCTAAATCCTAGCCTTTTCTCCCTCTTTGATTCAGTTCCTTGAGGGCAAGGACTCAACCTCATTCATCTTTCTAGTGAGCTGTGCAGAACAGGTATTTATTGGGAGTGGAGGGAGAAAGCTTCTGTGTCCTGGAAGTTAGGAGTCAGGGCACTGGCAGGAAGACCACAAGCAGGTTACTTAACTTCAGCCTCAGTTTCCTCAGCTCTAAAATGAAGGTAATACTTGCAGTCCACTTCACAGGGTATGAAAATGCTTTAAGATGAGTAACTATTTAATAGCCACACTATGCGATGACTGATAGATTTGACTCTTCTCAGCAATGCAATGATCTAAGACAACTACAAAAGATTCACGATGGAAGATGTATCCACATCCAGAGAAAGAACATGGAGTCTGAATGCAGAGGGAAGCATGCTATCTGCTCTCCTTTTCTTCTGTTGTTTTTATTGCTTCATTCTCATGGTTCCTCCCATTAGTTACAATTGTTCTTTACATGACTAATGGGAAAATATGCTTAATATGGATGTACAATTAAGAGTCTATATCAGACTGCACGCTGTCTTGGGGTGGGGGAGGGATGGGGAGAAAATTTAAACCTCAAAATCTTATGGAAGTGAATGTTTAAAACTAAAAATAAATAAAATTATTTTAAAAAATAAACAAGATTGGTAGCTATTAGTGACTGAGTGAAACCATCAAAATTCTCCGTGGCTTCAGTTATAGTGACCCCAACCTGTGGGTGGCCTTCCTGGGGACCGCCTCCCTGAGTGGCATGGAGGGGAAGGTTGAGAAGGTGTACCGCATCTACAAGCACCCATTCTACAATGTCTACACTTTGGACTACGACGTGGCCCTCCTGGAACTCTCGGCTCCTGTGAAATACACCAGCGTCATCAAGCCCATCTGTCTCCCAGAGCACTCTCACCTTTTCACTGAAGGCACAAAGTGTTTCATCACTGGCTGGGGATCCATCCGAGAAGGAGGTAGGTGAATCACCTACAGCTTCCCCCTGCACGGCCACTGCCCAGTCTCCCCACCCCACCCCCCTCTAATCCAGGGCTCAGGGATCGGGCAAGTCCAGCCTAAGCAGAGGCGGGAGGCAGATTCACCAGATCACTTTACAGATAAGCTCTCCAAAGCACCAGATCTATAGTCACACAGGGAGAGCTGGCATCTCTGCCTAGGCCCTCTGACTTTAAATCTAACACATTTCAGAAAGGAGGAAAAATGAGAACAGGGAGTGGGAATGAGAAGAGAATAAGCATTTATTAAGTACCTACTACATTCTAGAATGGCACAGGCGGGTGGCACAGAGGATGGAGCACTGGGCCTGGAGTCACAAAGACTCTTCTTCCCGAGTTCAAATACAGCCTCAGACCCTTACCAGCTGTGTGACACTGGGCAAGTCACTTCACTCTGTGTGCCTCAGTTTCCTCATCTGTAAAATGAGCTGGAGAAGGAAAAGGCAAACCACTCCAGTATCTTTGCCAAGAAAACCCCAAATGGGGTCACAAAGAGTCGGATACAACTGAACAAGACATTATTTCAAGCACTGTCTCCAATAGCGTCCTCTGTTACCATTTTACCTAATATCCAACAGCACGCTTGCTAAGCCAGATGAGGCCTGCGGTACCATGGAAGAGCTCTGAAGTTGAAGTCAGAATATATGGGTTTGAGTCCTAGCTTGGGCACTTCACTTCCCTTTCTCAGATCTGTTTCCTCATCTGCAAAGTGAGGCTGTTGGCCCGACAGTTTCCAAGGACCCTTCTCCTTCTGATCCACCTCATTTCCATCCAGCCCCTCCTTCATGCCCACTGAGCCCATCCTTCACCTGCAGAGACTTCCTCTCCCGTTCACTGTCCCACAGGGCCATGTAGCTGGAATTGCCACTTCATACTCCTCTACTAGATGCCTCTGCCCTACTATGCGGTAGACCCCATGGTAACTGGCTCTATTCTGAAGTGTGTTGGTTAGATCCAGGCACATTTTAGGAAGGGAAATGAAAAGTTGGAGCATGCCTACAAAGCAACCATGAAGAGTAAAGGTGAAGTCCAAGTGTAAGGAGTAAATGAACTAGGGATTTAACCTGGAGAACTTCAGAAGGCTTGGGCTTAGGAGGTGACAAATGGGTTTAAGTATGTGCAGGATTGCCACCCAGGGAGAGACTGGACTCACTCTGCATAGCCCCAGTAGAAGCAATGGGTCTAAGTTGTGGAGAGGCAAACTGAGGCTGGTATAAAGGAAAACTAAACTAGCTGTCCAAAAGAGGGCTGGGTCACTAGCAGAGGTGCTGGCTCCCCCTTCCTAGAGACCCTCCAGCAGAAGCCAGGTAAACCACTCGGTGGGATGTTCTAGAAAGCAGTCCTGACATTCTCCACTTCACTCCTCACCCACCACCCAGCCCTCCTCGAGGCCCCTGCTAACTGCCATTTGTGTTGAACAGGGCTGATGGCGAGGCACCTGCAGAAAGCAGTCGTAAACATCATTGGAGAGGACACCTGCAGGAAGTTCTACCCCATCCAGATCAGTAACAGAATGCTGTGCGCAGGCTTCACCCAGGGAGGTGTAGACAGCTGCTCGGTGAGGTCCCAGCTGCACTGTCCCCAGGCTCCCCAGGACAGCCAATCCTCCAGGCTTATCTGTAAGCAGGCAGCCAGCCTGGCCCAGCAGACAGGAGTTCTCATTTGTAAAACTGGAATATTTGTGCCATCTGGTTCGCAGTTCTTATGGGAAAAGCACTTTATAAACCTTTAAAGCAGTTTTAAGCACCCTGGGAGGAAAGCAAGGGCAGAAAGGATCATTCCCATTTTACAGACTGGGACACTAAGGCCCACACAGGTGATATGGCTTGCAATGTGACAGCCAGTTAATGGTAGAGCTGAGATGGCTGCCTAAGCCCCGCCATGGGCTCCTTCTGTGTAACTCACTGGCAGTGAAATCCCCTCTTCTCAAGAGCCCAGCAGGGGGAGAGGGTGGCCTATCTTCTCCAGGGCCTCAGTTCAGCTGCCTCTGACCTTCCTGCTTCTTGTCCTCCTTCCAGGGTGATGCCGGGGGGCCGCTGGCTTGCAAGGAGCCCGCCGGGCGGTGGTTTCTTGCTGGGGTCACCAGCTGGGGGTACGGCTGTGCCAGGCCATACTTCCCGGGTGTCTACTCAAAGGTGACAGCTGTAAGGGGCTGGATCAGGCAGAACATCAGACTGTGACTGGCCAGGAAGACCAGGAGGCATGTGGCCAGGCCAAAGTTCCCCTGGCTTAAGGAATCAACCTGAAGCAGGCAGTGGCTGCTGCCCCCTAAAGAGCTGCCTGTCTCCTTACGCTGGACAGCAGTGAGAGCCAGGAAGCCAAGAACCATTCCCCCGGGGTAACTTACGGGATGGTGGTGTCAACCACCTGAGGTGGGATTAGGGCAGGGGAGGGTGTGGAGAGTTGCATTTAACATGGCGCAATTGTATTAGGCTCTTTTGTACAAGTAAACATGACCTGTTTCAGACTCTAGCTTGTGAGGGAAGAATGACTCAGCCCTTCCCCAGCAAGGCCACCCCAAGTCCAGGAGCAAGACTGCCGGAACAAAGATCCATTACTTACTAGCACTAGTCACAGGCAGCGAATGTTGGAATTCTGTGCCTTTGTATCCCCAGGGCTGAATACAGGGAATCTCAAACATATTAGCTGGCACTGAATAAATGTTCGCTCGATTTTACTCCACTAGTTGGGTGACCAAGAACTAATCGTTTAACCTCTTGGAGACTCAGTTTATACATCTGTAAAATGGGGATAATACTTTAATACTTGTATTACCTGCCTCGAAGTCATGCCATGTAAGTCTATGTAATGTAAGTGCTATAGGTATGTGAATTATTTCAGTCATCATTCCTCCCCCCATATCCAGAGCTGACCCTCACAGGATGAGGTGACTGATTGTCGCTGGCATCTCAGCATTCAGGCCAAGGCCCCCCCTGAATCCCTGTGGCACCAGCCAAGTGGACCACCAGACCAAAGGGAAGTCAAACAGCCAGGAGGAACCCTACCCAACCCTTAAAACCCACAACCACATCCTTGGTGACTGGGCGTTACAGTAGATGGGGCACTGTGCCTAGAATCAGGAAGACCTCAGTCTGAATCTAGCCACAGACACCCTGAGACCTTGGGCAATTCATTTCCCCTGTTTGTCTGCTTCCTTAACCATAAAATGGGAATAACAGCACCTACCCTGCAGGGCTGTTGTGGGAACTGGATGAGATCTTTATAAAGCACTTAGCACCGTGCCAGGCACATAGGTGCTGTATAAATGCTGCTTATTATTATTCTTCTTTATTCTCAAGGCAGCTGCAGCTAGAGGTCTCGAAAAGGCTGTCACCTTCATGACCATCTGGGCTAGCACAGCCCCATTATCCAAAGGGAAGTGGAAGAGGGAAACAAGAGGAGTAAGACAGTCTAACTCACACTATTAGGCTAAGATTTGAGTGGAAAGAGATCTGGCAGTCACTGGGGGATTACAGGACCTGCCCATGGTCACATGGTGACAATGACTCCCCAGCCGGGCCAGGCAGGGCAGGACACCCCACCCAGCAAGACATATCCCATCTCAGAGGCACAAATCTTGGAAAGAACCAATCCATACGCTTCTCATTGCTCACAAGAGGCAGAGAAGCTGCTCTGGTGTCAGACAGCAATTTACTGTTTTCCAGATAAATGACAGGGGGTGATGACATTGTCCCCAAGGCTCGTGAGCTGCACATCCCCCACCTGGGGGAGCCAATCACATCTTTCCCAGGGAGCAGCCGAAGGCCCAGCTCTGAATCAGTGTGTGCTGGGGCCAGGTAAGGTCAGGAACCTCCGCGACGTGGCCAGGAGCTTCCGCAGCATGCAGGAGGCCACCATTTGGCTATAGGCTGAGACCACAGCAGAGAAGGGAGAACTGGGCCCTTAGAGAAGGGCAGAGATCCAGGCTCCACAAACAGGGCTTTTATTAGTGTGCTGAGGAGGAGGTGGGGAATCACCCCCCTGCCCCTGCCTTATTCCTTTCATTCTCAAAGCACCCTGTCAGAAGGGAGGGCGGGAGGATGAGCTCCCTGGCTGTGTCTGTGGCTGGCCCGCTCTGGGGAAGGGGGACGGCCGGTCTGGACAACCCAGCTAGAGCTCCTGGACGTCCATGAGAAGAGTACATGCCTCACATGTTAGCTCGCTCCCGCTGCAACCTAGAATTGTAGGCTCGGGACACTGTATTCCAGGCATCCATGTACCGATCCATGCACATCGCAATACACTTCTGAAGAGGAAACAAACGAGACAGGTAGAGAGGGGGCTCAGCGCCCTGCTTTAACTGCTCCTAGATCCTATACGGGGCAGCTCAGTGGAGTCGGGAAGACCTGAGCTCAAATCTAGCCTGAGATACCACGCAAGTCACGTCCCCCTGCCTGCCTCAGTCTCCTTATTAGTAAAATGATCTGGAGAAGGAAATGAAAAACCACTCTAGTATCTTTGCCAAGAAAACCCCAAATGGGGTCATGAAGAGTCAGACACGCCTGAAAAACAAATTCTTCTTTTTCTGGGTCTTCAGACCGTCATCCAGACTGGATTGGGGGCCAGGGAGGGCAGCCACACATGACCAATGCCCACAGAACCCTAGAGCTGAAAGAGAGTGGCTTTCTCCTATCTCCACAGAATGGTTCCTGCTGGACTTTACCAGTAGGCTGGGGCAGGTTTTCTCTCGACTGTGTCCTGTACAGCCCTGTGTGGGGTCCTCCCCTCTGGTTAAATGGCCAGATTCCCCATTTTGGAACCCCCTTGTGCTGCTACAACGACTAGTAGAAGGAACATAGACTGACACAGAAACAGCAAAGTTCTAGAGTTTAAAGGGCAGCTAGGTGGCGCCACAGTGCACAGAACATCAGGGCCTGGGGAGACTCCTCTTGAGTTCAAATTCCGCCTCAGACAATTCCCAGCTGTGTGACCCTGCCCGCTTCAGTTTCCTCATCTCTGAAATGATCTGGAGAAGGAAATGGCAAACCACTCCAGTATCTTTCTCAAGGAAAGCCCAAAGGAAGTCCCGGAGAGGTGAATGTGACTGAACAATAAAATCTACGAAGGCAAGGTCTGAATCCTGATTCTGCTCCTTACTGTCCTATCACCCACAACTGCCCCATCTGTAGGGGCTATGCTAGAGGTCTCAAAGGTCTCTTCCCAGCCTGAAATCCTGACCCGCATGACCCCGCCTCTCCAGGGGCACTCCCTCGCTGTCTTCCTTCCAACAAGCTGCAATCTATCCTCTGGTTCTAGTTCTGTCCTCTGGGGTCAGACTAAACAAGCCCTCTTCCCCATGACAGCCACTTATCTCTCCAAACAGAGGAATCACGACCCCTTTTAAGTCTTCTCTCATCTTTAGTTACTCTGCCTTTTGGCTCCTCTCACTACCCTAGCGGAGACAGTCAGTCAATGAGCATTTACGAAGCACCTACAACGTGCTGGTCGTCTGTCCTTCTTTCTGGAAGAGAACCATGACATCAGGGAGGGGAAGCCATGACGTGCCCCTGATATCGTGGTCTTTGAGAATGGAAGGACAAACAACCGCCACTGCCACCACCTGCAAGGGGACTGGACTGAAGCGAGGCAGGGCTGGGCAAGGTTCACCAGCCTCTCTCTCCTCCAGAGCCATATGGGTCCAGTGGGGACAGATCAGGAGGACTGGAGATGGCCCCGGATGCCATGCAGTGGGAGACCTTGGCCTTTCTAAGCTACTCTTTAACAGGTTTCAGTTTGACTGAAGCAACGCCCATTCAGTGATTAATTAATTATTAGTAAACATTTATTCAGCACCTACAACGCACTAGACACCGAGCTGAGCACTACAGATTTACAGAAGGCAGAAAGACAGGCTCCGCCCTCAAGAAGCTCACCCTTGGGCAAGGCTAAAATAAATAAATAACCGCGAAGTAAGGAACCAGGATTCAAACTCGGGAGCTCCAAGCTTGTACTCATTACGATGACAGGCTGCCTCCCGATTCTTCTGCACCTGCTGGGTCCCTCGGCAGTGCTGGGCACAGCCCCTCACCCTCCTTCGGGTGCCTGGGGGCACGTACTGCTTCTTTCAGTCACTAATTCTCCGGGTCCCCTTCCAGCCCCCCCAAAGGGTCACCAGTTCTCGCCCCCTCTCTCCGGGACACCCCCATGGGCCACTCTGCTCCTCCAGGCTCCCTAACCTTCACTCTTAGTGACTCGGCTCACTTTCTTAGGGCACGTGCTGCCCCCCGACCCCAGTCCCGGGGAGTAAGGCGGAGGGTTACATCCACTTAGCTCAGTGCCAGCCTCCCCAGACCCCCCGTGGCTGAACTCCGAAGGGTCCCCCTTGCACGGCAGGGGTAGGGGTCACTCCGGACAGGACCAGGGGAGGATGCCTTGCTCTTGCCCGAGATGCGGCCGGGCGGCAAGAAGCCGGCCCACGGCCCGACCCCCCCCCCCAGCGGAAGGGGCGGGGGCGGAGGAGTGGCGGTCCAGGGCCCCGCGTGGGTCCCCCCGCGAGGCGCCCTCACCTGCTCGGAGTTATCCAAGGCGCTGCCGGGCTTCCCGATGCACTTCCGGAAACACTTGTTCGTCATCCTCTGGAAGGGACAGGGAGACACAGTGACCCGCGCGCCACGGGACCCTCGGCCTGGCCCTCGCCCCCGCCCCCAGGCCCCAGCCCCACACCTGCAGCAGCTCCTGCGCGTTAGCCACGGCGATTTGCACCTTCACTTGCTCCATGATGAGCCCTGGGTCCAGCTTCCCGCCCCCGGCCCCCGCCGCACCCCCGAACTCTGAACCGAAACTGCCCTCCATGGCCCCGAAGCAAAGTCACCCGGGCGCCGCCACTGCCGCCGCGTGCGCCAACCCGTACCAGTACTCGTACCGGAAGCTGCTTCCTGCGCACCACGGGAAACGGAGTCCCAGGGGAACCAAGAGCGGAAGGGGCGGGGAGAAGTCGGCGAGAAAAGGAAAAACTACGGAGCCCACAAGGCCACGCGCCGCGGGTCGCGCGCTCTGGAGCTGTACCCGTAGGGGGGAGACTGAGGGCCGTTAGGTGACCCTGCCCTTTGCGCTTGCGCAGCGAGTTAACTGCCTGGGCCCGCTTAAAGGGGGTTGTGATGTCACTAAGCTCTCCCGGTCCCGCCTCACCCTTACAGGGTGCTTTTAGGTGAGCAGCGAGGGTCCCTGCAGTCCGCACTCCTCCGCTTCCGCTAGAAGCTTTGGCGAGGAGCACCACCCCACTCAACCCCTGCTGCCGCGCAATGCAAGCCGGGATATCCCCCAGCTCCCCAACGTCAAAGCACAAAGAACTTGTAGCCGTCCAGCCCCGCGCGCAGGCGCCCTGCCCAGCCGAGACCAAACCCTGAGCGCGCAGGCGCCAAGCCTCGCGCCAGCCCGCCAGCCATACCTCGGCGCAAGTGCCCGGATCCGTACATTTGTGTGACCCCCCTCACGACCGCTCTCCGCGCAGGCGCCCTGTGCTCCCCTCCTTTTCCTGCTCCGGTGGCACCTTCACACCCACCAGCTTTCCCCAGATCCCCACACTCTAGTGGGAGCCCTAGAAGGAGGCGCGGGTGGGGAAACTGAGGCACCCCACGAGAGCTGAGATTTGAACCCAGATCCTTTGACTTCCTTTTCTGCCAGGGCAGTAGATCCGGGAAATGCTGCAGCTAGGCTTTCCCTGCGTTGTAGCAAACGATAGAGAGAAGGCATTATTACATCAGGTCCGTGTTAGCTTGAAAGTGTGACAGAGCTCTTTGGTCCCTGTTTCACGTGTATTCGAGGCTTTGAATAAAGGCAGCTAGGTGGTACAGTGGTTAGAGCGCCGGACCTTTAATCATGAGCAACTGACTTCAAATCCAGCCTCAGACACTTACTGGCCATGTGAACTCTGCACCTACCTCTCAGGGAAAGGTCGTGGGGATAAAATGACAATTTTTAAAAAAATTTTGTTTTTAACTTAAAAAAAATTTTGAGTTTCAAATTCTCTTCCTCCAGTCCCTCCTCCAGCCATTGAGAAGGCAAGCAGTATTATACTCATTATACGTTTGGTCATGCAAAACATATTTCCATATTAATCATGTTGCCCAAAAAAAAGCAAGAAAAATACAGTGAAAAGAAATACGCTTCAATCTGCAACTCAGGGTTGGTTCATCAGTTCTCGGAGGTGGATAGCATTTTTCATTATGAGTCCTTTGGGATTGAAAGTGACTCTCTGTGAAGCACTTTGCAAACCATTATACAAATGCTAGCTATAATTATAAATGGCATGCTTAGCAAATTCGCAGAGAGGACCCACAAAGCTAGGAGGTGATAGCTATATCTGTATATGTATATATATAGACATAGCTATGTAACTATATATACATGTGTATCCCAAAAGATCTTCGTGGAAGGCTGTCCTCCAGTTTTGCTTGAGAAAGCAAGTCACGTGGCTAGATAGGGCTTTCAGAATTTGACTGAGTCACCAGTGAACTCAGGTGATTAACCGGTTAGTGATAAGAGCATTTGGGGCTCAGCTAGATTACCTCTGTTCTATTTAAAATGAATGTCAAGTCATAAACTCCGAGGTTAAAGATTCTGGTTAGTCTGCAAATTCCAGCTTTATGTCTAGTATTTACTGACTAGTTTATTCTACCTGAAGCAAATCTTTCCTTTCTCTTCTTTACCTTCCCTCTTCTGCTCTCTACAAAACTCCACTGTATGCTGATGTAACTCAAGACCTATAAAAGGTTCCTGAAACAGGCTCAGAGCCCACTGGTTTTTTTGTATTCTGTGGGACAATGCTGAACATATTAAAATGTTCCTGCAAGTTGATATGATTGGCAGCAGTACCTATCAATGATTCCTTGGGGTTGGTTTTTTTTTTTTGGTATCAATTAGATCACTTGAGCCAAATCTAATAGGGATAAATGCTATGGGTTGAAACTTTAAAACTTTCAAGTAATACAGATAGACCCCGGTGGGAAATTTATGGGAGGCAATGAGCAGGACAGGAAGGCACAAATCTAAGCCTGGATGGGTTGTGGTCTCCATCATTTGAAGGTCATTGGTGAAATTGCAGATCCAGTGGAATAAATTTAAATATTCAACTTGGTTTCAAAAACCCAACCTCCTATGTCCAGGATGGGGGAAGCATTTGGGTCATTGGATAATTAATCCAAAAAAACCCCTTTAGACCATGAATTAAGAACCATCCGAGAGCAGCTCAGTTATATCCATCCTAGCCAATCATGCTCCTAATCTTTAAAACTGATCAAAGAACAAGAGCTTGCTATAAACTGCAACAATTCAGCCTCAAATCCACTGGGCCCAAAGCACTCTTGCTGACGCTGGTGCTTCCAAAAGGGAAGGGAATAAACATTTATTAAACACCTACTATTAAGCACTGCGCTAAGTGCTTTACAAAATTTGATCCTCACAACAATCCTGTGAGATGGACACACTGCACCCATTTCATAGTTGAGGAAACTGAAGCAGCCAAAGGTCAAATGCCTTAACCCAGGGTCACACAGCTAGTGAGTGTCCAGAGGCTGGATGCAAACTCAGGTCCTCAGACTCCAGAGCCTAGCTAGCTGTGGCTAGGCTAGCTGTGCCACCATTTCTAAATCAGTGAAAGTTGAACCAGAAACCGTACAGGCAAGGCACCTTCTCTAGAAGTACCCAAGAGCACCATGGCAGTTTGGTCATCCACTTGCTCTTTATCTCAATTTCCCATACTTAGTGTGGTTCAAAGGGTCATCCAATAAACTAGTCACTTCCAATTTGAATATAAGCACCTTAACTACAGGGACTTTCCCTTTTAGATTCATAGGCCCAGCACTGAACAAAATGCTTGCCAGTGCCAGGGTTTTAAGCATTAGGTTTTATATTCATTCATCTGTCCCTACCACAAATCTATGTGGGACACCAGTATATGGCAATCAGGATGACAAAAACCATAATTTATAAAAACAAAGCTGGACAGACTGTATTGACTCCATCTGAGAGCTAAATCTGAGGACCTGTGATTCACTCGGCCTCACCAGCAAAATGGTGGTAAAGCTGGGTGGGATCAAAGTCTGATGCTTTCTCCTCCACTGTGAATCTCCTCGGGCAGTTTCCCACAAAAAGCAACAGTATTTGTTTTAAAAGCCCCAACAAAATCACAACCAACAGTTAAATCAAAACATTTATTGGAGTGTCTTGTACAAAAAAGTTTCCAGTCATAAAACGTATATTACAAATCACTGAAAAAGACATTTGGCATGCATGTATATTCTTTAAAAAAAACATTTTTTGAAATGATAAAGTCTAGATTATCACATAGTTCTCAGATGCTCTGCATGATGATCTGTCATTTCTACTGAAGTTTGGGGGGTTTGCCATAACTATCCAACTCAGCAAGTCATTTAAACCTTTTTTTTTTACAGCAGTGTTCATAAAGAATACATCCATAATGATCAATGGCCACTATATAAATAGAACAAAGCTATCTAAAAGTTGTATGGTTAAAACTACCATTCAAGTCAAAAGTCATTATTCTTATGAAAATAGTTGGATATGGAAAGTGATCTCAGTCATTTGCAGGCCTTTGGGGCTTGCTTTTAACAGTTTATTGCTAACAACTTTAGTGTGATAACCTGGGGAGGAATGTTGGTCCTGCCCAATCAGTGAAGAATCAAGTTTTCATGATCTTTTGAGTTGCGCTAATACCTTTCACAAAAGTAACCCCTCTCCCAGCCCACCCCCCACCCCCTTCCCAATCCTAGGATTTATTTTACTCAAAGGATCAAGCCAGGCTTCAACACATGCTTTTCTAGGGTCATCACTGCTACTTTCACCTAACCATTTTTTCATCTAGACCTTAGCATTTCAAGAAAAAGGCATTATGTTTACAAAGAATAATTGTATGTAAATGTGGGCTTATACAAAACACGAAAAAAAATCACCTCTGAATTACTTTAAAGTGGTGTAAAGCTAAGCATATTTGAGGGCAAGTAAAAATTCTGTTTCCCAGGCCATGTTCAGAATTAAAGGGTTCGTGCTGCTCAATGTTTCCAAATACTCTATTTTCCATTTTCCACCATGGGCTAACATGCAGCCACCAGCCAGCTAACCTTCCAGCAAAGAGCCTCCCTATATGAAGCCTAAAACCAGTTATAATAAGAGAACAGAGAACTAGGAAAAGGCTCAAGACTGCAGATCACACTTAGCTCCTGGTTCTGCCCTAGTCTCCAAGGACACCTTGGTCAGAATGAACTCTTTCCTCGCCAGCAAAGAGAAGAAATTGAATAAGAAATTGTCTGATCACTTTTTCCCAATACATGCAACAAGAGTCACCAAGAAACTGTCTCCAGTTACTCAGCTCCCACTTTTGACACCTTGTGTGGTTTTGTCCTAATAGGAGTGAATGCTGTTCCTTTCCTGTCTGGTCGGGATGACTGGGCCTTCCTAGAACCCTGGGTTGAGTCAGTCCCCTCGTAAAGGTCAGAAGGCTGAGAGTACAGAGGGAATGCCCCTTCACAGTTACTATCATTCACATTGTGACCGTGACCAGAGATGCTCTGGCACCTCACGTTTTTCCTGCATGCACGTGGTTAGCTGCCTACCTTGTATAAGACCCATCAACTGGGCTCCCTCCAGAAAAAACAAAGAGCTAATTCCTTGGAGGCATTTTTTCTCCATTTGCTTTGGGAGAAGGGTTGAGACTACGAGAGAAGGGATTTGCTGAGCAGCCCGTCAGTTTCTGGAGTTCCCCGAAAGCTTTCCACACATGACGAGCATAGTTAGTCCATACAGCCACATTCTACCATCTCATTTGGTCTACAAGGCGTGCATCATTAACTGACCAAAAAGACCAATGGCTGCTTCCCTGGCTTTAACTGAAATTCGGCTCTTACTGCCTTCACTTCTTCAGGCGTAAAATGAAACCACATGCTAGTGGCAGTGCCTTCAGCCTGTTGCCAAGATGCCTGGACAATTCCAAAGAAGCTGTGTCATTCAAGAGGAGATCAATGGAGAGGACCAGCCCCCTCAGCTCAAAATTTCATCAAGAGCCTATTAACAAAGATGGCAAACAGGGCTAAGCCCAGGTTCTCCCAGCACCTCCCTCACTTTAAAAGCTCCTTAACCAGATTAAATTGAATGTTGTCCACTCCAGGTTATGACTGATAAGGCCAGCACGTTTCCAAGCAAATTCCATATGATTTAGAAAGGTAAAGGCAAATGTCTCTGGTCATTTAGTTTTGAACAGCTAGTGGAAGGAATACAGTAGTTTATATGTGTCTCTACTTTAAAATCAGGAATTGCCTCTTAAAAGTGTTTGGGTGGCAGTGATCTTTTTAAGATCATGACAACAAAGCCAAAAGACTGCCTCGGCCCTGCAGAAAGGACAGACAGTCTAGTCCTTAAGAAACATTGGTTTTTGGTAAACAAGACAAAGTTGTCATGATACAATCTTCTTGGACCCTGCTCTTGGGAATGGTTCTTCAGAAAGGTAGCACATGCCCACAGGCTCCAAGAGGAAAGCTTAATCAAAGCCAAACTGGCAGACACTTCAGTTCCTGACACACAATTCCCTAAAGAAAGCAAGTCACATGTGGTGCACACAGTAGTAGAGGGAAAACAATGACTATTGCTACACTTAAGAGTGAAACACAGGATTTGCATAAACTCTAGTTTCATAGGGAAAAGTTGGTTAATCCACCCAGCTAGCTGTAGAGGAGGCAACCTGTTTCCTAGAGTTTGGGGAAAGAATATGCTTCACTCCGTCAGGCAGGAAACAGCCAATGGCTCAGATAATTTGAAATCTAATTCAAGCTACTTGTACAAGGGAATTCAGTTAAAAAAAAAAACTGAGGGAGCCATCACTGCTCAGTGTAGGGGGAGGAAACACCAAGTAAACAAAGAGAACAAAATGAGCCCAGGCAACTGGACTTGGGGCCGAGCACCACCCCTATGTTGACCCAGCCTTCGACAAGGTCCCAGCCACTGAGTATCAGAGCTCCCTAGGCCAGATGAAGCAATCACCTACTGGCCAACATAAAAAAATAAATATCCATTAAAAAAAATAACTTCTATGTATACAGGTAGGAGGGCATGTAAACACAGCAAGTTAGCAGGAGAGACTTGGGCTTCGGCAGCTGGAAGGTGGACTGCATGGTTTAAAATATCAGTCTAGGAAAGGTTAATTTGCATTTGCGTGTTTTGTCTGAGAAACATAATTTCAGCAAGAAGATATATGTGTGTATATATATATATAGGTAGATACAGATAGGTGCATATATATTTGACAAAGATAGGTATGATTTCACTACATATTTAGTTACCCCCATACACAGAGTGGGAATAACAGACGAGAAAAGTCAGTCAAATTCAAGGGAAAAATTCCAACATTATCCAAAGTAGCCACCTATTACCTAAAAATGCCCACTCCCTCACAGTGCTATCAGGTATGCATCAGGCTGCATTACACACAAAGGGAGAAGCTCAAATTCCATTTTAACATCTCCCTTCAGAGGAAGACATTTGTTAAGACTCATCTGCACCATCAATATTTTTCTTCTTTTAATCTAAGTGCTAACTAACTAGTCCAATCAGCTGAATGGCTTTTGGTGCATTCCGCCCCAGATACTACATTTGGCTAGCTTTCCATCTTGTAGCAAAGAGTATTTGTAAATCTAATCTAATCAGCCCACAATGACTTGCTCCTCGACACTAAAGTTATTTGAGGTTGTGGAGACATAACCTTGAAGGCTGGTTGAGAACCAGGTGTTTTGAAATCTTCATTTTCAGCCCTATTGCATTGAAGGTTAAACCACTAAGGCAGGGGTGGGGAACCTGCGCCCCCGAGGCCACAAGTGGCCCTCTAGGTCCTCGTGTTCGGCTCTTTGACTGAATCCAAACTTCATAGCACAAACCCCCTTAACAAAAGGATTTGTTCTGTAAAACTTGGGCTCAGTCAAAAGGCCGCACCCGAGGACCTGGAGGGCCACATGTGGGCTCGAGGCTGCAGATTCCCCAGTGCTACACTAAGGTAAAAGCCCTTAACCAGACCCACAAGGACTAGCAGAAGTGGGCAATTAAGGAACAACATTCAGGAGCCACAACTATCCCATCAAGAACTTTAGGCCATACCAACCTATTTCACTTGAGTAGCTCAAGAGCAAAATCCACAAAAGGCCAGGGTCAGGCTGGCCTGTGAAGAGAATCCAAATGCCCTGAAGAGTTTTCAAAAAAACAAAACTGAGTTTGTTACCAAGGAGCCACAATGCTTTGTGGTGCCCAGATAGACGCAAATGTCAGTTTCTGATATTCATTGAAACATGATAGAGGAAGCCTGAGACTAAACCGCACTTGGCAGAAGTTATTATAAAACATTTTATACAGGGCAGATCACATATCAAATTCCCATCAGGTGATCCATCCCAATTCCCCTCAAGGAAACGAAAAAAGAAAAGAAAGATTTGCTTCAATATTCTATTCAGCTAATTTTGTACATGATGGGTCATGTTGCAAAAAGCTTGCATCTGCAGGCCCCCAGCCACCAAGGCAACGTGGCAATCTCAACTTTAGATTTGATAAAAAACACTAAAAAATATCTTGTGCCCTCTTCACAGCTGGTGGCCACTCCTGGAGGGGCCTGGGGTATGTGTGTAGGGGTGGAGATAATTTCTCATTTCATGATTCCTTGCCAAGGAATTCACCCACCATCAGGTACGAACAACTTCCAGGGCAGTAACTCAAGTTTATTAATCTATACCCTCCACCCCCACCTCCCCCCACCCCTGCAAAAAAAAAGCCTAGTTTCAGTTTGATAAGATTTACCAGTCTGCAAATTTCTAATTCACTCAATGCTAAAATGGGGGGAAATGCAGTAGTTGGATAGTAGTGTTGCAGGGACCCCTAAAGTTCAGGGAAGGGGACGCCCAACCCAGGAAGGAGGAAGGAAGAGAAATCCATTCAAAAATTCTGGCAGTTTGGTTAAAAAATCTCTAGAAATGTAACAAGGAATAAAGAAATCCAATGATACAAAAATAGTTTTCAGCGGCTCTGAGGAAAGGCAGGAGCTGGGTAAGGAAAGTGAGTGGTGGGCACTCACATCACTGAACAGCCTCTGGAGGTCGTCCGGGGGTCTCCCTGAAAGAGAAAGGAAGAGACAGGGAGAGTTATGTGGCCAAGAGAAGAAATGTTTATTAGTAGCTCATCCTTGAATTCAGGGGGATGACTACGCAACGTCAGGGAAGCTGGCCTATCCTCCCGCTCACTCAGTCACCCATCTTTTTCAGCCAACTCCTAAGGATGAAACGAAGGCCCCTGTGGCACCTTTGTGCATACAGCAGATTGTGGGTAAAGTGACAACTATTCTCCAAAGACCTAAATAGCTGCGTTTGTCCTGCTTAGCTCAAGGCAAAACTAGGATTAATGTGTAAAAATTGAGAGTAGGGCAGAGTTGAACGCAGTCTCAAAACACAAGGAGTGGGCAGCCCCTGGGGAGCCAGGAGCCCCCTGCACTGAGGACACCCCACAAAGGCCACGGTAAAGCAGCCTCTCGCATTGTTGTGGCTGTTTGTCGAGGGAGGGGGTGTTCATGACTCAGATGGGCTGGTTTCTGGGGACCCTTCAAAAGCTGAGAACCTAGGGCCCTAAATAAAACTGCTGACTCCTTAGAAAGATCAGTTCTGATAAGAAGATTAAAAGCTTTCAATCGCTAGTCAGTCTTTTTTCAGCCATGTCCGACTTTGTGACCTTGTTTGGAGATTTTTTAGCAAAGATACTGGAGGGGTTTGCCATTTCCTTCTCCAGTTCATTTTACAGATGAGGAAACTGAGGCAAACAGGGTGAAGTGACTTGCCAAGGGTCACACACCAATAAGTGTCTGAGGCCAGATTTGAACACAGGAAAATAAGTCTTCCTGACTCCAGGCATGACACTATCCACTGTGCCACCTGGTCATATTTTACTCATGATTATCCAGCTATAAATTAAGATCTAGTTAAGGACCATGGATAGCTACAGCCTATCAACTTAAGATCATACCCTCTAGACCAGAGCTATCAAACACACTGCCCCACCCCCCATCCCCCAACTGGGGGGGGGGGGGCGCGCCACGGGGCGGCAAAACAGACTAAAATGCAACTGAGAAATATTTAACTCAATAAAAATACAATATAAATAGCATTATATTTTAAAACTAAGTCAATATGTAGCCCACAGGGATCCTTATGTATGGATTAACAGCCCCCATTTCTACTGGTGTTTGACACCCCTGCTCTAGACCATCAGAGACTGAAGGCAATCCCCACATTGGGGTGCTGGATATTCTTAGAAAACCTGTCTAAAAGTTAATCTCTTTCTGCTCCTGTTGTTTATTTGAGGCTTCAAAATTATTCAATGAGTAAGTTGTGTTTTGGTGGCACAGAATGCCATTCTGGAGTAAGAAGACCTGAGTTCCAATGTGGCCTCAGACACTTCCTAGCTGTGACCCTGAGTAAATCACTTCACCCTATTTGCCTCAGTTTCCTCATCTGTAAAACGAGCTGCAGAAGAAAATGGCAAAGCATTCCAGTACTTTTACCAAAAAACTCTAAATGGGGTCACAAAGAGTTTGATATAACTGAACAAGAACAAAGGTATGTTTTAGGGAACAGCAAATAAACACATCAGGGAAATGCACCCTGACACAAAGTTTAAACTTTCTACACCTGCTTTTGTGATTTAATGGGTAGGATTATGTAGGTACAGACTGAGGCCCTAAGCAGCTACGGATGATTATTACTCACATAGGAGGAAGCCCTGAGGGAATAACTAAGTACACATCTTCCTAGGCCTCGATCCCAGTATAATTCTAATACTACCCAAGGCAGACCAACATCAGCCTGCCTCCAGTTTCTATTGGGCACCAACTATGCCTGGAAACAGTATTGCCACCAAAAGCCCACCATGGGTCTTCCCAAACTCAGCCGTACCCAGACTAATAATGACCTAAGAAGGCAGTCTGAAAGGATCAACTGGCTATATTTCACCAAGCATCTGGTAACGCTGATGTTCTAAAACAGAAAAACCTTGTGACAACCAGGTTGGCCTAAGTATTTCCATTTTCTTCCTCTATAAAATCAGCAGGCTGGACCAGACGAGCTCAGAGGCCAGTGAAACTCCTGTAAATATACCCAAACCTATCCTTGGACAAAAACTCAGAAAGAACAAGATGGATACTTACCTGTTGGTGGAAAAGGTCTTCTTCCCCAAAGTCTGCTTCTTCCTCCTCCTCTTCCTCCTCCCCATTCTCTTGCACAACTAGTGACTGAGTCACTGTTCTCACTGCCACTTCCTAGGCAAAGCAAACAGAGCCATCCATCAGTGAGAGCAGGTCCTGGTTAGTCCTTCTAACACGGCTTCCAGAGCCCACTCAGGCGGGGGGAGCAGGAGGAGCATTCCCCTCGAGGTCTGGGATCTCTTCTTAACCTAGCTACGTCCTTGCATAAGGAAACACGCTCTCTGGACTTCAGTTCCCCACCATGCCCAGCATACAAGGATGCTGTGATGATCAAATGAGGTAACTACTGGTGGGAAATCAAAGGAGATTTCCAAAAATAAGAGTTAAAAGGGCTCTAGATGTATAAGCTGACATAACTGGGTCATATGCATACACTTACCCGCCTTTTTTATAGCACGCCACAGCAGCCCTCCCCCACCCCCCCCGAAGGCTCTGTCATGTGGGACAGAGAGCTGGCTACCATGGGAGCTTGTTTCTATCACAGAGAACCATAGTCCTGATGAGTTTTTCTGAGACCCTGGTTAAGGGAGCCCTGCCAACCAGCTGGTGACCCAAAGAACACATGGAAAATAAGACAAGTACGAATTCTGTCTTTGAGGGCAAGGAGATGTGGCCCCGTTCAAAGGGGAGGATATTGTGACTACAATCCAGTTAGCCTCAACCAAACCTAAACAAAGTACCTCTCCATCTGCGTTGACCAGGTATGTTCGAAAATTTCCACCAGTGCCCCAGCTGCTCTGGTTCTTCCACACAAGAACAGATGGTGGGCTATGAGTCACACCAGCATCTGCTGCCCAGATCTGAGGAAAAACACAGAGAGGGCTTCTTTCACCTCGTTCTCAATTGCTCCCATCCAGAGCACCTATAATCTGAAATTTCTGAAGTCTCCAACCAGAAGATGCCTCTCTCTGCCCTCTTTATTCCAATGAGTACGTCTTCAATTAACTTACCAAGAGAACAGCCAGCTAGAAAACTGGCCTCTTCCTTCAGAGGAAAAAGGAAAGCTTCTAGTCCAGAACCACCATGTGGCTCAAGTATTTCAGTCTTTCCTTGTCCCTGGGGCCTTGAAACTTCTCCTGCTTCACCCCCTCCTAATCCCAGATGATTTACCTAAAGCTTAGACATCCTGCCCCCACTTTGCTCCAACTTACTGTGTGTGCCCTGGTTCTCAGGGTCCTTCTACCTGGCTTCTGACCCAAGAAAAAAAAGTGATGTCACAGGAATTCTATGTGAATATAATCCCTGTAGCTGCTTCCTGAAAGCCTCAAGGGTGGGGATGGACTGCTGCCCCTAGCCCCTTCCTTCTCAAACAACCAGAAAGTCTGCTTCACCCTCCACCCCCAACCTAGCCACGTGGTCGTTAAGGTGAAAAGCTGCCTGAACGCAATATGTGCAGAAGGCAACCCTGTCTTGCAAGACAGTCACCAGATTATTGCTGGTGATCTAATTCTGGCTTTCTTAAATGGCACCCATGCCTCTTACATGTGAAACATCATGTCGCTAGGCCAGCAGCAAAGCCTTCCATGTGTTCCCAGTCCTCCCCATGTAATCAAAAACAAGTAGGCAGCAGGTACAGATGCTCAGGAACAGAGCAGACACCCTCCTTTTGCAGCCTAAAAAGGGCAGTGATTCTCCCTCTTCTCTGACAGCAGGGTAGGAAGGCCCAGGTTTCCCCAGCTCATCAGGTAAAAAAGGCCCCTTGTTCTTCCTAAAGCCAAGTCACCACCTCTCACAGCACTTCAGAGCAAAGGCTGGAGACCTTCCTCAATTAATTAATTACAAAATAAAGGAATTGTCGAAGCAATGTCAGGATAGCTCCTCTTTCCCACCTCAGCAGTCATCATGCCACCCCAGACTATATCACGCCAGGTACCAGCAGTTGTACCAGGCAAGATCACCAGCTGCTTATCCCCTGCCCAAGAATGGTCAGGATCCTACCTGTTACAAGACTGGCAATTCTCTTGGCACCTATCTCTAAGGGAAGGAAGACCCGCCCCCCCATCCCCCTAATCTAGCTCAATGACCCCAACAGTTAGTTCTCTCTGACGTACCGTGACAGTCTGCCCAGCCCGAAGAACATACTTGGGAGTAAATTTATAGGCAATTTCTTCACCTTCTCCAATCTGTCTCTTTAGCCTCCAATTCCCCAGAGACTGATCCTAGAGAAAATACACAAGGCACCAGGTCAGTCGATCAAAACAAAGAGCTGAGCTTGTAGTTTACTCTTCTATAACACATGAAGTTTTTTTATAAAGTATTTTTCCTCTAATACCTTGTTTTCCATGTTGAAACATGATAAAAACCTCCTTTTTGGTTCAACTGAAAACACTTAAAAAAAAAACCCATTCCTCTGGTTCACAAGCCTTTTCCAGACTCGCACCTATCTTACATCTTCACCATCCCTTCCTCCCCAAAGGTAGGCAGTAACAGGCTGAGGACTAAAGCCTTTTCTTAAGGAAATGGATGAAGGGATGCTGAAGTTTTGGTTTGTTTGTTTTCTGAGGCAAACAGGGTGAGGTGACTTGCCCTCGGTTACACAGCTAGTAAGCATCTAAGGCCGGATTTGGACCCAGGACTTCCTGCCTCCAATGCTCTATACACTGTACCACCTCAGATGCCCCATGGGATACTGAACTCTGAACTAAGAGTACAACTTCCTCATCCCCAGAAGAGCCTGCCACACCCCTTTATTATTGCTCAGAAAGAATTTTCTATCTTGATCACTGGGAGACTACCCCTTACAATCTTTGAGGAAGTGGTCAAAGAAAAAATGTATGACTATCCTAACCCCAAACTGCATCTTAACATATTAAGACATTTTCATTATTCAAGATTCCTATAAATGTTACCTTAAATTGTCTTGGAAGAGAGACATGTCCAAAGGCACTGTGCCAGTCTGGATATTGCTCTAATATTAAATAAAAATGTTGGGGCAGCTGGTGGTGCAATGAATAGAGTACCAGCCCTGGAGTCTGGAGGACCTGAGTTCAAATCTAGTCTCAGACACTTGACACTTACTAGCTGTCAAGTAACCCTGGGCAAGTCAGTTAACCCCCACTGCCTCACAAAAAGAAAAAGAAAAAAAATGTTTCTGATCATAAGGGACTTATTAAGGTTGAACTGTTTACATTCCTACATGGAAAGATATTTGTAACTCATGAGGCCTTTGTCAGTATTAGGGTAGTTGGAGGGAAAAAAATTTATATGGATGGATAGATAAATGGATAGAGGGCACAGGGTGAGTTGAAGATGAAGGGGTGATATCTGGAGAATAAAATTAAGGGAGGAGAAAGGATTATACTGGGGAAAGGAGAAAGGGAAAGGCAGAATGGGGTAAATTATCTCAGAAAAAAGATAAGAAAAGGCTTTTACAGTGGAGGGGAAGTGGGGGAAGTTGAGAGGGAATGAGTGAATCTTATTCTCATTGGATTTGGCTTAAGGAGGGAATACCATACACACTCAATTGCATATGGAAATCTATCTTACCCTATAGGAAAATAGGGGGGAAAGGGGACAAGAGAGCAGGGGGATGATAGAGGAAAGGGCAGATTGGGGGAGGGGGTAATCAGAAGCAAACACTTCTGAGGAGGGACAGGGTCAAAAGAGAGAATAGAACAAGTGTGGGGGGAGGGATAGTATGAAGGGAAATACAGTTAGTTTTCCACAACATGACTACTATGGAAGTGATTTATATGACTACACATGTACAACCTGTATCGAGTTGCCTGCCTTCTCAATGAGGGTGAGTGGGGAGGGAGAAGAGAAAAAATTTGGAACTCAAAATCTTAAAAACAAATGTTAAAAACTGTTTTCACATGCAACTGGGAAATAAGATATACTGGCAATGGGGTATAGAAATCTATCCTGCCCTACAGGAAAATTGAAGGGAAGGGGATAAGAGAATTGGGGAGGTGGGGGGCAGGAATAAAAGGGAAGGCAGATTAGGGGAAGGGATATTCAGAATGCATTCCATCTTGGGGTGGGGGGAGGGATGAGATGGGGAGAAAATTTGGAACTCAAAATCTTGTAGAAGTGAATGCTGAAAGCCAAAAATAAATAAATTAATAAATAAAATTTTTTGAAAATTAAAATATTTCTGGCAAACTTGTGCCTAAAACAGAGTTAAATTATTAATATTTTTCTTTGACATTTAGATGAGGAAACTAAGTCTCAACAACGTTAAGTGATTTGCTTAAAGTCATACAACTGAGAAATACCATAAGAAATATTTGGACCCCCAGGTTACCTGGCTTCCTCCCACCAAGCTGCTTTCCGATTTGAAGCCCTTCTCCCCGCCCCACCTCCGCCTTTGCCTATCTCATGGGGCCTGCATGAGTTTGACCCACTCTCACTTTATCAGAGCTGTTCTTGAGCTGTACGAATTTCCCCTCCAAATCAATCTCCTCTATGCTGATGCTGCCCGTGGCAGAGGCTTGCTGCGACAGCTGGAAGCTGCTAGTGCTGGCACTGCTGGCGCTGCTGCCAGTACCGATGCCGCTGGTGCCACTGCCTGAATGCTCCTCCAACTCCACGCGCTTCCTCTTGCTTCGAGAAGAGCGGATGGCAGAAGTGCTGCTGCTGCTGCTGCTGGAGGTAGCTCTGGACACTGTGACTCGGGATGATGGGCTAGGGGACAGTTTCAGCCTGCAAACCAAAAAGTAAACCAGCTCAAGGAGGGCTGGCAGAAACTTCTGGTGGGTAATACCTCTTCAGGGAATGGACATCATAGAAAACACCTAAAAGGGCTGGAGTTGGCCCCTCAGCTGTCCCATGGTGCCTGCCTCAGGAACAGGAGGCTGGGCTGGACAGGTCATCACTGACACAAGACAGCATTTCTGAGGTTTCCTAAGGAAAGCCAGGAAGCAGCTTGGCTGGAGCAGAGCCACAAGGAGGGGAAAAGGCAGTAGTGTTATGTGAAGACTGAAGAGAATCCAGACTAAGGGTTGTTCCAGATTCCAGCTCTCATGAAGTCTCAGAAGGGCTGCAGTTAAGGCCAAAAAAACAAACTCTGTTCTCTAGGCTCCCTCTTTATCAATTAGCCAAGCCTTTTCTGAATTGTTCCAGCAAAAGGGTTTCAGCTCTAACATAATTTAGGTGCTCAGCAAAAAAAATTGTCAGGCAGGACAAGAACGGCAAAGCACCTCTGAGATGAACTGAGCAGGAGTCCATGAGAAGTCCCAGCAGACTCACCCACTGAGACCATACAGGGAAATCCTCCACTTGACAGCAGATTTCACTCCTGAGCCAAAGGTTTTCACCTGTACTTTTTTACACGCCAGTGATGTGACTAACATAAAAATGTAAATGCCCACATTTTGACAAGTAACATGGCTGGGGAGGAGCTGAGGCTAGATTAGCCCCAAGGGACTCATGGCTCTGTTTTGTTGAACAGAACAGCAGCATGATCCCATTTTCTCTTTTCTCAAAATTCTCACATTATCACAGAATTATCTTTATTCGTCTGTCTATACTAGGAAAAGAGCAGACTTTAGAGCACGGTCATTCTCTTCTATTATGCTGAAGAGGGTCATGGCCAAAACAGGCTGAACAGCAGACAGAAGTTATAAAGAGGAAGATTTAGTCCCACATAAGTAAGAACTTTCTACCAATCAGTCATTCAAAAGTGGAATGAGCACCTCTCTTCTCTGCCACTGACAGTCTCCAAGGTGAGGCTGACCACCCTCAGATTACGTTGCAGAGGAGATGCCTGCCTGCTCAGGAATGGCTTGGACTAGATACTGAGGCCCTTTCCGATTTGGAGACTCTGATTCTAGGCAAACTTAGTGCCCCCCACCAAACAGGACAAGCTCATGAGGGCTGGAGTCCTCTATAGCACTTAGCATAAGGAAGGGCAAAAAGCAAGTGCTCAGTAAATAATTACTGAATTGAAGTTTATCTTAACTGTCCTGGACCTTGGGCAACATCAGCAATGATCAGAGAGATCAGTTAAGCAAATAGACGGCTGACCATCTACAGCAAAAGCTCACTTAGATGTTCAGTCATCTAGAAATGTCAATTACGTAAAACCCAGTTGAGAAGGAAGCAAAAGAGGCCTCCTAGTAACTGCAATGGAACATTAGCTGTGTTGTAATAAACAACAAATGCGGACTTCAGGGGAACATGAGAAGACCCCTATGAGCCAATACAAAGGGCAGTGAGCAGAACCAGGAGAACCAAAAGAAGATGAAGCTAAAGGCTGTGTAATTCTGACTAAACAGGATCAGAAGCAATAACATTTCACCTTCCTCCTAAAGCCAGAGAGCAGAGTGTGGCAAAGGAGGTTCACTGGGTCAAGATGGGGCTGGGGTGGGGGAAGGGGAATGGAGGGGTACAGCAGAAAATCACTCAAGTTATCACAAAATAAATCAATAGAAGTCACCCAAATGGCCAAAAGTCACATCACATATCCAGGATCTAAAGTGTAGGTGTCTTTTCCAGAGGACTATCCCAAAGGACCCGACTCTTACTTTATACAAAATTTTAATAAGCCAAGGTTATCGGGTTTCCCAACCCAAAATAGTGTAGATGGGGCAAAAGGAGAGCACTGCCAAGGGAAACAGCCACAGGTGAGAGCTGATAGCCTGGCAGGGAGGAAGAGACAGGAAAAAGACAAGAAACAGAAACAGACCCAGGAAAGCGGGAAGCCCAGCACGGCAGGGGCCATTCTGTGCAGGTGAGCTCCTGAAGGCCCTGTAGAACAATGCATGCTCATCTTCAAAAAAGTGACTCCATGTACAGTGTCTCCCTGAAATGGCCAGGAAAGAGTGCGATACATTTTTAGAGATTTACAGCAACACTGGCTCAAACCACAAAAAGGGTCTTAAAAGGAATCTGCTTCAGGTCTCTAAAAAAGGGTCTGTAGAACACACTCCCCAATAATGCTGGACAAATCAGGGATCACTGAAATTCCCTTGAGCACTTCAGTGAGGGCCCAGGAGGCCTGTTCCTCCCTCCCGAAACATTTGTAAGCCGAGAGCGCAGCCTGCCCTCCCTTACCTCTCCTCCTCTCCTTCCAGGAGTTTCCGATATGCATTGATTTCCATGTCCAAGGCAAGCTTGACATCCAGCAGTTCCTGATACTCAGTCAGCTGCTGCTGCATCTGGTCCCTCATCTCTGTCATCTCCCGCTCCTTGGCATCCAGCATCTTGCGGAATTTCTCCCGCTCGCCACCCAAAATCTCTTCCAGCTCACGGATTCGATCTTCTGCTGCACTGGCCTATGGTTTATCAGAATGTGGTTAATCCAGCTGGTCAGACTCCATACTGTACAGGGAACCTAAGAGCCCAAAGAGGGCAGTGGAGAAAAAAAGGCTAATCCCAAAGGTGAGGCGTGAGCCAAAGAAGTTGAGGAGAAGGCAGCCACATTCTCCTCCCACAAGTGATTTCCAGCAAGCTCCATTACAGGAGCAGCGCAGCCTCAAAGCCAGGGATGGGACTCCTCTGGGCTGGTGTTCTGAGTGCTCCTCACCCCTGACCTCTCTGATCCAAGCTTTCACCCTCCCAGATCTACTTCCTCTCTGTAACCTCTCTCAGCATCATTAGACTGTCCTCCTCCCTGCCACCCCCCATTCCACAGCCTGGGCTCCAGCCTCTTGGCCTCTCTGCCAGAATAATCCTTCTTATGCAAAGATTACTCCCTGTTCCAAACTCGCCAGGGCTCAGCTCCCCTTGGGCTACCTAATAAACTCAAAGCTCTTCTACCTAGCACTCAAGGTCCTCTCCAAAGCGGCTATGATGCCTCTTGGGCGTTATCTCACAAGATCCCCTCTAAGGCCTTCTCGTCGCCCTGCCCCACAAACACACCGAGACCCCTCCTCTCCTTTTGTCCTTTGTCCCATGTGCCTGGAGCAGCACTTCTCAAAATCCGATCGTGAAGTCAGCTGTTCTGATCGATTATTAAACTAACTACTCCTCCCTTTGTCAACGGCACATTTGGGTGACTTTGGATTGTCCTCATATACCTCAACCAAAACAATGTCATAATAGTCAATAAACCTTGGCTGAGTGCCTACTATGTGCCAGGTATTGTATTAAACAACAGACTGAATGCAGAAAGGGTTATGAGAAATTAAGCTGCAAATTCATGAGATCCACGAAAATATATAAAGCGATGCAATTCTCACTAATTCCTATTTTGGAAAAATTATTTTTTGTTAACATGTAGTGGGTTTATTATTTTAAAATGAATATTTAGAAATGTATTAGTTTTTATTTCTAATACAGTAAACACCGATAAACTCACACAATATAAGCTCTTTGGGGTCCTCAATCATTTTTAAGAGTATAAAGGGGTCCTGAGAACAAAAAGTTTGAGAACTTCTGGCTTGGAGTACCCTTCTGGCCTCACACAGTCCACTACAACTTCACTATGAAGCAGTGTGACTAAGGAACACTGTGTATTCTAGTGTGTATTTGAGTTTTGCTTCCTAGCTGGCTACGAATTCCACGTGGGCAGGATCTGTGTCTAATCTAGTCTGTTCTCAAAGACACTTTCATACACTGAGTGAACGACAGCCGTTGAGTGAATGGACTGTCTGAGCAACCTGAATTAAGTCAGAAAAGATGGAGGAGGAGGCTGGGCCAGCCCCTTCATATTCCTAAACTCAAGTTTCTTCATAGGTAAAATGCAAAGTGATACTTGTGTTCAGTAAAGTGCTTCATCAATCAACGTATTGTACGAAATCATGAGCATCTCAATTATTCTAATGAGACTGCAGCTAAAAAAATATGCAGTTTCTTTGAGCTTCATGGGAATGAGAAAGGCATTGATGTTATATGACTTCCAAAAAGGGCCCGAGGCCTGGTAGTCTAAGGATGGACAGCCCTCCAAGAGCAGAGACTGCACGAGTTTAAATGCCTGCTGACAAAACTCAGCATGGAACCCAAGGATAAATGATCCAAAGTAGGAGGCAGAGGGGGTCCAAGGCCTCACCTGTTTCTGGAGGCTGGAGAGCTGGTAACTGAGAGACTCCACTCGCATGCGGGCTTCCTTCAGCTCCTCCCGAGCTGCGCTGGCTGCTTTGTCGTTTTGGTCAGAGCACAGTTTGGCATTCTCCAGCTGAAGGAGGAAAGGAGGGAGGACACAACAGGACAGGCCACTTAGAGGAAAGCTGAGCCGATCCCTGCCCCACGTGGGAGCCGAGCTTTCCCTACATGTGACTGCCTACCTGCCTTCATGACGGCATCTCTCCCCAACCCCTTGTTCTATCACACTGGCGCACGGCCTCAGGGCCCAGCCCTCTTTAGAGTCCACAATGAGATGGGACCTCACAGGCCTTGCTATGCTGAAGACTGAGCAGTAATTCAAGGAGGGAGGCAGGAGGACTACACTCCCACAATGGATGAGAATGGCCAGAAGCTGCTGCTGGGACCATCAGAATGGACAAGCCTTTAACACACACACACATCCAGTCTCAGGCTGCCCTCAGATGCTCATTTCAGCCTGAGTGGTCCTCAGTAAAAGCATGGGTACTAAGGAGCTACAAACTCCTCTGGGGCTGATCTTTCAGGAATCAACACATCCAGCCTCACGGGGCACAAAGTCAGGGGCAGCAGGCTCCCTGCTCATACCTTGGCCTGGTAGGTCTGTTCCAGCTCCAACTTATAGAGCCTCACTTGCTCATCATGCTGATTACGAAGGTCCTCCAAGGCCTGCGCCATCTTGAATTCGTATTCCTGCTGACGGCTGCTATCAACCTCTACCAAACGGCGCTCGTGGCTCTTGCGAGTCTCTCGTACCTCCTAGCCCAAGAAAGAAAAGAACAATTACTGGAAATCAGTGGTCTGCTCCTCAGCTGAAGGGCAGAAAGCTGGAAGTTTCTTTGCTATAGCTTTCTCTTCTCAGAAGCATCAAGATAGTGAGACGGTGAGTTGACCCTAAATTCCAACAAGAGTCCCTGTTTCATGACAGATGTGAATAGCAAGGAAGAGAGAACAGACAGGGAAGAAGTCCTTGAAGTCACTGACAATTCAAGGCCCCAGAGCCGCCCTTGTTCACTTGACAGCAAAGATGCCACTTTCCTGGTTGTGTCTCTGGATTTCTTTTTTAATTCTTTCAACAAAGACTAGGTGCTAACACGTACAAAGTATGAGGTGTCAGGTGCTAATGGAAATAGCTATCAGCCCAGAGCCAGGACTTGACTCCACCTGGGTGAGGCTATTTGGGCCCAAAGCCTATCCACGCTGCCACATTGTTCTCTCTAATGAGAGGCTGGAGAAGAGGAGACCTGAAGGGCAGCCAGACAAGAGGGGACAGGGGAATGACAGAGGTATCTAGGGATCTTGGAGGAGCAATGAGAGGGAAGTCTCTGACTCCTTCACAATATGTTGAAAGCTGGCCTAGCCCTTGTCTAGGGGTCAAGGTGAAGGTAGAAGAAAGGCTCAATAAATCCACTTAGGAACTAATTTCCCCATACCACCCTGTGGGCCCTTTTTTCACAACAGGATAAAATACCTCTTCAAATATGTTCTTCCGGAAGTCTAGCTCTTCCTGCAAGCTCTGGTAGCGATTCTCCAAGTCCACCCGCATCAGTGTCTCCTTTTCCAATTGCTTTTTTGCCACAGCATGACCATCTTCTGCCTGATATTGAGGGTTGAACCCGACATGTTCAGGTGCCTTCCTCCCACTCCCACCCTCACTCCATCCCACCCAAACTTTCCTGAGACTCTTAGGTCTTAATGGTAGGCATAGTATTAATCCACAGGCCAGGTCAGGGAGCAAGCACACCTCAGACCTTGGGCAATATAGTGGAAAGAACTCTTAATGTGCAGTCACCCAAAATGGGTTAGAAGCCCAGACCAGAACTTATTACTTATGTGACCTGGGCAAATCCTTCCACCTCTCAGTTTCCTCATCTGTAAATGGGGACAAGAACTCTTGAACCACCCACTTCACAGGTTGTTAAGAGTCAAAGGAGGATGTTAGGTTCTTGGTGAATGGAGAGCACTCCACTCCTGTCAGTTCTTAGGATTCTGAGGCAATGACATGCAAGTATGACTAAGGACATGGCATTTCACATGGCTGCAGCCACTGGGGTCATAGTCTGGTTTTGCATAAACAGAATTACCTCAACTCCAGGCCACTCACCCAGCCTTGGCATGGCAACATATGCATGTAGTCCCAACTTCCCACTTCCTTCCCACTGATGAGGTGACCTGGAATCTCAAACAGGGCCCTCCAGCCTCACTTAAAAGCTTCCCATGACAGGGAATGGAGATTCAAGATTTAATGACAAGAAGTAGAGGAAGTGGAAAAAAGAGGCCCAGAACACTGTCGCAGGCTGCCAGGCCTATTCTAGAGGCAGAAGGGTTGCCATGCCCAGGACCACTGACCCACTGGCTCACAAGTAGGTTGAAGCCCATACCTTAGCGAGCTGGGCCCTGAGCTCAGCAACATCACTTTCCAGATTCCGTTTGTCACTCAGGGCAGCAGAAAGTTCAGCTTCACTCCGGTGAAACAGGGACTCAAGGTCCTTCACACGGCCCTGGGCAACAGTCAGATCTCCATCCTTCTTCTTACAGCTGAAATTTAAGCAGAAATGCTTGGATGAGTAAAGGGGAGAGACTGTGGTCCAGCCTGATGACCACCTGAAGCAACAGAATGAGTTGTGAATTGGGAGTCAAGAGCCCCTGGTTCCAGTTTAGCTCTGCCATTAATTAGCTATGCCACCATGGGCCATCCACTTCCCTTCTCTGTACCTCACATCTATGTAAAGTGAGAGATTGTTTGCCCAATCTAAAAACATTAAATTTCAACACATGTATTTCTGTTCTACTTTAGAAAAAAGAAAACAGCCTTTGTTGTTTGCCACACAAAAGGCAAAAAAGACTAAGAAAAAGCTGGAGATTTTAAACAATACCTAACGGGAGGTGTTTACCAAGCCACATCACTAAGTACCCAGATAGGCTTCTTCTGAGCCTCTCCAAATAGACACAGAGCAAGTGTCCAAAGGCAAGTTCTTATTGGTCACTTCAGCTAAGGCAAGGGCCAAAAGAACATCCTCTAGCCCTCCCTTCTAGAAGAGAAAATTTGACTCAGCAGCCTCCAAAGAATTCTAAGAAGAGTGAGAAGGAAAATCTCCCAATAAGCTCTGTTCCATACAACCTGTATGACCTTGGAAAAGTCCCTTTAAGGTTGTCTAGATTTCTTTTAGACTAGATTATCGGAGGTCCCATCTTAATCTGTGATCTAAGTCCCTGTCCACTCCACTCACCCAGTACTATTTTAAGACCCCCAAGGAGAGGGAAAGGGGCCTAAGTGATTATGCTGGCTACGTTCAACTTCACACTGAACCCAACAGGTTTCCTCTCAAGAAGGCCTACTGGCATGGTAGTGCTCCCTTCGACAGTACCTCCTTAAATAGCTCTAGCTTGCACAACCTCCCACCACCCAAATAGCTGGTGTCAGGGGGCCAGTATGAGTGCTTACCCAGAAAGAGGATCTGGTACCATACAGAAGAGGCCTGGTCCCTACTAGAGAGAAGGCACAGATCAGGTAGTGCACTCTCGGCATCACCCTCTTAAAGAACACGAAGGGATTGGAGCCCTAAGGCCCACTATTATTGTTGCACTGGCCCAAATGGGCCTATCCCAGGTCCCACCACCAGGGGGCAATGGGCTCCATCACAGGATAATCCAGGTCAGCCTTGGCTCTCACAGGCTCTTAGGTAGCACTAGCAGTAACTTGTCCAGCTTTGGCAAATTCAGTAGTTGTGCCATCATCCCCCTTAAAGAGCCTTCATTCCCAGGTGATCAAAGGAAAGCCTGGCTGGCCTGAAGGCAAGGCCTGGCCTAGGTATCCTTGGGGAACCAGTCAGCTCTAGGATTTGCTGGTCAGTGGGCGGATTCCCAGGTGAGAAAGGGATTGAAGTCTCAAGGGAAGGACATTAAAGTATAGGGAGGGGCTTCCCACAACATCCCTAGGAGCTAAGTGTAAGACGCTGGAAAGGACAATTCTCTAACTAGGGCTCATCCCCATTTTGTAGAAGGAAAAAAAGCTCCAAATGAAGTGACCTGTCCCACCTGGGTCACACATCTCAGCCTGGGCACCCACCCACATCTTTCTGATTCCAAGCTCCATTTCCTCCCCCAACATCATGTTAACCTAGATGAACATCCCACATGGCAAGGGTTTGCAAAGGGGCCCCAGGGCAGCTTCCCAGTTTCAGCAGAATTATCGCCCAAACACTGGCCTTTGGACTGAGTATTGACAGCCCCTCATTGGGAGGGGCAGCCCTGGCCAGGCACTCTCTGGCAGAGGCTTGGCTCCACCCTGCCCCAAGAGGGCTGTCACAATAAGGCTTTACCACTCTGTGCCAGTTTTCCTCAGCTTCCCCTGGTGCCAGTCTGATGTCATGGGGTCTGAAGACCACTACCAGACCATGGCTGCTCATATCTCCTGGAAGCTTTGTAGCATACAAGTCAGATTCAGCCAATGAGACAAAATAATAGAGAGCAAAAAGAACCGGACTTAAAATGACAGCTCTTGTTTTCAAGCCCTGATCTCCTACCCTCCTACTACCTATGTGACCTCAGGCTCCATGCTGGTACCTATAAAGTGAGGGGACTGGACTCAACAATCTCCAAGCTCCCCCTAACTCTAAATCTATTGTCCTAGGTCAAAAGGACAGAGGTTTCTGCCCATCATTGCCCAATTCTGCTCTGGTACAGGCTGGACTAACCAGGAGCCTTCTTGGGTCCCTTCTCATTCAGAGAAGGTGAGTGGCTGGCTCACAAATCACACAGGTCAGGGTATACAGCCCAGGACTCCCCATTCCAGAGCTGTTCCCACTATCATGCCGCACTGCACTTTAGAGCCTCACACAGAATGCCCTCCCTTTCATGGGCCTCACAAAACGTCTGTTGAGATAAAGGACCCCAGCAGCATCCCAGGGACGCGGGGTACACGTGTTCCTTGGATCAATGTGGTGAGGAACCCAACTGCTGCCAGGAGGACCCTCGGAGAGCTAAAGCATCAGCACATCAAGTACTGACCGGGGTTCTAGGTCTGATTCTGCTATCCAGCCATAGAAACATATTTACAACCCATTTATAGTAAAACTGAAAATACTAAATACTTTCCTCCAAAGCCCTTTCCAAATACCTTGAGAAAAGCCCCTAGAACACAAAGGGTTTTTCTTAGGGAAATAAAGGGTGACAGGGAACCTTTTGGCAAAGAACTCTGGTCTGTTCAAGATGGTGCCCATCCCATCCCTGAAATGATTAGTGATAAGTAGCAAGTCCTGGGTTCATCTAGGGGCAATCAGTCTCCCCCAGTTACCAGTCCACCAGAAGTGATGGTCCAGTGCTGACTCACCCTTCTCCACAGAGAAAGGATTACGATATTAATGCAAGGAAGGAGGTCCCTTTGTCTCACTCCAGGACTGAGGAGTGGCCCACAAGTATGGGATGGTGACTTGGTTATTCAATCAATTGTGGAAGGTCAACGTGTCTCGTCCTAGTTCAAGATTCTCACAAATGTTACCTGAAATCATCTTGGGGCAAAGAGTCACGCTGAAGGGCAAGGGTACTATGCCAGTTTGGACCAATCTGCATCTCTCTCGTACTGTATTTCTATAGTATTTTTTCTTCAACACAGCTGAGGTCACAACCTCAGGCAACTCACTTTTCCCTAAGTTCAGTTTCCCTATTTCTTAAATGAAGAAACTGAGTAGATTCTTGATGTTGAGAGGATCTCCAGGGGCCATTCACAGGATAGTTCACCCTGGATGGCTGAGCAAGCCTCCATTTCCCCCATTCTCCAAGAGGCCCAGGGATGTGGAAGTGAAGGTTAAAGTAGTGCAGAGGGCACAGTCTGCTTACCTGTAGGATAAGATGAGGTTTGGGAAAGGTTTTTGGACAGATTTCTGGGCCAACAGACAGATGATTGATCACTCCATCTCCTACCTCCCTAGAAAGTGCTTCTTCTTCATGTCTCAGAATCCTTGTCTTCCTTCAACACAACTCAATTTTCACCTCCTCCCTGAAGCCTCTACTTTTTTTCATCAACCTGCGATGACTCCTCATCCTCTCCATTGCTAAGTGTGCCCTCCTTCCTCAAATTTCCTTGTACTATGGGGCAGCTGGGTAGCACAGTGTATAGAGCACTGGCCTTAAGACACTTACTTACTAGCTGTATGACCCTGGGCAAGTCACTTAACACTGCTTCCTAATTAAAAAAAATGTTTTCCCCTTGTACTACACTAGTGCTACACTGGTGCTCATAGCAAGTCCCTTTGGTTTTGTCTTTGTACACCCTGCCCCTGACTCACTGCTTGGACAGAGAAGGCACTCACTAAGTTTAAGACGGAATTATTAAAAGCCTTACCACTGTGTTTACTAGTTCAGTGCTACCCTTTACCTTGAACTTTAAAAGGCCTATAACCCCTTCACTGCTAGAGATCCCAAGTCCCTTCATATCACAGCAGGCACGTTTATGAGGTGCAGTTGCCCCAAAACACCCCCAATACCTGCTGGTGGCCAGCTTTCACGCGTCCTCATCCCCTTACTCTGCATCCAGGCAAGTGGGGAAGGTCCAGCCAGAGTTTCTACTCCCCTGGCAAAGTCTAAAGGGGCAAGGTCATCTCTAGCCAGGATGAGGCATAATTCAAAGGGACCCTTAATGACGATTAACTAGGAGAGACTGAAAAATACCAGGCCAAAGAATTAAGCCTTACATGAGGATGAATTCATTAATAAAAACTATTTAATTATGTAAGAAACATTGCGCTAAATGCTGGGGAAACAAATAGAAAAGTTTTCCCCTTGATCCCCGATAGCATTTAAGAAAATGTGGGCGCTTGGCTTTCTAAATAATGATGTTATTTTCATACCTGAGGTCAAGCAGGGTGGACCCTGTTTTATGTAAGTAATAGGGCACATCCTCCCCTAAAGGGCAGTCAGCACTATAACACAGCTTTCAAAAAACACATTTGTTCCAACATAATGGAACATTTTGAGAATAACTCCAGTTTACTTCTTCACAATTTCTTCCTCAGAAACAGTGCAGAAAACGGTGGCATTTCACAATGACTCACGGGCTACAACCCAAAAGCTCCGTCCAGGTCTTTAGCAGCACAGAGGGCCATTGTATACTCTACCTTCAGGTGCAGAAGGAACAGCAAGGAGAGAAGGACTGGCTCACATCCTCCACCCCCTTGGCCACCTATTCTAACCATTTAACACATATAAAACTACTGCCATTTTTCACTAGGCTCCTATCTTTTTTGAAGTGTCACTGATGAAGTTTTTGAGCATTATGCCCCAGCCTCATTTCCCCATAAGCTCTGTGGCTTTTACTGCATGATTTTGCAAAGAAAGATGCTTTTGGAGAATGTATATGTTGTGTTCTAGCAAAACTGACTGGGGCAGCTAGGTGGCACGCTGGATACAGCTCCGGCCCTGGATTCAGGAGGACCTGAGTTCCAATCTAGCCTCAGACACGTAACACTTACTAGCTGTGTGACCCTGGGCAAGTCACTTAACCCCATTGCCCAGCCAAAAAAAAAAAAACCGATGGTCAACTTTTAGAAATCTAATCCTATGGAACTGCCTTCCCACCCATATTGATGCTTTCTAAGCATGGGTCTTCTTAACATGGGGCCCCCTATATAAACGAAGCCATAGGCTGGATGAAGTCCTCCCACAGAGTTAAGCAGACCAGATGGTTTCTTGCTATGGCAGGCCTGTCAGCACTGTGGTTGCTTTAATTAGGCCCAAATTATACCAAGTCAAAACCACTTACTTTTTATTGACCTCATCAAGTTCTGCTCTTAATTTTCCTATTTCAATCTGAAGCTTGGCTCTTTCCCTCGCAGTCTCATCCAGGACTCTCCGGGCATCAGCCAACTCTGACTCATAGAGGACCTTGATTCCGCTTACCTGGGAGAAGGAAAGAAAGAAACCCTAAGCAGAAAGCACAGAGATGTCGTCTCTGGGGAGAAAGAAGCAAGAAAAGTTGAATTTGGCCAGCTCTCAGTGTCTTAGATGAGAAGCACCTCATTATTCAGATCCTCTTAGAGACAGGCTCACAAAGATCTTCAAGTGTCTCTTCTTCTACAAAGCTATCCTCAGGGAAGGAAAGGAGCTGCTCTCTCCAGAACTCCACATTCCACCCCAAACACTCAGTACAACCTCAAAATCCCAGAAGAAAATACAAAGCATCTCACTGGTTTCTAGCTCAGTTTTTAACACAGCCACACACGTTGTCTGTTCTCAGCCCATAACCTCCCAGGAAGCCAGGAACCCCAGAGTTAGGTATCTAAATTTGCCAGATTACTTAAAATAGATACACCCAAACGGGGACAGCTGAACAACCAGAGTGAGACCCAAAGGAAGGATGCTTCTGTCCTCTCCTTAGGGGAGGAGGAGAGGAGGCTACAGGTGTGTGAAAGGAAACTTACACTGGTGGGCAGATCAATGCTCATTTGTTTTGCTTCACCATCCTTTTCTTTTACAAGGGTGGGACTGTTCTATGGTTTTCAAAGATAGCACATTCTAGGTTATGGTAAACAAGGTCCTCAGTGTGGTTTGTCTGTATATACATGAACATATATATATATATATATATATATATATATATATATATAATAGATATTTAATAATACTATTTAGTATTTACATAGCACTTTTAAGGTATGCAAAATGCTTTACAAATATTACCTCCTTTTATCCTTATAACAACTCTGGGAGGTGGCTGCTATTATTATTCCCATTTGACAGATTAAGTGTCTGAGGCAGGATATGAATTCCCACATTCCAGGGTCCAGTGTATATGTGTACATACATACGTACCCATGTATATACACACACATCCCAAAAGTACTGCTTTAAGCTTTATTAGCTCTTGGGATACGTTACATCTAATATCTTATTTGCCCTACTATGAGTTGCACAAGGGCAGGGATGTCACCAAACTTATCTTTGCACACTCCAGTTCCAGGCACTATAAAAACAAGGCTGTGCCAATAAGAGTTTGATTGAGTTGAATTAAGCCACAGGTTCTAGTAAACACATTTTCAAAACAGAACCATCCAAACAAATGACCTCTCAAAACAGGATCACAACCTAGACCCCGTCCCAGAGCTGTGGACAGACATTCCTGTAGAGAGGGTACAGCATCTCCTAAGAAGGAAAACTTGGCCTGTGGCGTCCACTGTCCCCTGGCAACCATAACTAGTCATCTCCCTGCTCCCGCCCTACACCTAAGCCCAAAAAGACACTGCCTGAGTCCCTGGCCCTGCACATGTGCTGCCTGCCCTGTTACTGCTCTTCACAATTAAGGCTGTGCCCTCATGGAGGGCAGCAATGCCCCAGGTCTCATGTGTTTCTATCCCCCATCCCAGCCCCACCTCTGAGGGCCAGGTTTCTGGTCAGGATTCAATAAGCACCAGTTGATTGAAGACATAAAAGAAAAGCCCAAGAGAATAGGAGTGGTTACTGCACAACTGGAGAGGATGCACTAGGAGACTGAGCTGACCAACTCCGTATAGCAGGAGGTCTGAAAGGCCAGCAAGCTTGACCTTAACCAAAGCACAAGTCACATGGATCTCTTCCCAGCAAGTGCTAGCCAAAAGGATCATGGTGGGGAGGCCTTTGGATCAGAATCTGCGGGCACAAGTCATGGCTCTGTCCCTTAGCTAAACCAATCACTAAATCTCTCCCAAAACTCAGCTTCCTCATCTATTAAATGGGAAGCAGTACGGCATGGTGGAGGTACACTGAACTTCTTATCAATAGACCTAGGTTCAGATCAGACTTTCACATTACACCAAGGCCCTTCTCATCTCTAAATCAACGACACACAGCTGACTTCCTAAGTAGAGTGGAAAGTCCTCTGCAAAATGTAAAACCCTATAACAAAGTCAGTCAGTTTTTCAGCTGGTCAGGTCCAAGAGAACTGGCTGTTCCAGCCCAACTGTGTCCCCAACAATGTGTGAGCCACGTCCCCAGGTCTGACACATCTGGAGAGATCAGCAACTCACATAACAACTGATTTTCCAAGGGTGGTAACAGAGGTAAACACAGCCCTCCCCTCCCATTCCTCAGAAAGGACAAAAAAGTACCAACACGCACACTAGCTCCCAAGAGATCCCCAAGGACTGGGCCTCCTGCTATATTCTGTAAGCTTCCTCCAACCCACCTAGTACAAACAAACTTTCACATGGAGCAGATGCCCTAATCTTTTGCTGACTACATGAATTACCTTGGGGAAAAGGAAAAGACATGTGGAATGGAATGTGGTACAGGAAAGGAAAATATTTTAGAGGAATTTCTGCCACTAATTCACAGTATGACACCGGGCATGTTCCTTCTTCCCCACTAGGACACTCCATCTCCTCCACTGTGAAATTAAAAGTGTTGAACTACATCAGTCTCTTCCCAAATTGTGTTCTGCACAACATGAATGGGGTTCTGCTGGCTGGCTCTCCATTAGGAGTGTAAGTACTCTGAGGGCAGGGATTGTTTTGGTGCTTATTATGCCTTTCTTTGTACTGGTAGCAATTAGCACAGTGCTAGGCACAAAGTAAGCATTTAATAAAATGCTTGTTGATTGATTAAAGATGTCAACACCAGAAACAATCCCCCTTCAAATATTAAACATGAAATTAAGATGTCAGAAGTGATTATCATATGTAGATTACGTAAAAGTCTTCATTTTCTTCCTTCTTGACTTCCCTACAGCATTTGACACTGTTGACCAGCCTCTCCTTCTGGATACTCTGCCCTCTCTAGATTTTCACAACTCTTTTGTCCCCTGGTTCTGGGCCCTTTTCTATTTCTACACTCTAACCTGATGCCCTCATCACTCCTGTGGATTAATCATCATCTCTCTACAGATGATAGAAGAAGCATGAGGTGGTGGATAGTGAGCTGACTGTGAAGGCAAGAAGGTCTGAGCTCCAGCCCCACCTGTGACACACACTAACTGCAAGACCTGGTAAATCACTCAACCTCCCAGTTGTCCAGGCACCTCTCCAAGACTGTAAATTGCGAAGATGGTGCTGACCTGCACGGGTAAAAGTTTCCTCATTCCACAGTACCCTAAAACCAATGAAATCCCAGGTCCAGTTCCTATCTCTAGGTCTACACCAATGGTTCCCAGATGCCTACTGTCAAAATGATGTTCCAAAAGTGCAGGTGGGACCACATCACCCCCTATTCCCTAAACCCCAGAATTTCCCTAATACTTCCTACAGGATCAAATGTTTGGCTTCTAAAGCCCTTCTCACCATTTCTGCCCTCTTATCCTCTCCACAAACTCTATACTCCAGTGACACTGGCCTCTCTGCTACTCCTCCAATACAGGGCTCTGGTTTCCTAGCATTTTCCTCGGTTGTCCCGGTGCCTGGAATGCTCTCCTTCCTCATCTTCATCTCCATCTCCCACCTTCCATAGGAAGCCTTCCCCGACCCCCTTAATGTTGGCACCTCCCTGAGATTCTCTCCCATCTGAACTGTACGCACTCATTTGTACACAGCGGTGTGCATGTTGTTTCTTCTATTGGGCATTGTCTTTTGCCTTTCTTTGTTTATAGCAAAGTTTATAGCACAGAGCAGGTGCTTAATAAATGCCTGTTGACTTGATCCAGCCCTGACTTCTTTCCTGAGACAGTCCTACATCATCAATTGCCTGTTAGACATTTCAAACAGGATGTCCTGCAGGCAACTTCAACTCCACAAGTCCAAAAGAGAGCTCATTATCTTTCTCTCCAAACCCATCCCTCCCATCCAAATGGGCCTAATATTGACAAGGGCACCATGGTGCTTGCAGGCACCCAGGTTCCCAGCCTTCGCCCATCCTCAACAGCTCAGTCTCACTCACTCCACAAATCCAATCAGTTGGTGAATCTTGTTTCTACCCCTACAACATCTCACACACATTCCCTTCTTTCCACTCACCTAAACACATCCTAGTTCTGTTCTCATCATTTCTCCTCATTCACCTAGCTGCCTCAATTCTCTCTCCACCTCAATCTATCTTCCACACAGCTGCCAAGATGTATTTTCCTAAAACAGGGGTCTAACCATGCCACCCCCCCCTTCTCAATAAAGGGCATGACTCCCTATTACTTCCAGGATAAAATTTAAATTTCTCTAATTGGCATGTTAAACCCTTCATAACTTTGCCCCTTCCTCCTGTTCCAGTCTTTTCACACCTGATTTCCCCCTGCACATCCTCTATAATCCAGCCCTGATGGCCAGCCTCCTGTTCCAACCAGACACATCTCCAGCATTGGGCCTTTGCCCTATTGCACCTGGAATGTGTTCTCTCTTCACTGCAATCTCTTGGAATCTCTCATTTCCTTCAAGACTCAACTCAATTATCACCTTTTACAAACGTTTCCTGATCCCCAGGCAACTAGTGCTCTCTCCCCCCCAGCTATCTTGTATGTAATTCCTTACATAGCCTGTATATATACACATGCACGTCATCTACATACACACCCCCATTATAATCAACTCGACAAGGGAAGAGACTGCCACTGGTCTTTGTATTCTGAGTGCTTAGTCACTGTGTCTAGTACAAAACAGGTGTTTAGTAAATGCTTATTGACTAAGTGAGCCCTTCACTCCAGTATTTATCCCATTCAATCTAAATGTATTAAACACCTCCCGACGATTCAAGGCCTGGGACTGAAGGTACAAGATAGAAATCTGCTTCCTATGTTATTCTCCAGAATGAATGATTTCTATCAATTATTTCAAAACCAAAAATGTTTCACAGGTCAAATGAGCTTTGGAAGCACTAGACAAGATAACCTCTAACATCTCTTTTAGCTCTTAATTCTATGATCCTGTAACCCAGGTTCTAGATGAGCTCAGGCAACTGTTTGTGTGACCCTGGTCACATCACTTCCATTCTGTGTGCTGGTGTGCCCATTTCTGTAAAATGGCACCCAGTAATCATTGCATCAAATCCTTTGCAGGGTTGCTATATAACTTAAGTGAAAGATTGTGAGCACTTTGAAAGCACTACACAAATGCGAGTTTCCAGTAAATAAACTGGGAATAAAGACCATGGAGACTGTTTTCAACTCCACAGAACCAAGGGTGGAAAGGTAAAGCCAAAAGGACAAATTCAACAAACAGCCTGTATTTATATAATTTTGACACTTCTAAAAGATTTTCAGGTACATTACCTTATTCAATTTATATTTTTTATATATATATATATATATATATATATATAAAAACAAGGAATCAGAGAGCCAGAGCTGAAGACACATTATAGCTAATCTTTCCAATCTTCATGAGTTCACGGATAGGGTAACTGGGACCCAGAGCAATGATATGACTTGTGAAGTTAGTGAGTGGCAAAGCTAGGACTAGAAGCCATGTCCATCTCCCAGGGCCATGGGACCTCTGTTCCATAACACCTCAAGCAGACCAGATGATTTACCAAAATCCTCTCTAACTTGGTTATTCAAATTTCATGTACAACAAATAAGTGGGTTTCTGGCCAAACACTCTCATCTTTTTCCACATGTAGTTTTCAAAACGAACGTTCCAGGGGGCACTATAGTAAACTGCTGACAAAAGGTGAACTGTTTTTATTTGAATGCATAACAACAGCAAACAGGTATGAAGAACGAACCCCCAGGAAACGTGTTGCCACATGCATGAGCCAAGGGCCACACAAACATTGCCTGACAGCTAAAATGCACATACCTCCTCTCTTCCTCCAGGGGAAGGAAAAAACTAGAAAAGGATCTGTCCAACCAATTACAACCCTGGAATAGACTTACTATGTCAAACTCACCTAAAAACCAAAGAAGAGAAACCAACCTCCATTCTCACTTTCTTCATGACCATTCATTCATTCATTCATTCAAACATTTATCAACATCTCCTACCTGGTCTTTTCCCTACTCCCTGCTACCAGGCATTTAAAATCAAACAACTAGGAATTTCCTTAATCTACCAGTGGACTTCTAGGCTGTGTTAAATGCCATAAGGGACAGAAAACAAGTTTTAAAAAGTACTAGCCCTTAAGGAGCTTCCACCCTACAAGTGGAACCCTTACCACTCCCAGGGTAAGATCCCAAGACTTTTGTGTAAAGAGCCTCCCAACCTGGGTCTATCTTCCTTTACAGCCTGAAATCACTACCTAACTCAGGTTCAAATACTTTTCAGTGGCTTCCCACTGCATACAGGACAGTTACAGAAAATCCTGGAAGAGCTGCAAGGACCATTAGAAAGCTCTTAATCTAGCTTTCTCAATTTAAAGATGAAAAAAATGGAGGCCAATCTCCCTAGCCAGGCATTGAATAATTTTGTCCCAAATTCTCCCCCTTTAGCCTTTTTCCTCACTACCCTTCCACCAAAATCTGCTACCACGTTGCTGCTCTCAGCCTCAGTAGCCTCATCTCTAAAACAGGAAGGATAGTTGCAATATCTCACAGGTGTGTCTCGGGGAGGATCAAGGAAGACAAAGGATAAAGAGCACTTTTTGTTCTCGCTGTGATTCTTCATCTGTACCATCATCAACAAAAACCACTTTCTGCACACAGATAATGTGCAAGAATGACACCAGATGATGTCCAAGGTCCCTTACAGCCCCAACATGTCAAATGAGATAATGCCATATATGTACGTCTGTATGTCAGCTGCCTTTATTACTGTTACATTATTGCATCTACTAAAGTCCCTCTCAGCTCAAATGCCATAGCAAAAAAAAAAAAAAGCTGGGGTGGGGGCTGTGGGGATGTGTGTGTGTGGGGGGGGTCCCTTTTCATGCTACTTTTACACCAAGGTCCACAGAAGACAACTTCTTTCCAAGCCACTGGCCCCACTTCCCCCAAATGACCTGCTGCTTCTCCAATGGTCAGATGGGTTTACACTACACTAGGACCCCTGCCAGGCACATCAGATCCAGACATGAAACTGACCCTTCTCCAGTTTCCTCCTAGCCCTAGTGCCACAAAAGCATCCCAAAAGGGTAGGAAGGAGCAGCCTATAGTTTCATTTTTGATAGCTGGAGGATTCTGAGAACGGATCCTTACAGGTTACTTTATCCGCTTCCAATTAAATTGCTTTTGTCCTTAACATGTACACTCCTTAAGGACAGGGCCTGTAGTACTTTTTGCCCGTAGCAGACATGAATTCTATGTTAAACTGAATTTTAAAATTGACACAATATAAATTGTCCCTGCCAGTAAGTCTCACATTCCAAAAAGGCTTTAGCATTTGTGTTTTAACAGCCTAACAGAAAAGTTGAGAAAATGAATGCAGAAATAATGCTTCTGAGTCAGGCAGCAACATCAAATTCTCTTGGCCCAACCCCCTTCATTCAAAAGGTGATTTTTCTTAATCTACAATCAGAGCCAACTTCCAGTATTTAAACACCCACTGCAATAACTCATCTCCCGTAAGGGTTCAGTTTTACAGATACCTTTTATAAGTCCAATCTGACAACTCCCTTTACAGTTTTAGTTGCATTTCCCCCCTACTCTCTGTCCTAGGCAAACTAGCTGCATAGGCTGCCCAGAGAAGATCCAGTATTTTTCTGACTCTACCAATGGACTACTCTTCTACTCATCTTGATCTTATCTGTCCCTCAAAGGCTCAACTCAAATGCCACCTCCTCCAAAGAATCTTCTCTGGTCCCTCTGGCCAGGAAGTAACTTCTTCCTCTAATGAACCCCGCCCACCCACCCCACTCGGCTATGGAAACACCTACTTTTATTTTATTATAGGTATATTCCTGATATCTCCTACAAGGACCTGGTAAATTCTCTGAGCCAGTGTCTCAATAACTTTTGTATCCCTGGTGCCTAACAGAAGGAAGTGTGTTGAATGAATTTGTTACAATAATTAACATTTAGTAACACAAAGAAACGACATATGTTATTTAGTCACTTGACTTCAAGTACAAACTACTTTATACAGATACTTCTCCAAGCACAAGGGGCACAGAAGCAGGATTTGCATTTTAGGATCCAGGCCCTCACTTAGTGGTTAAATAGACACTGCACAGTTGATACTTTTGATTCAATGTGACTCACACCTTGTGAATCTCAGAACCTTGGATTTTTTTACAGCTTGGGAGAGGCATACCATAGCTCAACCCCTTTAGTTAAGTTGACAGATGAGGAAACAAAGCAATAAGAGACCTGAGGCTGCTAAGTGGCACCCTGACAGTGAATGCTAATGGACTTGGAGTCAAGAATCCGAGTTCAAATACTGCCTCAGATACTTACTACCAATATGACCCTGGAGCCAGTCACTTAACCTGTCTGCCTTAGTTTTCTAATCTGTAAACCGGGGTTAGGTTAACAGCATATGCATCACACTTTGCAAACCTTAAAGAGGTACACAAATGCCAGGTATTATTATTACTGCCTGATTTCTAGTCCTGACTCACTAACTCGTCGTCGTGTGACCCTGGGCAAGCTACTTTCCTCCCTTTGAGAATGTTACCCCTTCTCCTAAACGGGACGCGATCGTTCCCAAGGGCTTCCAAGCCTATCTTAGGAACACACGGGTGCAGCTTAGTCCCTTCAGAACCCTAGTATGTTAGGGATCTACAAGCTACCCATCCACTAGAAAGGCTGTGAAAGGGCTAGACTTCACCAGTATAACTGGTCCTTCCCAAAAGCACTCCCCCACAAAATTGACCTGAATTATTGAGCCCTGAGTTGTTTTTTTTTAAAAAGAGGATTTGCGCTGTGAACTCTAACGGCTTCACAGAATGTGAAGACAGCCACGTGTACTCTTCACGTTTACAATGAATGATCCATCTAGAATGGAAACAGACTTGCTTTGAAAACTCCCACTTATTCTAGGTCAAGAACTCAATGTTACACGAGTCCAGCCTTCACATGGTGCTCTCCAGCAGACCCCAGCTCCAGCGGACCCCGCAACTCACTCTGAGACCTTCGTTCTTCCCCATAAGCAGACATCCCGTAGGGGTGCCTTAAGGGGGTTCCCCCTGGCCCGGGAAATCCCCTCCCCAAGCGCGATACCTCAGGCCAGTCTCCAGGGAACTCCTCCCAAGAAGGAAATTACTCTTCCCCCAAAGGGGGCCCCGGCCTCCCAAAACCATTCCCCGAAGCCAGCCTCAGACCCCAGGAGCTCCAAGAGTTCCATCCAGGGTCCTCCTTTTACTCCCACCCCCAGCCTAGACCTCATGGGGCATCCCTCGTACCCTAACAAAATTGGGGAGGGGCTGGGGGGGTGTCAAAGTACACAGAGCTGCCTCTCGTTCACGGAGAATTAATTCCACGCGGGGGCGGGGGGGGACACGCCAGTGAAATCTCGCTCGTTGGTGGTTACCCACCACTTCCTTCCCGGGAGCCCTACCTCGGTCAGCTCCCCCTTCCTCCGGCAGCCGCCTCCACCTCGCGCGTGGTTAGCCCCTTCCACCCACTCCCCCGGCAGCTCCTCGCGGGACGCCGACTCCCCCCCCCCCGCGGCCCTCCCTCGCACGCAACCCACTCCCCTTCCCACGCGCCCTTCCTCAAGCCTAGTCCGTTCTGCCCCACGCCCCTCGCTGGGCCACGGCACCCCGCGCGTGGCCTCACTCGCGGCTCCCTGCACCGCACCTCGTTCGTGACCCCGTCCCCCTCACGCACGTCGCGCGTGGTGCCCTCTCGAGGAACTTGGTGCGTGCCCCCCCTCGTGCTCTCCCCAGCGCGGTCCGCCTCCCCTCCCCCTCCCCGCGCCCGACCCTGGGCTGGCGCACGCACCTCTCGCGTGGTGACCTCCTCCTTCTCGGACACCTGCAGCAGCAGCCGGTCGTTCTCGAGCTCCAGCGCGCGCACGCGGTCGATGTAATGCGCCAGGCGGTCATTGAGCTCGCGCAGCTCCTCTTTCTCCTGCAGCCGCGAGATACGCGCGGGCGACAGCGGCGTCCCGGTTCCGAGGCCCGAGGCCGCACTGCGGCCGGACAGCGGCGTGGCCATAGCGGGGCGGGGGCCGGCGGCCTGCCTCGGACTCCCTCACTGAAGTGGAGGCTGCGGCGCGGGCGGGCTCCGCGGGCTCATTCAATCCGGCGGGAGTCCGGACTGCCAAGATGGCGGCTGCTCCCCGCCGCCGCCGTGCCGCCGAGCAGCCTGGGACATGGAGTCCCGCAGCTAGCGCCCAGCTCAGCTAACGGCCGCCAAATGGCGGCGGCGCGCCGCGGGGCACCCTGGGAAATGTAGTTTCCAGGACAAATCTTAGCGCGGGAGGCAAGCAGGGGCGCGGCCTTTTGTGAGCTGGCTGGCCAAGGGCGGGAGATAATTTCATTGAATTGAGCTTGGGAAGTTAGAGCTGAAGTTACAAGACAGAGCCACTCGCTTCCCTGTGGCTAAAGAGACCAAAAGCCAGGGACAAACAATTCTCGAAAGAGCGACTGCAAACTAGTAAGGACCTTTCGGAAGAATGTCCCAAACCGCTAAGAATAAGCGAAATTCAAATCCAAACACAGTTCGAGTTTCAGCTCACAACCAGCAAACCAGCTTCTGCTGCTTCTGGTTATAATCGCTAACATTTATAGAAGTGCCTACTGTGTGCCAGGAACTGGCAATAATAACAAAGAATAAAATAATAACAGCCAACATTTATATTATACCTACTGTGCGCCAAGCCGTGTGTTAAGTGCTTTACCATTATCTCATCTGATCCTTACGACAATCCTAGGAGGTAGGTGCTACTATCCCCATTTTACAGATGAAGAAACTGAGGCCTACATCTATTAAATGACTTGCCCAGAGTCACACAGCTAGTAAGTTTCTGAGGTCAGATTTGAACTTAAGTCTCAAGACCGATAAAGATGGAAATAGTCAACGCTGGAGGGGCTGTGGAAAGATAGGCACACTAGTACACTGTTGGTGGAGCAGAACATTGAAAAAGCACTTAGAAATTTGCTAAGAAGGTGTCTAAAATGTCCACGCTTGTTGACTCAGAGATCCCTACTGCTAGGCATATATACCAAGGAGATCAAGGTGGAAAGAAAGCTCCCCCTATCCACCCACAAATACAAAATATTTATAGCAGAACTTTTTTTTTTAACAGCAAAGATCTTGAAACAAAGATTCCCATCAATTAGGAATAGCTAAACACTGTGGTATGTGAATGCAATGGCAAATAACTGCACCCTAAGTAATAACGCCAAAACCTTCCCTCTTTTAATTATCTTCAGTTTATGCTGTACATATGTGCTTTGTTCATAGTTGTTTCAAAGTCTCCCCCATTAAACTGTGAGCTCTTTGAGTTTGTCTTTTACCTTACTTTGTATCCTTGGCACTTAGCACGTAGTAGGTGTTTAACAGATGTTTGAATGACAGACTAATAACAAATATGAATGAAGTACAGAAAGTCTTATATAAATTGATGCAAATTGAAATGGCCAGAAATAGGAAACCTATATACCCAATAACTATCCCAATGTAAATGAAAAGGAAAAAAAATTGGAACTGAACACTGCAATCATAATGGCTAAGGATGTCCCAGAAGTAGTGACTGAAAAATGCATCTTTGCAGAGATAGGGGACTGAGGTGTGGAAGATTGCATTTATTGTTAGTTTTGCTGAACTGGACCCAACCCCACCTTTTTTTCCATTGTATCCTTTGTTATAATGGATTGCTCTCTGGAAGAAGAGAGAAAGATATATTTGGAAATGAAGACAAAGTGAAAACACAAAATGTAAAAAAAAAAAATTTAAAGATAATGAAGAGCTGGAAAGGATCTCATGTACCATCTAATTCACCTCTTGTTTTCCAATGGAGGAAAATAGGTCCAGAAAGAAGACACTTGCCCACAGGCACAGAGCCACAACATCAATAGCAGGGACAGGAGGAGAAGCAGAATAATTCTTATTCATTCAACAAACATTAAATGCTCACTGTTTTCAGAGCCTATGCTGGGCAGCGAGGCAGCTCCCACTGCAGCAGACAGAACACAAACAGCCGACTGGAATACCCAAACATTCAAGGATAAGAATAAGAATAAGATAGCATTTATGTAGTGCTTAAAGTTTGCAAAGAGCTTTCTATCTCTCTCATTGGATCCTCACAGCAACCCTCTGAGGAAGGCACTTAATTTATCACCCCCATTTTATAGATGAAGAAACTGGGATTTAGCAAAGCCACGCCATTGCCCAGGGTCACACAGCCAGTGTATCTGAGACGGGATTCAGCCCTTTCTCTTCCAGACTCCGGGATAGCTCTCATCTATCTCATGGGTTACCTTGCTGCCTTCCAGTGCTTCAATCGATTCCCGATCTCATCTCATCCTCAAAGGACACCCGATTCCATTACTGGAAATCAATCAATCAGCAAGATTTCTTAAGCCCCAACTTTGTGTCTGACACTGAACTGGCTTCCAGAGACACAAAGACAAAACTATTATTGCCCTTCCCCGGCAACATGTATGAATGTCTGCAAGGTGATACAAACTACATACAATGACATTTCAGAGACCCCACCTGCAGCTGCAGGAATGGAGAAGAGTCTCAAGTAGGAAGAAGTGTTGGAGCTGACTTTTGAAGGAAACCCAACCAGGCATTCTCACCCTGCAGAGTCTTGCCCAGAAATCCTCCACAGGGCTTCTACTAAACTAGGCTTGAGTCAGGGGTTCTTAACCTGGAGGGGCCCCTGGAAAGATTTCAGGGGGTCCAGGAACTTGGATAGAGTAAAAAAAAAAGACTTTGATTTTCACTACCTTCTAACTGAAATGTAGCATTTCATTCAGTTATGAATTTAGGCAACAAACATGATTCTGAGAAGGGGTCCACAGTCTTTACCAAATGGTCTACCAAAGGGATCCATGGCATTAAAAAAAAAAAAAGGTGAAGAAACCCTGCCCTAGGTCTCTTTTTACGGATTCATGAACCTCAGAGTTAGAAATGATCTGAGAGGCTAACTGGTCTAACCTGTATCCAAACAAACATCCAGTCTACAACATACCAAACCTATAAGTCACTCAGCCTTTGCTTAAAGAACTCAAAAGAGGTTCAACCCAACCCCTTTTTGAAGCAATCCTCTTCACTCTTGTACAACTCTGATTGCTAGGAAGCTTTTCCTAACATCAGTTACAACTGCCACCCATTACTCCTTATTCTGTCCTCTAAGAGTCAAACAGAATAAGTCTGACCTTATGCACTAGGGACCCCTCTAACTGTCTACTTGTCATCCCTAACCCACACTCTGTGACCAGCCTCCCACTCAATCACACCTCGGATAGTCATAAACATTTATTAAGTACCCACTAAGTGACAGGCATGGGATTACAAATAAAAAAGAAAAGTCAGGTCTTGCCCTGGAGGAGCTTACAATCTAGTGGGAGAAGACAGAACACAAAAGGAAGCTGAAAAATGGTGGTGGGAGGGAGGTTGTAGGAGAAAGTCAGAAAAAAATCCCAAAGTAGAGCTGCCAGGGGAGAATTGAGCTCTCTCCTTAAGTGGAGGTTTTGAAGTCCACAGCCCCACTCTCCAGTCAGAGAGAGTAAAGGTGATAGGATCTTACACGATGTCTTCTCAATAATGAGCTTCCTGGGGCATGGGGGAAACAGCAGTCAAAGAAATTCCACACTAATGCAGGGAGGTGGGAGATGAGGGTACAGGCAAACCTTGTTTTGTTACTGTTCCCTTTATTAAGCTTCACAGATATTGTAGGGGGGTTTTTTTGTTGGTTTTTTTTTTGGGGGGGAGTGGGTTGTTGGGTTTGTTTGGGGTTTTTTTTTTTTGGTTTTGGGGTTAGTTTGTTTTGTTTTGTTTGTTTTGTTTTTACAAATGGAAAGTTTGTTGAGAAAATCTGTCGATGCTCTTTTTCCAACAGCATGTGCTCACATCATGTCTCTGTGTCACGTTTTGGTAACTCTCTCAATATTTCAAACTTTTTCATTATGATTATATCTGTTAATGATCTGTGATCAGTGATCTCTGATGTTACTACTGTAATTATATTGGGCCATCACAGACCAGACCTACACAAGATGGAGAATTTAATTGATAAATGTATGTGTTCTGACTGCTCAGCCTACCAGTCTCTCTCTGCTCCTGGGGCCTCTCTATTCCCAGAGACAGGACAATATTGAAGAATATTACATAAACTAAGCTGATAAATCAGAGGCAGCATTTAAGAAAATTGACTCCAATTTCGAAAGAAGTTCTACCGTGGGTAAAAGGCTTCAAACAACATTGAATGCTACAGAGAAATCTTTTGTGAAAGGAAAAGTCAGTCAATGCTGCAAACATCATTGTTGTCTTATTTTAAGAAATTGCCACAGGCACCCAACAACCTTTAGTAACCACCATCCTGCTCACTGATGAGTGAGCAGCCATCAACATCAGGGCAAGACCCTCCAACAGCAAAAAGATTACAACTCATTGAAGGCTCAGATGAGGGTTAGCATTTTGTTAAGCAATAAAATATTTTTGATTAATGTATACTTTTTTTAGACATATCATTGCATACTGAATAGACTACTGGGAAACAAAAATAAATCATGTGACTCATTTTATTTCAATATTCACTTTATTGGGTAATCTGGAACTGAACCTGAAGTATCTCTAAGGTATACCTTTAATATGCTGCAACCTGCTTATACCTCCTCTGGGGGTATGGGACAATTGGGATTCTTCTGAAAATCTGGCATTCTATGATTCACAAATGTTTAGCCTCACTGGGACAACACTGGTGTAGAAAGTCTTCAGGGCAAACCTTAGGATCATTGAGAAAACATAACAGTGTGGTAAAATAAAAGATTGATGGTTTTGGAGCCACATTGACTGGGATTTGAATCCTAATTCTTCACTTCCCCTTCTGTATCTCAGTCTCCTTAATTGGAAAATCAGAGATTTGGACTACATACATGTAGCTCTAAATCTTACATGTAGAGTAAGAGTCAGCAAACTACGACCCATGGATCAAATCCAACTGGCCACCTGTTTTTGTATGGCCTGTGAGCTAAGAAGAGTTCAACCAAAAACCATTGTTAGCAAGCAGGCTGTACAAGTGTTTGGTTTAACCATCCTTAGCTTAGAGGCCACACCAAAACAAGTGGCTGCTAGATTTGGTCCGCAGCCCATAATCTGCCAACCCCTCATTCGAAGTACATCTGAGGGGCTGTGTCAAGATGGTACCTTAGTCCTTTCTT